TTCTTCCGAAAATCTTAATGCTATATCTCTTGAACCATTATGGCGATTAGTATGGCATAGTAGCTCTGGCATAAACTTGTGTTGCTGTTCACAACGTTCAGCCTCAGTGTGAGGACCACCAGAAAATCTTTCTACATCGTCTGATAAATGGACTAGCAAGTGTGCTTTTAGTCTGTTACATAATGATGAGAATTTCATTTTTGCTAGGGGAGTTTGTCCAGAATTTGCTGATCTACCGTGTGAATTTTGTATTGATGTATGCTGAAGATTATCCATAGCCGCTATTGTCTCTGTTACTAAAACGACTAACATATTTTTATATTGTTCGAAATTATCAATTTTTTCCATGTATATGAGAGACGAAAGTGATGCTAACGTGTTGAAGCAATTGAAATTGATTCGAAAACTGTTTGGCTAGGATATAATCTAGGATTATCCAGACGCAACGAAGGAAGTAGCTGTACCATGATCTTGTAGTCTCTACCGACAAATGAGCGAAAGTTTTTCAATGATGATGTCAAGTTACGGTGTAAAGCTTTTGCGTTCTAATTGCGGAATAGATCTGTCAATGAGTCGATATGATTATTATCCATTAAGTGATCATACAAAATTATGAAACAATATTTTGTCATTCCCAGTAACAACGTGTGAAGTATCTCCACAGGTAGATCCTTTGAAAGATCGATGGCATCCAAGTTTAACAAATGCTCACCGCCGGTAAACTTAAATCCAAGTTTGCTCCAATCGCTTTCAAATGCAATCCTTGCCCGAGGACGTCCCCTGTTTGGAAGAAAAACAGGCTCCGGTCTTTGTTGATATCGCAAAGTCGCAAAGTCTTTATAGTCTTGGAGTGTACGAGAAGGTGCAGAAAAAACAGATGCACTGTAATGCAATGATAGTGGTTGTCCATTAGCATCCACAGGTTTTGATGGGTCCGACTGCCAGTAACAGAATCTACAAGGATGGGTGGCCCTAGATCCTTTGTGAAGAGCAATTTCGGCCTGACGTACATTATCACCACAGATACATAAAACTAGCGGAATTACGAAAACATTTTGCTCGAATTGGGAATCGTACATAACCATCCCCTTTTCCAAGTTGTACAAATCATTCGTCAAGGGTTCTATCATTTCCATTGCCGTTATTTTATGATTACTTGTACAAATGAAAAAATGGTTTTCGTATTCATTGCTTATTTTTAAAGGAAGTGCCGATATGTTCATGGTCCAAATATCAAAACAATTCCATTTCTTGGATCTATTTCCACTGGTATCGTCAGAGAACAAAGAAATTGGGACAATTCGAACTTTCGTATGTCTCCTTGTTGAAGGGTCATCCATAGCTTTATCTCGTTCGGAAAGGCAGTAGTTAATAAATCCTTGATGGAACCCATTTAATTGTCTTGAGTGGGTTCGTACAACCTGATCAGTGTTGCTGACGATATTCATCGATGCGAGTAGATACATGTCAATTAGTTCCAAAAGAGATAAGACGAATGAAACACTTGATATAGACATGGTATTCTTTTCCAAAGTAAGGATAGCCAAAAAGGTGTTATGATCAAGCTATAGCATATGCTTCAATAAAAATTTGCCCTTCGAAGGTAAAGAATTTTGAAATAATATGTGTTGAGCCAGAAGAGTTAATCACTATAATCCCCTAACCAAAAATCATTTGAATTTCTGCTCACTTTTTTTGGAACCATAGGGGACTGGAATAATGGGCATTCCTTCCATTTGAAGCCTTGATTGAGTGTGTTTCTCTTGTTTGGGCAATAATCCGGCAATGAATTCAAAATAGAGACCTTGGTAGGGTTCGCCATTAACAAACGCAGATGATTCGATGTTTTGATGTACGTCAGATCGACGGTCGAACCATCACCCTTGGGAACAGCAAAATTATTCACCTCAAGACGAGGGAACTTTCGTCTTTCGGAATGACTTTTGCAGATACGTTCGTCAGATGGTACGTTTTTGATAGTATCGAATCCTTGCGGTCGATTCTGGATTACGTCTCTTTCTTTATGCGATATTTCGATAAGAGATCGAATCAAACGTAATGTTTTTTTAACGATTCTTTGCGAAAATCTGTCCTGAGAGCCTTAGAAAAACATTAAGCATTTAAGTTCCATTTCATTTTTGAATGGATAAAATGGATTGGCATGGAAGGCTGAAGTATGAGCTGGTTCTTCATGTGGTTGACTGGCGCTGTCAACCAGATCATTTTCTTCAAAAACATCATGATTGTCATGATTGTCATTATCATCAAAATAACTAGACCCATCTTCTAATTCGACCATGTCGTTAGAAGATTCGACAGCGGGAACATCATTTGTCATATCATAATCATCAGTGTCTGTGTCACTATCAAATGGATATTAATATATATAAATTTTAAAGTCACAACAAAAATCTTACTGCCAAAGACGTGAGATGTGTGCTAAGTCTAAATGGCGATTCGTATTCGATGGATTGGAGAAATATTTCTTGCAAATGGGGCACTGTGTTGAAGGTTCGTTTAGGCGGAAAGATGAAAACTGGGAGGACATTTTTGCGATTACAAATCGAAACAAAAAATGGAAAAAAAAGGAAATAGATGCAAGTTGTTTATTTGTTGAATGCGAATTTATTTTACTCCTCTTTTTCTTTCACGTATTGATTTTTCAAAGTTTCTGTGGTATTTGACAAAATTGATACAATTGGAAATTAATGAGATAAAAGTATATCTTTATTGGAGGTAAAAATAGACTTAAAAGAACTCTGCTGCTATGAAATAATTGATCCTTATTATATTGCACAACTCTCCTGAGTTTTAATGATGATCAACCTTTCTGGTTTTGGAATAGATCTATACTTTGTTTCCCGCCTTAGGTTAAATGGATACTACTCGCTAGAATTGTTTCCAATTAACGTTGTCCCATATCAGTGGATCGGGAGCATGAGTATTCTAATAAATCTTTAGTATTACGAGACACTTATTTATCAGATCATGCAACGGTTACTGTAAAAGATGCATACTTGTTTGTCAAGTGTAATTGGCAATAGAACATAATAGTTGATCATTTATTCATTATCTTTGTAATGAATAAATTACGATCCCAAATATAAAATGTCTTATCGATATTTGTATATTTGGTTGTAGAAGCTAGGTATCCATTAATTCTTACACTATTTCTTTATACTCTTTATCAGCAGTATAATTATATCAATATATAAGTAAATGAACCATTTATATTAATAGCTGTTCTATTCTCTCTCTGGGTAGCTAATCCATTGAGAGAACTACTAATATTAAGTTTCTCTTTCTTATAATTCTTGATTGATCTGAGAAGTTTCTCTTCTCGATTGGTGATATCGTAACTCAGCGGTATAGCATTCTGTATCCAACTGTCATTCGTATATCGTATTTAGGCCAATCATGCAATTTTTAATATAGAAGTATGTACTCGTAGTAGGAGAAGTTGTATAGCAGTATACAAGCGTATAATGGTATACAACATCAAAGGTTGTTTTAATTTCATAGTTTATTTATTTAAACGATTTGCTTAATTATTCTTTAGTGAATCGTACCCAAATACGACAGTTTCTCTTTGGTATTTACCGTTGTCTATTGGTGCTGCTAAGTAACAAAGTCTTCAAACAGAGCAAACGATAACGATACTAAAAACTCGATAGGATTATTTTAGAATCTACTCTGTACTTTTATTGAAAATCAACTTTTTGTAAGCCTTTATAAATGATCTTCACATGGCTCTTTACTTTATTAACATGTACTTTGTAATTAACTTATTCGCTCAGGATATACCGAAAGGAAGAAAGGTAGATCTTATTACTCTTTAATTTATACATTTGTTCTTTAACACAGTCTTTTTATTCCTTAGAATATGGTTACATTACACATCTCATCAAACTTAAGGCATATCAGATTCTCATCTTAAAAATATGATACTTTTTCTAATGGCTTGATCTTCAAGTCTTTCTTGCTCCTTTTTTTTTTCGCTTAACAGGCTGTTTTGAATTGAATTTTTTATGTAATAAACCTTCGTCCCTGTACGTTCTTTCAAGCTAAAAAAATGGTCAGAATTACCTAAAATATCATATTGGATCATTAAATTTTGATTTTGAATTTTTTTTTAAAAGGCCTAAAATCGGCCAAAACACAAAGGGTATACCTCGAGGAAAATCCCAAATTTTACAAATGCACCTTTTAAATACCCTTCCTGTAGGTTTGATGAAAAGTATTTGTAATAAATATAGCCCAAATTTAATGACGTTTACAATGGTGTTGTTTTTAGAGCAGTTTTATTATTAAAAAAATCATATTTAGTGCATAATTAACAAAATAGTTTTTGTTAGGCAAAGTTTTTTTTTCTACATATTCAAAATTTTTTGCAAAACACATCAAAAGATGTGCCTAATTTTTTTGCGCATTTTGAGTATGGCATTATTTTAGTAAAAGTTTAATATCCAGAGAGTTTACTTTGACAGGAAAATGTTAAAAGATCATTTTTGATCAGATCGTTTCGAGAAAAGCGGTTATGTTTTCACTGATTGTGGACGTCATAGACGTTGGGGACCAAAACGAATTATATGGTCATGAAGCTGCCGTTCGCGCGCACATTTTCCCCGAAAATATGTTTTTCGTTAAAACAATACAGTCGATCGTCAAAACAGCCACAAGCCTACGCTTATGCCTATAACAATCAGTGTTTATAGGCTGTGTCTTCAGCTTAATACACGGGGCACTTGCCTTATAAGTGCCAAAGCGTTTTTGGGACCAAAAGAAACACATTCCCTATTTATTCCAATAAACATTAGTATATTACTTGTATGACTTGACAAGCAGGTTTAAAAAATAAGAAAAATAAAGTTTAATAATTGATAAAAATGCTAAAGAGAGAAGGAAAAATTAAAATAAAAATACAAATTACGCATGTAGAGAGGATAGAAAAATATGTTACAAAGGGAGAGAGGAAAGGAGAGGAATGAAAATAAAATTATGATAAAGGGATCGACTTAAAACTCATCTTCCTGAGTGATATGGGTCTTCTTTTTATCCATTTCTTCGTCAATGACACGTTGGGAAGCTTTAGGAATCATGATCTTCTTCTTTTGGAGGATAAAGGCACCGAAGCACATGACAATCATAGCAGCTGTCATGGACATGGTAACAATCTTACCGAGACGGTAGTTGGGGGCATCGACAACACTCCAGACCTTAACGTTGATGAAATTGGGAGCCAAATTACCCAAAGAATTGATAATAGCAATTGCCAAAGCACGAGATTCTCTGTCACAAGAATAAATTTCGTTTGCCCAAGTCATCATGATGGGAGAGATACCAAAGACAGGAGGGATCATGTAAGCACTGATGAACAAAAGGACGGTGGGTACATTACCACCTCTGACGGCCACTAAAATGGTATACCAAACAAAAGTATAGAGAGCACCAGCCAAGATATGGTAAGCACGATGACCGAATTTATCGGAAAGATAACCTTGAGCGACAACAACAATACCAACCCAGATCCAAATAGGCACCATCATGTAATTAGCAAAATCAGCTTGGTATCCAATGGATTTAAGAATAATGGGGAAATTTTGCAAGAAACCCATACCCATTTGCATACAAATAAACATGAATGTGAACAAGTAAATGAAGGGTGTAGTAAACAAGTTACGGAAAGTTTGCATGTTTAAGCCAGACACAGCACCACTTCTACCTTGACGTTCCAAACGAATGACGGCAACTTCACGAGCACTACCAGTAATGAAGCGGGTGTTATCAGGGAAATCAGGAAGAACAAAGAAACCAACGATACCAATAACAACAGCGATAAGACCTTCGATAATAAAGAGCCATTTCCAACCACGCATACCATGAGTACCATCCAAACCAGTTGCGATGGCGCCAGAGATGAGACCACTGAAAGCACCAGAAACTTGGGAACCAGCAACAAAGATAGCAGTACGTGTACCTAATTCTTCTTTAGTGTACCAAGAGCCGAGCAAGAAAACAATACCAGGATAGAAAGCAGCTTCGGCAAAACCAAGACAGATACGAAGACCGTAGAGCCCTTGGACATTCTTGACCAAGGCCATGAAACAGACAATAGCACCCCAAGTGAAGACGACCAAAGGTAACATGATACTGGGACGCACTTTAGTAATGATGTAATTAGCGGGAATTTGTAAGCTATTATTTATGTTAAGAAATGAGTACAACAATTACTTTTGCAGAAAATATTATGTAAGCTTACACAATGTAACCAATGAAGAACATGGTAATAGCCCAATTAAATTGATCACCGACAAGTTTTAAATCATCGCTAAGACCGGTAGTGTATGCATTAGGCATGTTGTTTCTGTCCATACCGTTTGCAAAGTAACCAAAGAATGCCCAGACCATAAGACGACGATCCAAAGTCTTGATCAAACTTCTCTCGACCTCTGCAGCATTGGCAACATGAGCTAAATCATCGGCCTTAGTGTTCTCAATGCTGACAGTTTCAACATTGGGCTTGATGATATCTTGTTCATTCATTTTCTGAAAAATATAATATGATATAAACAAATAAATTACAGGGCGAATTGATCTGCCCTTTTATATTGATACCCCATGTCTGATGATATTTTTGAGTTTTCTTCCCCACATTTCCCCGCAGAATATACTCCAATGGATTCATATCCCGTCGAGAACGGGAAACAAAAAGGTTTTGAACCTGAGTACCAAAATTGATGTGCAATAGGTTACTACCTTTATTTTATTTTTTGGGTTTTCATGAATTACCCAGCAAAAGTTTTTATCATACATTTATAAGCAAGTCTTGGTGTACAAATGGAAATTATAGTAACGTGAATGTGGTATGTACCAGAAAGGGAGACTCTCTGTCTAATTGGGAAACCTTTTTTTCCCTTGCAATTTAATTTTCCCAAAAGCCAATAATAACACCAAAAACACAAACAAGAAAAAAAAAATAGTTTTATACAAATAAGGCAAAATAATGGGGTTGGAAGAAGACGGTATTAACGGAATTTTCCCCAAATACTCAGGGTAGTGGATCGAGTTACACGACATTTTGGGTGGTACACTTTCATTCCAGCCGAAACAAAGGGAATACTCATTCTTATATGCATAGTTTTGTGCCTACTCTGTCTGACAAGTATCATACAAATGATATATTTTCTCTTTAAATACTCCAGATAGCGTATGTTACTCTTGTCATACGTCTAACAAGGCAAATATTATAGGCATTTGAAGTCCGTGATACACTGGGGAGGTATTTCCCGTCACGGGATTCTGTTCATTGGATCGATTACCTAACTTTTTTCTCCCAGGAGTACTAAATAATCTTGCTGGAGATGTTTTTATTTTATTTTTAAATGATGAATGAACCAATGAAAAAAAAAAAAAGAACGAAAAAAAAAAAAAATAAAGAAAAAAGAAAAAGTGTATTTATGACACTAAACAGATCAAAATATTTACAGAAAAAAGAAAATAAGAATTATAACAAAAAAATAAGGGTTATTCCCAAGGCTTATCCACTTTAGCAGCCCAAGAACCTTCTTCCTCCTCAATACCCCAAGTAGGTTTGTTATCACCAACTTTATTATCTCCCCAAGCAGCATGAGAATCCATCATATCGTGCGTCTCTACAGGCTTTGGATCCCAATCCGTTGCAGGTATCCATGGTGCATCATCGTGTTTATGCGAATTCCATCCAACCCGCTTTTGCTTCTTTCTCGTTTTTATGATGAGTTTTTGGAATGAAGAAGGTCCCGAGGTGATGGGAGGTTCATGAGGATTATTACTACGTCCATATTCTCGACTAGCGCGTCGATTATTGTTATAGTTGATGTTGATACCATTACTATTTCCTCTTGTCTTGGAAGCATGCTGATTTCCAGTATTACGTGGTGTTGGAGAGCCGAATTGGGGTCTAGGAGCAGGTTCTTGTACATGCGGTAAGTTCGTTACCAAATCATCCATAGCAAAAACACCATTGTCTCCATGCTTGGGAAGACTGTAAGAAGATTTTCTTTGTCGGGGTGGTGTATAATGATGAGGCTCATACTGATTACGCGTATTTACATTAGGTTTCGGCATATCTTCGCGAGTCAGCGGTGTTGAATCTTTATCAATGTCTTGAGTCCATTTACGTTCCGTATGTCCACCAAAAGGGGATTTAACAATAGAAGAATATCTGCCTTGATTGATAGAGCCTTCAAGGAATTGATGTAACAATTCATAATTCGGCTCTTCTGCAAATTTGATCTTCCGAGCAAGCTCAATGAATTCCAAAAAACCTTGAGGCAAACCAGCACAGAGGTCACTCATAAAGGTGTCTTCCTTGATTTGACGCATTCTATCCCAGCCAGCCCGAGAATTACGTGCTTGAATACCAGTCCAAGGTAAAGTACCAAAAATCAGATCGAGTAATAAATAACCCAAACTTTCAATATCATCGCGACGAGCATGAGGTTTACCACGATGGACATTGAGCGAGGCATATCTGGCCGTACCTGTTTTATTCTTGATGCTCTTTTTTGCCTCGGGATAAGGTTTATCGGTTGCGGGATTCCGCCACCACGTAGTCAAGCCAAAATCCACCACGTATAATTTAGGATGGGGTTCATTCCATTTCCTAAAGACTTCTTCACAAGGTGGTTGAACATATTTAATATGAGGCATACCATGATCATCAGGAATTTCAATCATTTCAACTTCGGGCAAGTAACACTTGGCCGAAAACAAAAAGTTATCGGGTTTTACATCCCTGTAAACTAATCCACGCTTATGAATATGTTCTAGAATCGCCAACTGGTAACATCACTAATTCATTAGCCTCTTAAAATTGCATGATTTTTGTTTTTTTTTTTTTTTACCATTTGACAGCCAAAGTCTACAACCACTTCGATAGGAAAGCTTTTAGTGACTTCTCTCAGCTGATTCAAATTGGGTCCTAGTAAATCAATAACAATACAGTCAAAGCCTTCGTGCTGACCATGCCAATGGCATTGAGGTATTCCCGCTAAACTAGTTGGGTTAGATTAAAACTCGAGAATACAGTGAGAAAAAAAAAACTTACGTCCTCCAGCCAAGGCATCGTAAATAATACTTTCGTGTTTAATTTGAGGGTGATGCATCTTGAGAGGCTCTCTTTTAATAGCATAATGTCTTCCAGTTACAATATCTTCCGCTATAATATAAGCAAGTTAAGACATGTGGCAGGATAAAGAAATAAACAGTTACCTTCAAATACTTCTCCAAAAGAGCCTTCACCAATTCTACCCAGCACAAGCCATTGTTCCCCAATAATGACGTCTCTACTGTTTGCACTAAGATCAGTACGTGTACTGTCGAAGGAAGAACCTTCGAGAGTGCCATTATTATTATAATTATTACACGGCGTTGATTTTAAATAGCTCGTGTCAACTGAATGAGATAAAGAACCTGGCTGTCTTGACTGTCTTATATGGTAAGAGCTAGTCATTATATTAAAAACGTATAACAGAAGGCTATTGTACTGAGTGTATTATTTAAGATGTGTTGTCCATTAAAGAATACCCAAAAAAAAAAAAATGATTTTTTGTCAGATAAAAATAATTTTTAAAGTGACGGGCTTTAAAGAACACATACACTCACACACACGTGTTGTTTTTGCTGTAAGGTTCAAAAGAAAGAGCTACAAGTAGTAAAAGGGTCCCTTTATTTCGCTCCCATCCTGTTACATAAACTCCCTCTTTTTAGTTTTTCTCTTTGTTTTTCTTTCTCTCTTTCTATTTTTTTTTATTATTATTGATAAAATAATGCTTCACGTACAAGACTCCTTTGGACATAATTCAAGCCTTTTGATGACTCCTCCAGTGACAGCTATTGTCCAACCACAACCAAGCACTTCTTCTAGATCAAACAAGGTAGTTGAGCAATTAGGTAGTAAGTTAGACATGGTTCATAGAGATATCGCAGCTACTAGACAGCAATTGGAAACGATTCGCCAAACAAAATTGCAGCATGAAAAAGATTCTTTGAACTACACAAACTCTAATAAATTATTTCGAACTCGCATTAAAGAAATTATGCAGATTCTGGAATCGAAGCAAAAAATATTAGAAGGCACAAAGGGTTCTTCCAGCCAACTTGAATTAAAAGTAAAGCAGCTAAAAGATGAAGCATTGGCCTCTCGTCATCAACTGGAAGACTTGAGAAGAAGAGAACAGGTGTTGGAACATGATCGTGATGTGGCCGTAAAAGAAAAAAACCAAATCAAACAAAAGCAAAACCTCCTTCAGGATTCAATTGATCAACTCCGTATTAGATGTGAACGAGAAATGGCCTTACTGCAAAAAGATTACTCTGTCCTTATTGAGCAAGCAAGAAATATCACTGATAGAAATGAGCATCTCATTGAATTAATCACTTTAAAGCTAAAGCAGAGAAGACAGTATATCGAGAGCCTGGCTTTGATGAAAAGACAGCTTCGATCAAATACCGAAACTTTTGTAGAAAATGTAAGGACTCATCTGCAAGCGTTGAAAACGGAGATTCAAGACTCTGCATTGCAGACTAAAGATTGCACTATAGCTGCAATACAATGTCGAGGTGAAGTGAATGGTCTTGTCACAAGAATTAAAACAATTGCTGCTGAAATTACTGCCTCTGAAGAAAGATCATAATTTATTCCATTTATACATAATACCAATTTTTTCTTCTTCCTAATAATATTAACCTTTGCTGCTTCTTTTTTAAAAAACATGTTATATTTGTACTGTCTCTTTTGCATATCACAATCTATATTTATATATGTTTTCTCTCCTATTTTTTTAAAAATATATATAAACGTCGCCTTTTCACCTACCCTCACCCCTCATAAAATAACCTACATTTGTATATGCATTATTGACGCGGATCCTTTGGACAATCATGTTAATTATGATGATACATTTTTCTATATATATTCCCGTGAGATTGTAAACCTTGAAGTTTAAAACAATTGTTACCGTATTCTTTCACGCACTCATAAAAAAATCCATTAAATTATTGGGTCAATACATCCATCAATAATGCAGTCATGTTTGTAATTTTTTTTACAGATTTATATAGTGTGGCTTTATCATAAACTATGACTTTCATAAAATTCAGGTGGGAAGTCTCTTTTTTTAAGCTCCCTAATTTCCTCAGCTCCTAAATGTATACCTCCCTTCGTATGGGGCAGACGAAAAAAGAAAAGAAAAAAAAACCTGCTGTAAACTAGTACTGAGAGCAACCCGAGGGTGAATTTCAAACAGAGCGAGCCTCATCATCAGCCACTAGTTATTAGTAAAGAGTGGCAATTATTCTTTAATCCAAAATTGGTATTATTGCTGATTATGTAAATTGCATCGTGATAAGGAATTATGATAAAACCTATTAAAATATTGACCTAATAACAAATGTGGGAAAGGGATGCAAAAAAAAAAAAAGGAAAACGACTAAGGTCAAGAATGTTTTTGTCAACCTAATAATACTGGAAGTGGTGTTTCCACACCGCAATGGTGAGTATACTCTTCGTTTTGTTCCTTTGTCTATCACGTTAATAACATTCCTCTCTTTGGATTTGTTACAGATTTGGCTTGTTAGATATTCATCGACTGTGTAGATTGAAATTTGAGCATTTAGATATTTGTAAAAAGCCATCAAAATTAATTTTGTTGGCACAGCTCTATTACCCTTCATACTGGATAAAAAGCTTCCATTTCTCAAAGCCATGCGGGGGAGGGGTGGGTGTCGGTCTTGAAGTTATTTTCAAGCTGTGGGGGCGGGTCATATTTTCAGGCTTGTTGTAGGTTGTCCTCGCGTCAGTAGATGTGTGCGTATAGTATTTCTTGCTTGCAAAAATAAAACACTTTCAACTTTCGTTAATATCTTTTTGCTTCTTAATATACCCATCAAGTTTTAGTTCTGATGATATATATATTACAATTGATTCAAAAGCTTTCCTACTTATTCATTTAGACGAAGGTCGAGTATTATCCAACACAACTTTTCAGGATGCGTAAATATCATTATACTCGTATCCTTGAAGCAAAACGTTCGCATATTAGTAGCTTTTTAGGACTAGAGTTGCAAAATGATTTTCAATTTTGAGGATGGTTTTTTTATGCTTTTGCAGACTACAGCAGCAACATTGATTCTTGATCGGACGCTTTCAGCTAGGTTCAATTTTGTACGAAGGTCTAATTGTGCGTTTGAATTTATAATTGTTAAAACTTGCGCTCACAAGGAGTCGAATGCTCTTCTGCTTGCACGCGATGAACAATACTTATGAATATCCGATACTCTTTAAAGAGTCTAGCATATGTTTGATCGACTTCCTATTGGCGACAATATCTAAAAAGGTAATTATGAATGTATTTAGGAATTTTCTTTCCATTACCACCATTTGCAGTATATATGGAAGAAAAGTTCGTAACTAATGACCCAACGGATATCATTTAACGGTATCGCGTGCCAACACAACAATGAAATGATCAGTCTTTGATCCCGACAGGTATTTACTTCTTCTTTTGTTTCCCCTATTTCAGTATATTTACTTATCAACCTTATCCGAGTAGTCAAATTACAAGAAGGACACAACTGCTTTGCTTCATTTTTCTTTGTTTTCAGGTTAAAGGTTTCTAATTCATGTTTTTTGTCTATTTTTGTTTGTACATTCCTGGGGAAAAAGAAGAATTTACATTCACCGAAGCAGAGTTAGATGAGGAATACTCTACATCAGTGATAGACACCGAAGAAAAAGGCATATCATCCGAAGTAGTGATAGAAAAAGTAAATGTCCCGGAAAATGTTGCCACTAAAGCTGCTTTAACTTGTAGAATAACCTGCTGTTGTTACTAAATCGTTAAAGACTATATACTTTTCAACACTTTCGAAACTTTGGATGTATTTTTTGGCGCACCGTCTTGATTGTTAAATCATTTTAGACAAAGGAAAATGGTCGATATCAAAATGAATAAGTTGTTTATAGATTATTGCTGGTAAGTTTGTGATAAGCATCTCAAGTAGGTGTTCTATAGATTAGTACATTTACTAGCTCACAGGCTCATAATATATTTTGTATTTATTTACACCATCTTTAAAGGGCTTCAAGCGACTGGTAAGGCAGCAGGCATCAAACCCACCCATCATTTTACGCATGGGATTAATTATTTTTAAATGGCTTTACGTTTCGGCAAGACAACTTTCACCTATTGTAAACGTTTTTTTAGCGCGCAAAAAGCGTCATGTTGCATGTATTGCATGCTTACTCCACATTTTTTCAAACTCAATATATTTATAAAAAATCCCTCGGTGGGTGTGTGAGTGATTTGTAATAGAAGAAGGGTCACGTCCTTGTTTACACTTTTGTACAAATGCTCATGTGACAAAACATTAATACTGCCTATATGTATGTATTCCGTTCAGCCTATTTAACATTTAAGACTAGTTTGTGCCACGGATAGAAAGGAAGAAGGTAGTGATCCTATGCTAAAACTTATCTGATTTTTAAATAACGATTTTAATTTGATGAAAACGATCAGATTATGACCAAGACCCGACTTTTTTAGCATTGATTTTTTTTTCGAACAAGGTTTGTGAAACTATCGTATTTTAAGGATCAGATTGAAAAAAAAAGAATTCAAGTTCCTTTCCCTTTCTTTTTTGTTTATCATTGTAAATCCCTAAAACAGAAAGTTTCTTTTTCATTCTTTTTTTTCCTTAATAAATGGTTGATATTCAAAAACCCGAATTATCATGGTGGAATGTGACCGGAGCATCATCCTTTGTTCTGATCGCTGGTAAAAGAAGAATTTATATCTCCTAACGACAAAATAATTAGGCTAAAATAATTTTTTTTAGCTCTTGTCAGTTTGCTTCTAGGAACAAAACTCGAAATACCCTTGATAATCTCCGGAATTCGATGTGTTGTTCAACTCTCGTTAATGGTAAATATAATCTGTTTTAAAAAAATATATATACAAATTAAGGGGTAGATGATATTCATCTAATTTATTTTCCAGGGACTGGTTCTAGACGATGTGTTAAAGACCGAGCATATGAGTGTAGTGATCATGATGTCAAGTACAGTATTGTTTAGCACAAATAAGAACAAACCCAATTTTCTTAACAAACATTGCAATAGTTGTGTTTGTCTTACTGGGATCCTACGAGACCGTTTTCAACCGAACAAAGAAAAATTTTAAGGGGATGGTAAGACAAGGCGAATTATATCACAGCGAAAAAAAAATAGTATTAAAACCATGTTTCCATAGTTTCCAATCATGTTTGTCATATTGTTCATTAGCAATTTGTTTATTACTTTCTTGGGAACGGCATTTGTTCTGAAAACGGATCCATTCTGGTCCCCTAGAATATTCATACCTGTGATTGGTATGCTCTTGGGAAATTCTATGAGTAGCGTTGCGATGGGTACCGAGCGTTGCTTGGACCAATTTAGGTAGGATCATTCTTGATACTTTCTACGTCAAATTGTATATTGACCTTGTATGTCTATTTAAGTGCTCATGCACCTATGCTGGAGACACGACTGTCATTTGGAGCTTCAAGATATGAGGCGTCTTTACCGCTGGCCATCGAAGCAATTCGAATTGCTTTGCTACCTGTCATTACTCAATTGAGTGTCATGGGCATGGTCAATATTCCCGGTATGATGACTGGACAAATTATGGCAGGTACGCCCATGATGGAGGCAGTCATGTACCAACAATGTATAATGTTCATGATTGCTGCCAGTAGTACTTTAGGTGTGATTATGTCAGTGGCTGTAAGTATTAGTGTTAAAAACTATAAACTTGATAAGGTTTGGAAAATTTAACATTTTTTCTTTTGAAAAAGGCATGCATGTCTATTCTCATTGACAAGGATCAGACCATGCGCCATGACAGAATTATTGACAACAAGTCCATGTATCATTATATACCTTGGAAGAAATTTAAACATAGACTCTTCCGATCCAAAACATGCTGTGGTATTCAGAGACGAAAAAAGTCGATAGCTGATGCAGAGGATTAAAAAATGAGTGTGGGTAAACAATGTACATATTTAGAAAAATCGTTTCAATCCGCGGACATATCAGCATTTATCAATAATAAAGCAGGAAAAATAATAAAGTACAATAGGATTTGAATTTCCACTAAAAGATTTCATTCTTTAATAGCTAAGAGAATGCAAAAAAAAAAAGTCAAATATAAATTAGAGTTGAGTTAAACGTGAATTTAGTAGGTTTTACTGACAAACAGACTTTTTGTTCAATGGTCATTTCAAATAAATTACTCTTATTATGCCTAGCCTACAGTGGCCATATCACATTAGGAGCCGCTGTCCTCATCCCTTCTTCGCATCTCATACTTGAAGATGCTTCTGTTAGTGCTGCATGGGGATCCATGAAACATTCCCAACCTTCACTCAAACCCTCGTTGGCAGCATATAACCGTAAGATTTAAGTAACAAATAAACTATTTGCCTCTCTGACATTTTTTCCTTTTTGTGTAGATATCTCCCAATCCAGCATATACCCTGTTGATCGGGTAGGAAGACATATTAATAATAACCAGCCATTTCACCAGCAGTACTCTGAGCCATATGCCGCTATATTAGAAAAGCGGAATCCTCATAAGAATCCAAATCCTGTCCCTCCTCCCCCTCCTGAACCTACAACCTCTGCCGCAGAATTTAACGCTGTTGTGCAATGGGACATTGTACCTGATTATCATGGAAAGAAGCATAAATATCACCATCATAAAAACTATGAAGACTACAGTGATGAAGACGATGACGACGACGACGATGATGAATATAATAATGATGGTTATGATGATTACGATGAATATGACCAAGATGGAGATTACGATGATGCCTTACCTTATCATGAAGGCGAAAACATGAATGGAGATTGGTGGAAATACGACAAGGACGATGGCTGGAAACATGGTAAAAAAGCCAACCGAAGAGTAATCTATTTTTCCAAGGCTGCTGCTGCTCTTGCTACAACCACAGTAACTGCATTACCACTATCACTTCCTCCATGTCTACCCGGTGTAGCTATTCCTGGTATTGATAGGCTCGTTACAGTTCTTGTTACACCAGACATACAGACAGTTCGATTACCTGCAGAAGTGAGAACGATTGCCGGAAAAGAGCATACTATCCAAGGAATTGAAAAAGTTCTTACTCGATTCTCTCCAACCACCATTGTGGGCGAAGATGTTTATTTACCTGGTCTGGTCAATACTATCACTGCGCTTGGACAGGTTACCACTTTCACCATGGATGCCTTAACGATTCGTGGTAAAGACATCTATGGTACAATAACTCAATATGGCGCTACTGAATATGGCGCTACCCAGTATGGTGCTACCCAGTATGGTGCTACCCAGTATGGCGCTACCCAGTATGGTGCTACCCAGTATGGTGCTACAGAGTATGGCGCTACTCAATACGCTACTGAAACTCTTCTTGGTGCGACTGTTACCGCCGACGGAATTGTGAGCACTCTACTCCAGGACGCTGTTACACTGACTGAATTAGTCACGGTTGAAGCGCCCGCTGTCATTAGCACTGTTAAAGTGGATGTTACTCATTACTTGCTTAAACAAACAGTGATGGCTACTGTCTATGCCACTGCTACTGCTGTTCAAACCGTTGCTGTAACTAGCCACAATAATGTCTTTATCACCATGTATGGCTCGACTTCGACCTCAACGCAAGATGTTGTGGTGACTGTGCGTAGACCAAGATCTACGACGACTACATCCACAGATGCTTAAGTTGCTTTTTTTAAATACGCTAGTGTCCATATTATGCAAGACTTTTTTTTTCGTGTCACATTCCATATACCTCATCATTCTTCTAAAATTCAATAAAAAGGTCATTGAATAATCACAATTGCATAATACTTTTAAAATATTACACAGAAAAGGAGGGGAAAAAATATAACCCGGGTCATACATACTTAATGTCGTGATTTTGTATCAATATGCATAATTACGGCGTTGTTTTTTACCATGACATTTATTTCTCTACGCAGTACAAGTTAAATACTCTATAGGAAGTATAGACATTACAAATATCACGTATATTGTATGTATGGATTGAATCTCATCTCTACAATGGATAATATTTGGAAGATAACGCAGCCTGAGAACCTTTTTTTTTTTTTGTATCGTAATTTATACCGAGGCTCCGGACTTTATCTCGAGCAGCGATAAAGATGCCTCATATTCTACATTAAGGCTTTCTTTCCTGAAAGAGCTTAGAGGACGACTTTTTTTGTTTGACCAAAAAAACTTTATGATCACTTCACCGTCCTGACGTTGAAACTCCGGAAATAGATGTATACATATAAAAAAAAAATGGAAAGAATTTATTTTCCTTTCTTTTGTTTTCTTTTTAAAAAAGAAATAAAAATGTCTGGAGCTATATCTTTACCAGCCGACGAGTCGGGGACAAGTAATTTAGCTCAAGCTCGCGCATGGTTTAACCACAAATGGTACGGAGATAACAGTGAAAATGCCCCATTGTTAAATCGTGAGCGAGGTACTGTGGAGCCACCCAAAAAGACGACGTTTCGTATCGTGGTGACGATTGCGTTATCCGTGATTGCATTAATTATTATTGGCGTCGGCGCAGGATTTTGGTTCCATGCGCACGAAAAGAGATCATGTAATAAATATATTTTATTTTCATTATGACATACACTGACACTAAACCCCTTTAAGATCCTCCTCCCGCCCAACGCGGATTGACAAACGCCGAAAAATTGATGCTGGAATTACCTTCCAACACCAAATTACGCGATTATCTTAAAGAATACACCTCGGTCACTCATTTAGCAGGTACTGAAAACGATAAAAAGCAAGCTGAATGGACTCGCGATGTATTCCAAAGCTACGGCTTAGAGACTAAAATCGATACCTATTGGCCACTCTTAAACTACCCTGTTTCACATCGTCTTGCATTATTCTCTGGTCCCGAACACCTTCGATACGAAGCTAAATTAACTGAAGATGTCGTGGATGAAGATGAAACAAGCAAGGATCCTAATGCTGTCCCCACCTTTCATGGATATTCCAAGAACGGCACCGCCACTGGTCGCGTTGTCTATGCAAACTATGGTCGTATTGAGGATTTCCAGTATTTACAAGATCAAGGTATTGAATTAAAAGGTACTATTGCACTTGTTCGTTATGGTGGTTCATTCCGTGGTCTCAAAGTAAGAGCTGCGGAGGTGTTTGGCTGCGTAGGAGCTTTAGTGTACTCCGATCCTATTGATGATGGACCATTAAACAAGGATAATTCCTCTAATCCTGCCGAGTCTTACCCTCATGGTCCTTGGCGCTCCAAGAGCTCTGTACAACGAGGTTCGGTGCAATACTTATCACTTGTTGCTGGTGATCCCTTAACACCTGGTTATGCCGCTACCGAAAATGCCACCCGTATTAAGCCCGAAGATTCTCCTGGATTAGCCAAGATTCCATCTTTACCGTTGTCTTGGGAAGATGCACTTCCTCTTTTGAAGGCTACACAGGGTTTGGGTGTACGAAAGGAACAAGACTGGGCAGGTGGACTTGAGGAAGTGGATTATTACAGTGGTCCTACCGAAGGTGATGTCATCATGATCAACCATATTGAAAACAAGATTACACCTATTTGGAACGTCATTTCTCGTATTCCCGGCACAGATGAACCCGAGAAGGCAATTATTTTGGGCAACCATCGAGATGCGTGGGTGTATGGCGCTGTGGATCCTTCTTCTGGGTCTGCCGCTATGATGGAATTGGCTCGAGTTTTAGGTGAGATTTTAAAGACAGGATGGCGTCCTCGCCGTACCATTATCTTAGCCTCATGGGATGCTGAGGAATACGGTCTTGTTGGATCTACCGAATGGGTAGAAGATAATAAGGAATGGTTGGATAAGGAAGCTGCCGTTTATATTAATGTCGATGTTGCCGTTTCTGGATCCCATTTCTCCGCTGAAGCCTCGCCTTCTTTAAAGCGTCTCTTGTACGATATTACCGCTTTAGTGAATGATCCTCGTACCAACACTACAGTATTTGAAGCCTGGTCTGCTGATACCAAGGCCGAAGAAAATGAAAAGCCTCATGTTGGTATTTTAGGCTCTGGGTCTGATTTTGTGCCATTTTTGGATCATGTTGGTATTGCCAGTGTGAATTTGAACTTTGAGGGTGATTATGGTGTTTATCATAGTAACTACGATAGCTTCCATTGGATGGAAAAATACGGTGACCCCGAGTTCCTTTACCATCAGGCCATGGTGCGCGTCTGGGGTTTACTTGCTTTACGACTTGCGGATTCCGCCATTTTACCCATCTACCCTGCCGATTATACCTCTGAACTTGGCAACTATATCGAATCCTTGACGCATGCTTCCGCACCTCATACTTTCCCACAATTAGGAGAAGCACTGAAGAAATTGGAAAAGACAGTGCGTCGTTTTGAAAGTAAGCGAGAGCGCTTGGAAAGCCGTATCAGTGAATTTGAATCTTTGGATCGTCTCCCCAGTGTACTTGTAAAGCGATTGACCAAAATCAATCATCGTTTGGCAAATTTTGAACGTGGTTTTGTGGACCAGGAAGGTATCAAAGGCCGTGAATGGTTTAAGCATGTGGTTTATGCGCCTGGTCTCTGGACGGGTTACTCTGGCCAAGTGTTCCCTGCTATTGTCGATAGTATGGAAGTGCATGATTTTGAACAAGTGCGTCATGCTGAAGAAAGAGCTGCCATCAGTATTCGTGCATCTGCCGAGTGGTTAAAGGCTAAATAATTTCAATTAAAAAATAAAGTATTTTACATTTCATTCTGGCATTCATGCAAGCTGAGTATAAAAAATCAGATGGGTGCTGCAGGAACAAACAAAAAGAGGGTTACAATAACAGGTTTAATTGCAGCAAGAATTATTAATTAAAAAAATAGAATAGAAAGTAGTAAATAAGGTGTGATAATGCTTTTTTGTTTGTTTGTTTTTGCTTTAGAGAAGAAGGTTTTCTCTCTCTCTTTACAATCGACTTAAGGACGAAGGTTCAATCGAGGTATCTTGTTCGATGGTATGGTCTGCTACCAGCTGAATCTTGAAGACATGTTGATATATTGGTTTCACAGGATCCAGCATGCAACCAAATATCAGCGGAAGTTCTGTTTTATAGCCATTATTCAAGCATCGCATTTGGCTACCACGAATAATTTGCTCGATCGCACCCTTTTTAACAACCAAAAAAACAAAAGTCAGTTTTCTCCCCATTTACCTTTTTTTTTGCTATCAATTGGACTTACCGTAATGACATTACGAATTTCTATAAAACATGCATCAAACGCCATGACAAACGGATACGAAAATGCAAATGATTCAGGTGTTCCTTCCCATTCAATGAGGAAATTATTGAATAAACGATTTCCTTTGCTATCGATGTAAAACGCATATTCTAAGAGAGAAAAAAAAGAAAGAGTTTAGCGGGTGGCCCCATGTTGCGTTATTCATTCACTTGTGAACACTTATTTTTACCATCATAACAAATGAAAAAGTGATTGCGTGGTGTTTTAAATGTAGAGATTCGTTTGATGGGTTGACGTAAGTTTAACGATGTCGGCACCTCTTTTTCTCTTTCGATAATGAATGACAGATTTCGATCGCTTGGATTCAACAAGTCTATGTTTCATGGTTAAAAAAATTTTGTTTTGTAAGTTATGTAATGTACTTACGTTGTGTTGTATCTGTCCTCATATCTACCATGACTACGCCTCTGGAAGAAGTAATCAAAAGATTATTCGCCGATAATTCTAAAGCATATGCTTCACAAGGTACATATACATCCTTCATTTTCCTTAGATGTAAATCGTTGGACGGAGAGGTCACTGAGCGTACCGCTAATAAGCGATCCAAGAGGCCGCTTGATCTTTTGACCATGTTACTGCTTTTGACAGGAGAGACAGCTACACCATGGACGATCTCCATACGTCGCACCGCTTCAAAGGTGGTGATGGTGGATTTTAAGGTGGATATTCTGGGCACACATAAGAGGGTTCGTTCGATACAGATACCTACATAAAAAAAGGGCACATGGTTCTGAACTAGCCTACCACGAGGTTGTGTGTGTGGTTTTCCATTCACTACATCCAAAGGGAATTCCCATAAGGTTCTATCGGCCAGAACCAAGAGAGTTTCAGTAGTTTCGATGGCATGAATTTGCGTGACTTTTAACAATGAAAGTACCTTATGAGGAGTTGTATCTGTGTAGCGATAATTATGATGACCTACGTAGACACCATCGTCTGCAGCCAAAAGATACTGCTGACCACCGTCTATTTTTTTATAAGGCATTAGCTTTGAAAATAATGATGATAAAAAAAAAACTTACTGAATGTGATGAAATGATTGATTTTATTGAATTCAGAGATTTGATGCTGACAGACGGCTGGGACGATTTCAAAAACAGGGCTCTTGTTATTCTTCTCTTCCTGTTGCAGTCTAATTTTTTCGATCCATGGTTTTCTGGTGGCGACAGAGGATGCGAATAATGTAAATTGAGTGGCCGAGTTACGGCCTAAATGTTTGAATGCGATGGCATATTGTGGTTTGGTATTATAATAGGGAGCAAGATCAGTAGAAGTACGACCTTGCATACCGGGATTGATGGTTTGGCTGTTGCTGAGATAAGGTGTTAATCCAGTGGATCGTCTATTCGTGCTTAATGTAGCATCTGGTAAACTAACTGATAGAAATTCAATTGGTATAGGCTACGGGAAGGTTATATTTAGCACATTTATTCTATAATTGGTGATGGGGATGACGGGCTTACTCTTTGTTGGATCACATAACGTTCAGCACCATTGGTTATTTTCAGTTTGGCAACCACCAAATAGTGGTCGAAAAGGATGACTTGGTATTCAACTGATTCTGGTTGGATAGATTTTTTCAATGTTCCTTGTTTGATGATGGATCTATGCTTATTTAATAAATCTAGGTTCTAAATATACATATAAAGCGTGTGAAAAAATTAAATCCAAGAAAGAGAAAAGAGAGGATGAGAACTTACGACTTCGTCTGTTCTGGATTTAAAAGAAAGATTGTAATGAATGCGTTCGAGATCGAAACGATTTTTAGCCTGACCGGTCTCGACATTGACGCGGGATAAAAACCTTTTGATGATGGTTACTGCTTTTGGTAAATCGTCCAGATCCGGATGATCAGGTGGGGTGTGTTTTAAAATTTCATTGAACAAGAGAGTATAGCGACCCAATCGGGTGGTAGGTTTTGTCAGGTAACCATTGACCTCCAACTTTAGGGCACTAGCGTGTCTTTCTGTGGCAATCACGAAGGCGTCAAAATTTGAATTGATGTGGCGTTCGTTCTCCAGGGCGGCCTTCGCTTCGTATTGTTTGGATCCGTACTTGATGTAAGGCTCGAAATCTGTCACAAAATCCAGTAAAACGTCCCCAATTTGATAAATCACCTTGTGTTGCTTTTGACGTGCTTTCAATGCCTGTAAAAATCGAATGTTCAATTGGTAGATCGTTTCAATATTTCCAAAAATCTTTCGAACTAATGATTCTCTTCGGGATGTTGGGATAATCGGTCTTTCGGTTAATGGTTTTATCCACATCTAAATATAAACAAATCATTAACATTTTTTTCCTGCTTTCTTTTCTTTCGTTTCTTTTGGGGCTTATTACTGTTTGTAGGTATTCTAAACTTTGAACATAATCTTCTTCTGTATAAATTAACTCGTATAAATTCTCTTGTCGTTTTCGTTCAAGCTTTGTCAATGTTTCGTACAGTTTACTATCCACGTTGGTTGCCCAATTGTCATGATGTAATGCACTGATATAAACGGTGGGTTGCTGTAACACAGGAATAGGCTTTGAAAGACTTTTGGAATACTTGTCTGTCGTAACTGGAATCTATTTTAAAAAAAGAAGGAAACACAATTGTTATAAGAAAATCAGATGACGCGGTTTCTATTTATTTTACCTGTTGAATTCTTTTAGGGCATCTCGGACTGTAGCAGGGCTTTACATCGTAACAGGTGGGAACATAGCAATGGGTTAAATCGGTCAGAATAGCAGTTGGCATATTATTGTTTGACAGTAATTCGAGATCTGTTCCAGATTCGCTCTCGCTCCAACAATCACTGCCATTTTGAGGCATATTAAGGGTATATAAGGTGCGGTTGGTAAATTCGTAAATGTCGATAGAAGTGTCCATGAGCTGAGTCTCGTAACTGACATCGTGGAAGAACCTTTGAAGGTTCAATGATCTTCCAATCCGTAAAGCTAGTTCTCTGTCGGGGTTCTGGGTGATCAAGATGATTTTATCCTAATAGAAGAAAAAGAGTGTGAGAGAAGAGAAATTTGAAAGAAAGGAGAGAGGCTTTTTTTGTTGTTGTTGTTTTTGTTTACGTACGACGACTTGTTTACCCTCAAAGGTATTTTTATACTCGATATCATCTTTGGTGTGATCTGCTAAAACGATGCGTTGGCGTAGTGCAATAGCGATACGAGATAATAAGGCTGAGTAAACAATGGGCTTTTGTTTTTGATTGTTTGGTGTTTCTTGTCTGGTTCCATAGGCAAAGCTTTGGGAACGATGAGACATAGTATCTTGTGTAATCAAGGATGAATCTAAAATAAACATTAGTGGTTCTTGCCTTTTGATCACGTATCCCCGATTAAAAATAAAATAAAAAAAAACAAACTACTTTTTTTATGCGGCGTTAATAAATTCCAAGGTGTTTGTATTAAACCCTCCTTTCTTCTCGTCATTCAACTAGAGAAAAAAGAGAAAACAAGATTTTTTTATGACAAATAAAAAAAAAAAAAAGATTAAAAAAGAAAAGAAGAAGAAATAAGAAATAAAAAAAAAAAAATCTTGTGAAAAACAATGGTCTATTTCCGGACTTTTTATATCCGCTTTATTGGTGTCACTTTGTTAAAATAAAAACAATTGCCCCTGAAGATTTTATTGACGAGCTTTTTAAAGTTATTTCAGTAGCATGAACCTTTTCCATGTAGCACAATGATGCAATTATTCTATAAACACCCTTGGTTTTATTAAAAAAGGGTCATTTTTTAATCTAGAGGGAATCAACATCGGTATTTTTTCTTTCTTGCCGAATTTTTTTTTCTTTACTATGTGATTGGGGAAAAATGTGACTTTTTGACTCAAAATGTTTGTGTCCCACCGTTTATTAAATTTACAGAAAATATACATTTATGGATCATTTAGCATTGATTAAATTCTAACTGAGGGACCATAAATTCTTCTTGAGATCCACACCCATCAAATTAATCAATGCCATATCCACCTGTCCCTCTGCTTCATCCAATTCTCCCTCACCCATGTATTCTACAATGTTATGCTCAGTCTCATGTATCTTGACCCTGTACAACTTGGCTGCATTCGATCGCCATTTCTCGTTGCTCAAAAAGTGGTATTGGAAATTCCACCAGATAAACACTGCCAGGTTCTCGGTCGTACTTGGTTTGCTTTTAAAAAATTCAACGTCTAAATCCTACATGGAAACGTCTTATTACAAACACAAAAAAAAAATTTCAAGGTACCATTTAGAATAATTACCAGGTTTCGGTGATCAAGGGGATCCATGACTGCCAGTTTAATGCATTCTTTTAGATCGACAAGGTTCATTACCATGCCCGTCAATGGATTCACTTCTCCTCTCAAGGTGATTTCGACTGTTGCATTTGACTGATTAATGATCAAGGCATGACTGTAACTATATTGGTTTTTTTTTCTCTTTACCTTTGTAATTATGACCATGGAAATGGGGATGGTTACATTTACCGTACAAGATTCTATTTTCTTCTACAGACAGGTGAGGTGAATTCAGTCTGTGAGCAGCAGAGAAAGTCTCTGTTCTTGTAATGAGTGTAATAGGTGGCATGTCTTATATGTATAAAAAAAAAAAATTAAAGGGGAGAGAGAGAGAGAGAGAGAGGAAATAGTGTGAGAAAAATAATTTATAAAATATTGAGACTCCAGTGATTTATTTGGTCAATCAGTTCAGGCTCATGATCGTACCAGAAATGATCGGCACCTTCGATACAAATGTGAGTAATATTGGAATGCCCTTGACACCAATTTAAAAATGTACTTGCCCTTGTGAATTGATCATGATCCCCATGGATACAAAGGGTTGCATGAGATATTGGTTGCTTCTTGAATTCGTTCATTTTGGTGGTTGCTAGGGCCCACATGACACCCAAGGGCAAACTAACCAACAGGTAGGCACATGGTACTTTTGTACACTCGATAGAGTTTGCAATCATGGCACCATAGGAATAACCAGACAGCACTAATTGGTTGATATTGGGATATTTATCTAATAAATAATTCATCACGCTCATATAATCCGCTCGTTCTCCCTGGCCCGTCCAGCTCGTCCTTCCTTGCGATTTTCCACACCCACGGAAATTGAGGCAGGCTGTGATATAACCTTTTGATACAAAATGACGTTGCATCGCAATGACAACATTATTATTCATATTCCCGCCTTTTTGTTTATTGTTAAAAAAAAAATGTTAAAAATAAGCAACGCTGTATTCAACATGTACCTAATGGTCCATAAGGGTGTGCAATAATGATGGCAGGTACGTTTGATTTTGTCAAGGGACAAGAAATGTGTACTTGAAGCAAAGTCTCATCGTGAATGGATTTAATAAATGTAGACATTATTGGGGCAAAAAAGAAAGAAAGAAAAAGTGTTTGAAGGAAACAAAAAAAAAAAAAAAAAGATTATTTCCAACCATCCACAATATTATATTTATCTTTCCATATCCAAGAATTACCGATTTGCACTTGCCCTTGTTTGGAAGCCATTCTATAATATTGTGCAGCTTTGAAAATATTCTTTTTGACACCATGGCCATGTATATAACAAAAGGCCAGATCGTTCATGGCATCAAGATCACCTAAATTAGCAGCAATCTCGAAATAGTAAAAGGCAGTTTCTTTATTCTTTGTGACACCCCAACCTTGTTGAAACGATACTCCTAGTTCATAAATAGCCATGATCAATTCACCCTTAGAAGCCAAGGTATATTCATCACCGTTTAATAAATCATGCACCGCATGTTCAGCAGCCGTCTGAAGGTATTGAAAGGCCAGTGCCGTGTTTACTTTACAGCCCCAACCATGGCGTAGTGAGATACCGTACAAGAACATGCCGATGGGACAATCTTCTTTTGCGGCCAATCGAAAATAATGCGTTGCTTTTTCTAATTGACCCAATTCGTGGTGTTCAATACCAGCTTGAACATGTTGATCCAACTGAGTTTAGAATTAGTTTTTTTTTCGTGCCTGTGTGTGTGTGTGCGTGTGTGATTTTCTTTTTCTGGGCTTACCTGTTGTTGTTGTTGAATAATAGATTCTTGAGAATACGATTGCGCCCTAAAAAAGATGTGTAAATTCGCCTTGTTCTATTTTCTGTTATTAATAGTTTTTTTTTTTTTACTTTTGATAAATTTGAATGGATGGACTATGTTTGTAGCATTCTTGATCTTTTACAAACAATGATTGAAATCGCTTTAGCATTTAAGATAGTAATAGGTCAAAGGAAGAAGAAACAGAAAAGGCTCGTTTATTTTCGTCTTTCTTTTTATGTCTCATAATTAAAAAGGAGAGATAAACATCTTGAGAAAAAAAAAAAAAAAATAGGAGTCAGAAGCTGTTTCCTTCATTTCTTGGTAATTATTATCTTCCTGACCTTCCTTGCCTTCCTTTACCTCTATTTTTTATATTAAGATTCCGAATAAAGATAAAAAGAATTCATCCTTTCCCTCGCTTTTTTCTTCTTTCTTCTCCCTCTCCCCCAACTCTTTTTCTTTATTCTTTTTCTTACATCTTTCTAATTATTCACTCACTGCCGCGCGATGGAGTAAGTGTCATACGAATTTATATATATCCAGAAAATAATAAATGATAATCCCTTGACTTATTCGAACTCAGTGTAACATTACAGAAACGAGGCTCAACATTTGCTACCAACACAGAACATACACCAGCATTTACTACTGTTCATATCATTGCTGCTGTCATTGGCATAGTGGGAGCCATCGCTGTCACCATCACAATTTTTCTATACTGCAAAAAGCGAAAACACGATAGTCTATTAAAGATCAAGTCGGACATCGAGCAAGATATGTTGCAACGTGCTCCTGCCACAAGGTTTGGGCAATTTGCTACTGATTTTGATCATTCTTCTTCTGCACCCGAACAAGTTACTCGGGTGAGTCCAATGATGCAACAACATCAATTACAGATCAAATTACTACAGGTGCCTACTCATAACAGAACACTTTCATCCTCCAACACTGTCGTACCTCCACCACCACCCTATCAACCATAACGAAACAGAAAAAAAAAAATTCACTATACCCTTAAATTTTTTTTTTAAAGTTATTATTACTGTACATACAAAAAAAAAAACTATACCTTCTCTCTTACATTTTTTTTTAATAAATCCCGCGCAAACATAATCATATTTACATAATGACACATTTAGTATCGGATGGTTTATTCATTCTTATTAATTGTTCTTCTGTATATAATTTACCCGTCATGGCCTGCACATCTTCGATCGCTTGTTCGCGTTCATTTTCTCGCTTCTTTTGCTTGATTTCTTGTGGAAAGTACATTTTTAGGAAATTTTGAAGGCCTTCGTCTAGATTTAAAGCCGTGGCGGATCCTACCGCAGTTGGATGGCGACAGAGAGGGCAACTAGTCATACCCTTCTTTTGTGCCTTGATAAGGCATCGCACACAAAATACGTGATTACAGGAGAGTCGGATCGGTCTCCAAGCAACGCTCATGCAAACAGGGCAAGCTGTCATTGAAAAAAAAAAAAAAATTAAATAAATAAAAACTAAAAAGCTTAAATTTTTGGGGGATGTGAAAGTTAAATTACCATAGTCATCGGGTTGTGGAATGATGGTAGTTAATTTGCTGGTGATGGTGGCATAGAGCATGGAAGCTAACTGAGGGCTAAATAAGTCATCAGTAGAGACGAATTTGGGGAAATTTTCACTGGCGGTGAGACCGCTGCGTTTATCATGTTTCTTGAGAATTTTACGCATGGCTGTTTCGTTTAAAAGTTGATAATGCTTGATGGTGATGAGTTCAGTGTTTAATGAAATAAACTGCTCGAAAGCGGATTTGGATTCACGGCTTTTCAGCTTGTTGAGTAAATTGGCTTTTTCGAGTTGAGTAAGAAACCAAGTCATTTGTTTTCGAGCGCGTTCGACAGTCCGAAATGATTTATCAGATTCTGTGTTGCCTCTAAATATCTGTGCGTCCATATAAATAGCAAATATCCTCCTCCAATTATACATGTCGGTCTTTTGTGTTGGTGACGCCTACATAATTTTTATAAAAAAAAAAATGTGTTAAAAAAAACATTAATGCATGTCTATCTTTTTTTTTTTTTTTTTATGTACCACTTTTGTCATTCTGCCTTCCAGGTTGGAAATATCATGGTCGAATTTCTGTTTGGTGACATCTTGAAGCATAGCAGCTTCTGCCAATTCTTGCATCAACATTTTAAAGAACTCATCGTCTTGTTCTAATTCGATGACGATGGACTTGAGCTCGCCTTTTTTGGACGATTCTATGGCAGGTTGATTTTCTTGTAGTGTCAGGTTGAGGAGTTCCTTGACGAGTGACACAGTGGAATTTCTTCTTTTGGTTTCGGGGGTTGTAATCACTTGTCTACCATGATGATCATCCGTTGTTGTCGCTGTTGTTGTTGCCAAGGCAAAAAAGTCTTTATTTTCATGACTTTTCTTGTACTCCAGTTTAGGCGTTTCTTGATTGTCGGATAACAGCATTTTTGATAAGACTTGTTGGACTTGCGGTGCTTGTGTATCGTAGGTGAATTCAATATTGGGTTTAATGTCGGGCGCTTCACCTAGAGTTTATATGTTTACAAAATAAAAATCAAACTTTTAAAAATGATTTGTTTACCAGTGAAATAATATCTAATTTTGGGAATGTCGCTTCCTTCACCATCCAGACATTCATGAAGTAAAGAAGTGGAAAGTCCTCGACTTTCGATTTCCTCGGCTACCTTTGTAACCAGTTTCTTTAAAGCTTTATATTGTATTAAATAGGGTCTCCATTCAGAAGGAATATCCTCTGCTTCAGTTTCTAACTGCTTAGCAAATTTCATCGGGGAGAAAAAAAAAAAAAAAAAGTGAAAAGAAGAAAAAGAAGAAAAGAGTTTTTTTTTATTATATATATATATACATATATATTTATTTACCATACTTGACACTTTTTTATCTCTGGGTTCATAAATGATCCCACTTTACAATGAAATGTGTCTGTAAAATGTTGTGAGTTCATCAGAGGACCATTCACTCGATATCGGTCAGGTGCATAGTCCTTGATTAATTGCTACACAAGACACAGTTGTTAAAATACAATACATCTCTTTCTTTTTTTTCTCTCTCTCTCTCTTTTTTACCTGATGTTCTTTTGTACTCTTGCTACATTTCATTCGGGCAAATTGAATGTAAGCCAACTGATGTTTATTCCAATCATTTAATCCTGGTAAAATCATCATTTTGTCTGTCTTGTTCACCCAAAGCGTCTCAGCAATAGCTAATGCAGCATTATCAGCAAAGTTATTATCCAACATGCCTTGACCATCCAGCCCATAACGATTGTACTGTGACACGAGACATTGATTCTGGGAGTCTAGATTATCTAGTGCGTCTTTATCCCACCAAGAGCCAAAAATCCCTTGACTATTGTACTGCCTTCCTACACGGTCAAAGGCATGCTGTGTGTGTTTGGTGAGGGGGTGGGGGAAAAGAGCACGTGGTGTCAGCCGACTGCCAATTGGATTGGTTGAATTTGAATTAATGCACTTACCATGACTTCGTGACCAATCATCCAACCAATGGTTCCATAATAAAAATAGGCGGGAGTTGAAGCGTCAATCAAAGGACGTTGGAGCAATCCACCGGGTATCATCACCTTATTCAATTCCTTATTGTACGACACTTGTACACTTTGCGCATTTACTTTCCATGCGTTTTTATCGATGGTCGGTTGTTGCAGAATTCCCCAGATTTGCTGTTTCACTTGGTGGCGGTTGGATTTCATCATATTTTCGAAGAAATCCTCCGGATCCATCGTCACATCACTGAAATATTCGGACAGTGAAATCACAGATCGAATATCTGGCCTTGAAGTAGAAAATCCCACCTGAAACTCCATCGTTTTCAACTAAACAAAAAACTTTTTTAATACCTTTTTTCTGTTGTATGTGATTCATTTTACCTTGCTCAAGATATGATCACGTGTGAGTTGGTCTTGAGGGCTAATCCAACTCAGATGGGATACACGGTCTTCAATGATCTGTACCACTGTTCTAGCCAGGTCCTCCACCTGTGCTTTTGCTTTCACAGTGTCATGATGTCGATCTGTAACAAAGTATCTTCCTAAAAGCACACCCATGGCACTTTTATCGAGAATATCAATACAGGTCTCCCAGCGCTCGGGTGTGGCTCTTGGTTCAATCCCATTTAATTTAGCATCCAATCTTCGTTTGGGAGCTGCAAACTCCTCACCAAGCACATCTAAATATTTCCAGATGGTTCTCCAGATAAAATACATTTGCAAGGTACGAGGATTGGTATTACTCAGTACATCGCCACTCAAGTTTTCGATAAAGTCGGCATGTGGAATCAATACATGTGTGGGTGGTTCGGTTAACCTATCAATAAAGCGATGCCAATAGATTTGAGGCACGCGTGTTTGCAATTCATGCATCGACCATCTTTCAGGCTGGTGTGTGTCAGCCAAGGCCTGGACTATTTTCTTTTCGAATTCAACAATGCGACGTGCGGTGGCAATGGTGCTCCATGATTTCCAGCCGAATTCATTCTCGGTGTCGAGCTTAAAGATGATATCCAGGATATTAGTGACGACCTGCATGTAGGTCTTTAAAGTGTCGGGATCATCATAAGCCTCACGGCTAGGCAAGCCGACCTGTCCATGTCCGACCGAAAGCGAAGGTTTCGTTGGATTTACAATAATATCGGGTTCGGCGACCATTTGAAATAAGGGCCATATATTCCGACTGCCTAAATATTGAATCGCATCATTGAGGCCACCGTGTGCGACTTCGTTGGAGAGTGGGATGAATTGGCGAATAGCACGAAAAAGGGGATATAAGGGTAAAATGCTCTTCTTTTCAATCCTGTCTTGGTCCATGCAGGAACGATGAAAATCTTGTACTTTGGTAAACAGTTGGCGATCCAGAATGGCGTTGGGGTCGGGTAAATTTGAGCGGTAGGTGTCTACATAATCACGGCTCAGGATTTGGTCCAGGCGGTGACGGATGGTTTCGGTCATGCCGGAAAGAATGTCCACTCTGGATTTTACGTCGGGTATCAAATGGCTGGATTGCCATCGATCACCTGAAGTATAATATAGATTTAGCATATAGACACTGGATATCATATTTTAGTAACGAGTAACTTACACGTATATGCATAAAAATCATCACACGGATTTAGCTCTTGATCTACATCCTGTAATTTGATGTTGTTTTAGTTTTCGATAAGCACTTCCGAACCCCCCCCCCTTTTTTTTTTTGTATTACCTGTAATATCTGTGATGCAGTGATGATGCAATTTGGCTCTAAACATGAAGCCTACAGAAGAAAAAAATAAAGATGAGTGCTATTGGTTCATGAATAAAAAAAAAAGAAGAAATATAAGCATGTACGGGTTTTTTGGTGTGGTTTTTGGGAGTGGGTAAAAAAGTAGGCAAAGAAGGCGAATGATTATCTTGTTGACTGCTTCTTGCATATAATCCAGCCAATATAAACAGGAGGATCAATAAAATCGAACTAGAGAAAAACATGAGCTTCTCTAGCGATGTGAAATGACCTGGTTGAAGGTAGGCTGGGTAGCGATACACTCCACCGTAGTCGGCTGATTCGTCTTCTTCTTGTTGACTACTAGAACTTTCATCTTCTAATCTTCTTTTTCCTAGTAATGGTGCATGAACGTCAGACATGGAAAAGAATTTATACAAATGAGTGAGAGAAAAAAAGCAAAAAAAAAAAAAGGTTTTCTTTTTTTTTTTTTTTTTTTTTTTCTTTGCCACAGGAACCCCTTCTTATCTTGAAACAAATATTTATACTCGGGCCAATTATATAATACAATGAGAAAGAGAGACAGAGAGAGAGCATGAATAAACGGAGCCATACTTGTTTATGGCAACATCTATCCGGTGGACACTTCCGGAAGTAGTTTGCTTAACCTCAAATACACGCACATCTAAGCCCTTTAGCTAAAAAAAGGGGGGGAAAGGAACTACTATTCCCAAGAACCTTTTTATTATATGTATATATTTCTTTGCTTGTGCTAAACTACATGTTTACCTATTTTTCCATACATGAAAATAGGGAGTATCTTACCTAATCCTAGCGCATAAAGAAAATCCCTTGTTTGTGTGACACGCTCCCATGTTTTAAGACTGTACTGGTTAATCCCCCCCCCATCCATCAGGAGTAGGAAAACTTTTAGAGTCAAAGTAAGCTCATATTTACACTTTCTCGGACAATTGATTCAGGGCATTCTATGGTTTCTTTTTTTTTAATTCAATTTTTGTTACATATTGTTTGTTTGTGATTTACCTGTTTGTTAACTATCATCATAAATATCTCCCACCTCAGACAATCTATCACTATTTAAACAGTGATATGTTGAATAGCTTTGATACTTGTTAAACGAGTTTTATAAATCAAGCCTACACTATACATTTATATATATATATATATATAAAATAAAAGGCCAGTTCTTATTTTATCCCTGGAGGGGTGGGAAACATGCTTACTCACTTTACGTATGTAACAACTATAAACAGGTACCGTTTTTATTTGTTTTCTTTTTTTTTTTACATCATAACCAATGATGTTCATTGAGTAAAGGCTCACGAGGGGTGGTGGTTTGACTATAAACATAGGCTAATTTGAACATTTAAATGGTTTATCCAATAAGGAAGGGCAACAGATTAACTAATGTCAAATATGTAATTTCCCAATCCTTTATCAGACTTGACAAGCTCTTTTTAAATTTAGCTGAAAAAAAAAAGGGGGGGGGGGGCTCTTACAGATCATTACGGATGCTTTAAAAAGAAAGACCGCAAATGGGTAATATCTACTAAAGTGTCAGTCGTGATTATGTAAGCACCTTATGCTAAAAGATCATTCGGTGCCGAACAAGGAATAGGTATTTAGTGAAACACAAATCCCTTGTCATGCTAGTCATACATCATTCCTTTTTTTTTTTTTTTAATCGTGGGGAAAAGAACCAATACAGTGCTTACGGTATCAAATGGCGGATTGCAAAACTGGATGAACAGTTTGGCGTCGAGGTTGTTTATATCATGGGCAACTGGTCTGCTCCTAATACAAGATTTCATGAGCCTATCCGGGGCCTTCTACTCTGTCGGTTGCTTTAAAAAGCTGGTAAAAGGGTGTAGTTACTTAATTGATGAATTTAGAACAAGTCAGTGCTACCCAGCCTGTGAACGTAAAAGTCTCGAAACGTTTTAAATGGCTGATAACCCGCGCCCTCATAGACGAAGAGCAAATCCTCGTGTAATTAAACATGGTCTCTTAACGTATGTTGATTTTACTTGTTAATAATTTTTTTTTTTTTGTTCCTGTGACAGTAGATAGAAAAAAAAAAAAGATTTCGTAAATTTAAGCGTACTTGATTGGTCTATCTTATTTGACACATCTTATGACAAGTATGAACAGGTGTTTTCTTTTTTATTATTGCATATTTAAAATGGTATTAGTGTGTTTATGTATAAGCATGCAAGCATTTATTCATATCTGTCATTTCTGTGACAAGCGCAATCGCCGTGTTCCTCTTCTTCTTCCTCATCGTCGGGTTCATGGTAAGAGATGGTGGTATTTGGTAATTTCGTCTTTAATTCGTCTAATTGTGCTTGTTCTAAAGGCGTGTAAATGGTAACTATGCCAACCGTTTGGTGAGCGTCCAAGTGGTTGTAAAATTGCTCAAATTCTTGAGGGGTAGTGATAATAATGGACATGACACAAAAAAAAAAAAAAAAAAAAAAAAGAGAAAGAGTAAAAAGGGGAGGACTTTTTTTTTTTTAGATCTCCCCCTTCTAAGAGCAGTTTTTAATTACGAGTAGCACTTGTATAAATTAACAGAGTGATCTTCTCACTCTCACTCTTTTTATTTACAATGACTAGATATTTATTTTTATTTTTTTTGTGATGTATTTGTTTTATATGAGTGTGTGGGTGGTGATTGTAATTTATTTCTTAAAGACGATATTAATACGAGATTCACCCATTTGATGTCTATAAATACAGGAAAAAAGTTTAGACATGAGATCATGTTAAATGCTTAAAAAACAAAAAATATATATACCTGTTGTATTTTCTTCTGAAAGTGACTGCAGCTTCAACTGTAGGGAAAACAAGTGTAGCAGTTTTGGTATCCGTATCGATCTTGATATCCTTTGCATCCTTGGCCATATCTCTAATCTCTCCCTCTTTAATCTCTGTCTTGAAGCCGTTGACGGTTAATGTGTTGGATTTGCCACCAGTAACTATTGGGACAAAGTGGGAGTTCTCGGTGATGGATGCGGCCGAGTGTTTGTCTTGTTGACCACCAAGACGACTAGTGATATCTGATTGACCAATTCTGCTTCGGATACCATTCTCGGGTCTGTGGTGATGCTGTTGTTGTTGTTGTTGTTGTTGTTGTTTCTGTTGTTGGTGTTGTTGCTGATGATGATGATGGGGAGGTGTATAGGGAACATTTCTGGGTGATAAAGACGATGAAGATGCTGTGGATTGATTTGCTCTGGCAGCTGCAGCTCCCTTGATGGCTATACCTCCAGCAGGAGATTGCCTTGGGATACGTTTATGTTCATGATCAGGTTCAGGAGAGTTGCTTTCTTTGCGTTTATCACCAGCCTACAATAGTTAATATATTGAGTATGGGGAAATCATTACAGGAAAAAGGTAATCCTTACCATGGGTTCAGACTTTGTCTCTCTTCTCTTTTTCATCATTTCAGCCGTCTCTTTACGTTTCTGGTCCAGTTCGGCAGCACGTTGTTCTTGACGAGACTTGTGAAGCAAAAGTTGTTGTTGATGCTGTAATAAAGTCATGCGTTTGGCTTCCATTTCCATAAATTGACGCTGTTGAGCGAGTTGCTGCTGCTGTTGGAGCATGTGTTGATTGTTTCCACCGTTAAACTTTGGATTGACATAGATACGATTGGAGTATTGAGGATAAGGAAACATATTACTAATATATAAGGTTGGTTTTTTGGCCCATGAAACGATTAGTTTTGTCTGCTATCTTTTTTTTTTTTCTTATAGTCCAAAGACTGTGTATTTTCTTTTCTTTTCGTTTTTTTTTTTTTGCTTTCTTTCTTTCTTTTTTTTTTTTATATACATTTTTTTTCTCTCTCTCTCGTTTATATATGCTTTTCTTTTTTACTATTCTCTCTTTCTCCTTTTGTTCGTGTGTCTATTGGCAAAGCGCGTAGAATAAAAAAAAAAAAAAAAAAAAAAAGAAAGGGCAGAAGGATAAAGAAAAAAAAAAAAATTTATACTTGAACCTACTTCATTGGCATCATGTCTGGAGTGTATTGAGGGTGGTTGTAATAATTTTGTTGATAAGGATTGTGGTTATAATGTTGCTTTGGTTTTACAGCATGTGTTTCTACCGGCTTTTTAGGCTCAGGTTGTGCCTTTTGAGTAGGATCTTCTACGATTTCACCTTCATCCAGTTCGACGACAACATCCTTTTCTCCCGGTTCTTCAAACTCAAGAGCCAACTGCTTTTCAAGCTCTTCTGTCGTTAGCCCTTGCCCTTCATATTCTTCCAAATCTCCAAAGTCTTCAAAATCAAGTTCATCGTCTTCCAACATTAAGGTTATTTTTTTTTTTTTTTGGTTTTATTTTCTGTTTAAAACGAAACAAAACGGAAACAGAAAAAAGAAATCTCTCATTATTCAATGGACACATTTTTTTTTGATGACGTACTCTTCAAAATTCAATCGCCGATCTTTATTTCATGCGTTTACTTTTAACCAATTACATCCTTTGCGTCCCTTATTTTAAAATACTGATTGGGAGTTCTTAGAAATAATCAATTATCTATAATCTTCTCAAATGTAACCGAAAACACTATATTTTAAAAGAAAAGGTACTGTAATATTCACGAGCACAATGTTGAAATTTGTTATGTTTTCTCTTCAATGGAATATTTAGTACGGTACACACAAAAATACGAATATTGTTACATCAAATGAAGCAGAAATCCTCTATTAAGTTGACCTTTACTAAATCTAGCCGTATTCCAAGCTCTTATTCACTACAGAACTAACCAAAATTTCAACATAAAAGTTTATTCTGTAAGCGAGAACAAGATTTTTTTTTTTGTCTTTTTAACCATAAAGAAGGTGATGAGGGTGCTAGTTTTCTCGAGAAGAGTGATATAATTGATTGTTTGAATTATGAACAAAGAATAGTTGCGCATTGCTGTGTACAGGTACATTGTAGAATACATCAACATAGATTTTCTCTTTTGTACAAGATCACCACGTCAAAAAGCAAAGGCGCTACATGAGGTTTATAACCCCCCCCCCATTTAGTTCTTCTAAGGGAGTCTAATATCCAATGAAGACTATGGCGTTAATTAATAAGCCTATATACAAGTAGAAACTCAATACGAGCGAACTTTATAGTGCACAAAACTGTATTTCTATAACAAATTAGCTGCAAAAAAAAAAAACGTGCTGTTACAAAGAGCCTCTGTGTGTGTTTAATTATAGCCATAGGGTTGGATCTCCGTTTTATCTAGCACACATTTTTGCATTAACACATTCGGCAAATGATGAGTGACTGTCCTTCATGCATTGATTGGCGGAGGGGAGAGGTTAAAGCCAATATCCAGAAGAAAGAGTCTATAGAAGCACGTGTAGGCTTTTTAACAACGCCCAGAATCTATAATAATAAAAAGAAGGGGGGGGGGGCTGTAGGGGAAGGTCTTTTTTGTAGAAGGAAAAGAGTTTTTTTTTTTATTATTATAAGCTTTTCATTGTTGTACAAAAAGGTCTTTAATACAACAGGTTTCAAACCATGCAACTAGATGAAGATTCTATTTTAATGTCAAATGACGAGGAGAGACCGATATGTGAGCCGATTTTTTATGTTTTTATGTACATTTTTTTTTCTTTTTTATGTATATGGTATTTTTTTTTTTTTGTATTTTGCAATTAAAAAGAGGGCTTATAATAGGGAGTGGGGGGGTTGGGGGGAAAGAAGGGATTTTTTTGTTGTTGTTGTTGTTGTTGATTTTGTAACTAGTTGAAAAAGAAGGTAGAATATACATTTTGATGATAATTTTTTGGGTCTGCAATGCGTTGATGCAATAGAATGGATGAGTTTGTTAATAGATATGAAGATGACAGTTGTTGCTTTGGTACAGCGTCCAAGGAAATGGACGAAAGGGAAGATGAGGATGAAGACAATGGTTGATGATAAAATGTGGATGAAAACGAAAGACGTCGATGATATGCAATTTCATACGATGCACAACTCGTAGGTCGAGAACTTAGTAGTCGTGAAGGATAATAATTGGGTTTTGAGGCTTCATTTGTCTCGCATGAAGTAGAGCAGAAAGAGATATTCTACTTCAACTGTTAGCATAACTTTTCTTTTTCTATAAGTATTTTCATCTAGCATTTTACCTCTTCAATCAAGTGCTTTTCACAATAAAGACAAATGCTAAGATCCATTATCCAACAAAAGAAAGTAAAGAAGAATACAAGAGAAAGAAAAACGAGTTTTGTTTAAATATAAATTAAATACTTTTTTTTTTTCTAGTCACATTAGGGACAAAGAAAAGGGGGGGGGGGGAAGGAGGGGGTTGTTTGTAACGCGGCGTGGGAAGGACACAGACTCTATTGGTTGAATACCAAACATTTATTATTCTAACTTTTTAATGCGGGATTATCATCTCTAATCACCTGGTAAACACACACACACACACACACACACACAAAATCCCTTTTGGCCAGAATTCCAATATTTTATGTGTTTCTATTTTAACTTTATTACATTTTTTTTTCTTTAGTACAAAAGTCCATAAATGATCATGGAAGAAGTAATGCATGCAACACCTAGAGCCATCATAATAGGGCCCAAACTTTCTGACACTCTTTTACCTGCATTATAAAAACATGTGGGACAATATCCGCCTACACAAATAAAAAAATAAAGAATAAATTAGAAATCAGTTGACACAAGAAAAAAGTAATAAAACAGTCTTACTTCCGGTTACGGGCTGGTATGATTCAGCAGAATAAAAGGCAATAGTTAAAGTAGTAGCAGGAGCTAACCAACCTGGCTGAGGAGTGGCACTCACACCGCGTTGATCATATAATTGAACCTTGTACATACCCATCATGAGAGGAGAAGCAGCAGGCACATCCTTCATCTGCCAAACAGCAGTGGTAGCATCACCAGCCATGGTGCCGATGGTATAAGTTACACCGTTAGGAGCAACAGCGGCCATGGTTAATGAAGCAGGTCTTACCAATAAATTGGAGTAAGACCAGGCAAATGTCACATTTTCTTTATTATCAATACGGTAAAGGGGTGAAACAGATTTACTGGCTGTAGGTGTCACAAACACGGCATTGGCGGGATAGACAGAGTTGCCGTACACGCCAGATGTGGGTAAGGCAGCAACAGAATTATTTTGAGCTCCGCTAGCTGTTGGAAGTGCGGTTGCAATGATCCCGGTTACGATGGGAACACTTCCACTCATCACTGGGCTGCCAACAGGTTGACTTCCGCTGACTTGTTGACTCTGTTGGGGTATATTGGAGACGGCAGGTGTTGCTGCTGGTGCTGGTTGACTACTACTGGCAGGTTGATTGACGGGCTGCGAAGCCACTGGATTAGATGAAGCGGGCTGTGCGGGTTCTAACATTCTATGTTAGTTTTTTTTTTTCTTTCTTTATCTATTCATTGTATTCCTGTTTATATCTAACCTTGAGCAACTATTATATTTATATTAGTATTTTCATACATATTCACTACTGCAAAATAATAAACTTACCAGCACTTGATAGGAGGCAAAGTCCAACTAAGAATAACGCAGTAAGACGCATTATACAAGAAAGAAAAAAAAAAGATAAAGAAGAGAGAAAGGAACAGAAAAAAAAAAAAAGACAAAAAATTTTATCGTTTATTTTTACTCCTCCCTTCCATAAAAAGAAAAAGGTTTAGGTTACACACTCTAATAATAACCTATCAATTTAAATACTTTCTTTTCAATCTCCTTGATTTTTTCATCTTCTTTTTCAACATCGGTTCCTTGGGTTTTAATAAATTGTTGACCCCCTTTACAAATACAATATAATCTAACGATAATTGATTCTTTTTTTTTTTGGGCAAGTATATATCTTGGACTTGTTTAAGAGCAACTCGTATACACGCAACTCCATTTCATGTAAAGCGGACTCTGTTTGTGGCTGAATAGACCCACACTGAGGATGCGGTCACTGAAATATAGTTTTATATGGGTCTCTTGTTTTTTTCTCTTGGTATTTCACCCCCTTCTTTTTCATATATCTCCAACTAAATGTCCCAACAAGGTAAATTTGACCGCAATAACCTTAAATTTGCATGGAAAAAAATATAAACAATAAAATCTTTGATTTAGAAATAGAAGAGTATCTCCAATTTGCTATCCAATTAGCTCAAGATGCTGGTGCCATCATCAAAGCTGCAGTGGATTCTCGTATGGCTGGTTCAGGCTCTAACATTGAATTGAAAAAAGAAAACCCTACTGATCTTGTCACTGAAACTGATAAAGCTGTGGAAGAATTCATCAAGGCACGACTTTTCAAAACATACCCTAGCCACAAGTAAGAAAACTAAGTGAAAAATCATTTTATACAAAACTCAAACTTCTTTTTCTTATAAGGTTTATTGGAGAAGAGACTTTTGCCAGTGGAGAAAAGACAGAGTTTACTCAAGAACCTACATGGATTGTGGACCCCATCGGTACCTACATAAAAAAAGAAAATAACACGCTAAAAAAAAAAAAAAAAAAAAGATTGCTTATATAATCTATTTAGACGGTACCACCAACTTTATTCATGGATATCCTTTCGTCGCTGTTTCTATTGGATTCACACTCAACAAGATACCCACTATTGGTGTTGTCTTTAACCCTCTCCTGAACGAACTTTACTCAGCTGCCAAAGGACAAGGTGCTTACTTGAACAACACAATCAAGTTACCTCTATTCAACCCTCCTCAACCCTTGACTGACTTGTCTCATTGTTTAATCGCCACCGAGGCTGGTTCCGATCGCTCCAAGTTAGTCATCGATGCCAAAATTGCTGCTATTCATGACATGCTTCGTAAAAAAGACGAACACCATCCTTTTGCTGCTGAATCCCATAGTATTCGTACTACGGGTTCTGCTGCCTTGAACTTGTGTAATGTTGCTAAAGGTGTGGTTGACGTCTACTGGGAAGTAGGCTGTTGGGAATGGGATGTCGCTGCCGGTATGGTGATCGTAGCCGAATCCGGTGGTCTTGTCTTGGAAGGTCATTCAGATAAGACAGAGACAGACACTGCTAATATCTTTTGTCGTAAATATCTTGCTATTCGTGCTGCTTTAGATAGAGAAAGTCAGTTACATATTGCCTCTCAAATGAAGGATTTGATCCCAGCCATTGATGCACCTCGTGCTCCTGTGCCTGGTGGATATAAGGCCTAAACTTTTTTTTTTTTTTTTTTACTGTATAATACATTTTTTTTACTGCCTTCAAAAACCACCCACCCTTCACCCCCTTATCTCTCTTTTTTTTTCATTCTTTTTGACTTTTGACTTATGCAAAATGACGTTTCTTTTTGCATATCACACGTAATGGCGTATTATCATGCAGTTCGTTTCATCACAAACGACATATCTTAGTGGTGATGATGGGTGATATCACACTTGAGGAGGATATGCCCCTTCTTTTTTTTTACTTGTCCAATACCAAGGGAGTAATTAAGGAGAGAAAGCACAATATTAAATTTCACAAAGGGAATGCAGTACAGACCCTTTAATGAAAACCTTTGGCTGATTACAATGAAACTGATATTTCTTGTAATGATTGATCATGTTTGGCTGTGGAAGGGGAAAGAGGAGCGATTGAAAATATTTATGCTCGTTATGCAGCTGAGATAAACCACACAATAAGTTTTCATTGTCTTTCTTATTGCCGAACCGAAGAATGAATCCGAGAGATCCAAAAGCACGGCGTAATTTAGGTAGGAAATACAAGATTCCCTCCTCTGCTGTTTTATTGGTAAGCTATTCTTTATCTTTAACAGTACTTCATATACATACATAAAAGATCTCTCTTTTCATATTTCCTCTAAAATCTGCTTCTTGCCTCGATCAAGTTGGCAAAGAGTACCTGATGACATGATTTTTCCTGCATTGTCTGATACGTAATTTCCTTAATTTAAGTAACCCCCACCCCCACAGTAACGTTGAATTATATTCAAGTCGCTAAACAATAATGATTTAGTGTTATTGTTTCATTTTAAAGTAATCAAAAAGTAATGACAATGTCACTCGATACCACATTTTGTTTCGACCCAAACATAAAAATACACTGCTTGTTTCGAATAACAATCCTTTTGGGCTAGTAACTACAGGGCGGTTATGCGGTGTGACGAAATAAATTCCTGACTTTTTTTTTTTGGCGTGATTGAGTGCTGACAAGAACTGAAACGTCTTTATGACAAAATGAATACCTCTGCTTGCATCCTCCTCCTCCCCCCCCCGTTCTAAGGATGTTATTTGAAACAGTCTCAAGACAAGTTTCCGAAAAGAGTAGAATGTTTCTTCAGCTACTATATCTAGCTTCTGTGTTTTTTATTTACTGTAAACGGCTAGCTGTGATATTTTTACTTCATATACATGTTCTTAATTGCTCTGTATAAATGGCAGGCATGCTACTAGTAGCCCATGAAATAACTTTACTGGAAAAAATCGGTCCTTAACTACCTCAAAAATTATCTAGTGGTAGTTCTTAAAAGTTGGTGTGTAACTGGTCAAATACAAGTAACGGCGTAGATATCTTGGATAATACATGCCAAAGTACATAATTCTGGGATATATATGAACTTTATAGATACATGATTATACGTAGATGGTATGAAATCGATGCAAGCCATTCAAGTGTACTCAGACTATGTATCTTTTTAAAAGGGAAGGGGCATCTGTCCTGATGAGATTTTTTGTTATGTATTGTAAGCAAGGACAACAGTTTGGCTGCGAATCAGGTTCTCTTGTACTCGAAGACGTTTTATTCTTATTTAGGACCTAGATAAACTTTTGCCGGTTAGCTCTGTTCATCAAAGCATTCAAAGAATGCTTTGAGAACCAGGACAAGTTTGAAGACTTGTGTTACTTTTTCTTGCAAATAAAATATTGCTTTTGATGTCTTATTCTTTACCGTATACTATATAAAAAAAGAGAATATACTTTATTTTACTTACTTAAGAAAAAAAAAAAAAAGATGACTAGATGTCTTCTTTGAAAAGATCAACTTTTGTGTGGCTGTATTTGATCCTTCATTATAATAGTCTACTTCGCTTTAGCAAAGTAGTTTACTTTTTTCAGCACTTTTGAAGATTTCCACTTGTATTCGAATTTCTTCAGGGGTTTTCACCGTCTCCTCTAGGCCGGTTGATTTGTATTTAACTGTTATGTACTTGTCTTCTGAGTCTTCCTTAATCAATTCAAATGTGTTGTATGCTATCAGTGGAACAATTTCTTTTCATAGGCATAAAGTATCGAATAAACTTTATTGAGAAATTCTTCCTTTCTTCGAAAGTGATGTCTTTTAAGTTTATGACAAAAGTTACTACAGGTTTAATGAGCTCTGACTCATAAAACCTGTTTTTGATTACAAAGTGCACAAATCGACGAATTGTGAGAGCACTAATTCTGTTCTTTAAGGTGAATGGTTTTTAACAAGGCATCATTGCAATATTCCATAATTTTTTATTGCACTTAGCGAATAATTGCTGATATTTTTCGCGTAAAAGATTGCGCATGATATAAAGAATAGACTCTGCTGGCAGATTCATAGAAAGAGTTTTTTTTTTTTTTTTTTTTTTTTTTTTTAAAAAAAAATGGTTTTGAAGTCTGTTCCTGAAACGTATCAAGCTTTCTGTTCATACAGTCACAAGTGAGGTTGAGAACCGATTTTTCATGCATGCCCTTTTATGAATACGCTCGAGCAGAACAAGCAAAATCTAGGCCTCCTAGACAATTCTGTCAAATAATGCATTTCAGAATCAAATACCCAGTCAATTAAACATCCTTTAAATAACAACCGGGATGTTCGTAAATGATACTTATTAAACAGACTTTGTGGTATGGAAAACCCAGCTCAAAGCGGGCGTGACTCCCTTTTAAAATGTAACGCGTTCACTTATTTTTTTTTGTTTTGTTTTTTTTTTCCTGTTAGAACTGGTTTCTTTTTTTTCTCTATTTTACCTTACAACATGTTGCCAGCTGATCTTTCCTCCTTAAAAGTAGTCGATTTACGTGCCGAACTCAGTGACCGCAACTTATCAACCAAAGGCAAGAAAGATGAATTAATTGAGCGTTTACAAGCAGCGTTAGAAAAGCCCGACCAAGAGACAACAGAGGAGGTTCAAACCATAGTACCAGCCGTGGAAGAGTCACAACCAGTGCTCGAAACATCAGAAGCGCCCTTGGCGGAAGTCATTGCTCAACAGGAAGATACATCTGTTGTCCAAAAGACTGAAACAGTGGTCTCTAATGTGACGGAATCCATCGTGCAAGAAAATAGCGCTTTACCAGTCATTGAATCGACCTCTATCGAAGAGAAAGTGGAAGAGGAAACCCAATCTCCCATTGCCGAAAAGATAGAGTCAACAGTCGAGAAGACCGAGACACTTATTGAATTACCCGCTGCTAGCGCCACACCTGTTCCTCAAACAGCCACTGTCGAAGCACCCGTAGCTCAAACAACCATTGCCGAAGCACCTGTTACTCAAACAGCTACTGTCGAAGCACCCGTTGCTCAAACAACTACTGTTGAAACACCTAATGCCAAAGCACCTGTTGTCGAAGCAAAACCAGTAACCGAGTCACCCAAGGAAAGTATGGATACTGATAAGAACGCAAAGCGAAGACGTTCGATTGAGCCTGACAACACACAAGGTAAATAGAAAGAGAAAAAAGAAAGAAAGAGAGAGATGATTTATTGTTTTCACAAGTACTGATAAAATCATGATTAGAAAAACGCCCAAAGGTCTCTTTTGATAGCTCAGCTTTATACGTAAAGGGATTTGTTCGTCCTTTAATCATTCGATCCGTTCAAGAGCTTTTTGGAAGCTACGGCACTGTTAAGCGTTTCTGGATGGATTCGATCAAGACACATTGTTATGTGACTGTAAGTATCTCTTTGTATGTCAAAAAAAAGGGGGAAAGTCGGTTTATTGATTATCTATATACAGTACGAAACAGTAGAAGAGGCAAAGGCAGCGTATGAGCATGTAAACGGTATTGTATTCCCTAAAGACACAGGTAAAGTATTGAGCGTAGGTGGATTAAGCCCCGAACAAGTGGACGAATTGATCGAGTTTGAACAGTCAGCTGCAGAAAGACGTATTCGTGTGGATTGGGAGGCTACAGTGGAGAAGGTGAAATCAGGCCAAAGTTTGCCCGCTTCCTCTACCAATGAGAATACGAGAAAACCTCGTTCCATTGGCATAGGCCAAATCGCAAAACAATTGGCACAAGGTAAGAAAGATATATATATATAGCACGGAAATGATGAGAGGGATGGTATGAGAGAAGCTAACCATGTTTGCGTTAGCTGCTGAACCTGTGATTGCTCCTTCTAGACAAGTGGAGATCGTACGACCACCTAAAGAGCGTACATTAGAAGACTTGTTTTGCAAAACCAAGACACTTCCTCATCTTTATTATCTTCCTGTTTCCGAAGAGGAAGCCAAGGCCAAACTGAGTCAAATTCAAAGCTTATAAAGAAATATACATATATAAAAAAAAAAAAAAATTTAATAAAAGGGGGAGAGGGAAAGGGGGTGGTAATTTTTTTTTTTTTTAAAGACGCCTAAAAGTTTTTATGGAACCTGTTCTTTCTCCCACAACATTCCCATCTAATTTACTTAGACCCCGTAAGAAGTCACCCATCAATTCCTCTGATTCCTCACCACCATCCTCAATACTATGAAGTGAACGTGTATCAATACAGATGGATGCAGGTCGTCGCACACCGTCAAAGGAAATACGATCACGGATATTAATGACTTTGGGTGGTTGAGAGAGTTTCTTCTTGACAGTAGATGTACTAAGGGATCGACCTAGTTTGGGTATATCAATCACTGAATTTGTTAATGCAGAAGATGGGATAGGTGAATCAATAGGGTGAGGTAAAACGTCGACAGGTAAAGGGGTTGAATTGGATATGGACGGGAATGTGGTGGTTACCATGGGTTTGGATAAACCAAGGTTACGGGATGGTGTTTTGCTATTTTTGTATCGGTTAGTATGACTACTACTACTGCTACTACTACTACTACTGATGGTCGTATGATCCGGTAACAGCCAATCATTGGGGATATCTAGGCTCCTTCGATTTTCTTCATGTCGATTGGGTAATACAATCAGCGGTCGAACAATGGCTGAGTTTCTTCTACTTACACCATGGCTATATGTACTTTCTCCTTCGATATCCACATCTAGCACTTCTTGTTCCAGAGGTGAGTTGAGGTCTGTCAGACCGTAAAGATCTGCACTTTGTGATTTACGATGATTGAGTGAAAAGCGAGCAGTATTCACATGATGCTGCGGCGGTGCGCTATTGGGTTTACCGAATTTACTGGCGGCAGAACTAAAAGAAACCGATCTGGATCTTTCGGGTGATAGGTTGATGGTGGATAAAGAGCCGGCAGAAATACTTGAACTGACAGAACTCGCATCGTTAAGTGAAAGTGGATCGTCTTTTAAGAATTCACAAGCTGATTTCATGGTGGTCACGACAAAACTAGACAAAAAAAAAAAAAAAAAAAAAAAAACAGATGAGTTCAGATGCATGAGTTGTGCAACCCTTTTTTTTTTTTTTTTTTTTTTTTACCTATAAACAGATCCTTCTACCATTCGAGCTAATCTGTAATACTGCATGTAATAAATCAAACTGGCGAGTCTCGGTACATTACTTTGTACAATAACGGAAGCAAGCAAAGGAATCAACTCATCTGCTGTAACGGAAGTATCTATTCAAGAGAGGAAGATGTTGAGTTTTTTCTCATATGATTTTTTTTTTTAAAAAAAAAAAAAAAGATGAGACTCACCGCTGATCCCATTGCCGAAATCCTGTATGTAATCACACACTGCAGATGAGATGAGATCCAAGGTTGTCTTCAATACGTTTAATTTCTCCAGCGGAGTGAAAGCTAATTGTTGATGTTTTGTGGAGATGAAAGTACTGTTATCAGAATCAAGACGCTTGAAATTATTGATGGCAGTTCTAAAGCAAGAAAAGTTCATTTCTGAAATAGGATATCGGAGTGAATATTGAGAGAGCGTGACATTGGAATATGTATAACAGACGGTGTCTAGATAATTGTCCTGGGAAGATAATAGTGATTGTAATGACTGAATCCAAATTTTTTTATGCAGAAAACTCATCACGACACTAAATTTTTTTTGTTTTTGATTAAAATAATAAAAGGGTAAGTCTTTCTTTGAAAACATGTCTTTCTTACAATTGTAATGAAATAAATAAATACTACACACTACATTACTTTTCAACTAGTTCTAAAAATTGATCGTGTTCGGAAGGTGTACGACAAGAGTCTTGTAGTAGTTTGTTTCTTTGTAGTATCGTCTAAAAAGAAAATATTAGAAAATGGATACAAGAACCAAAAAAATTAAATTGATAGCAATGGTTACTCTGTATGTCTTCATGTACATGTGTTGAATTCTTTCGACTGTGCATCTGTTATATCCTTTGATGTAAACATAGGAATCTGTAAACTCATGAACAGCAATTTGTAATTCGTGTAAGGCTTCTAAATTCTCAGGAAACATGTTTAAAAATTCCAGATCACTACAAAATAGGGAGATTAACAAGTTTCATGATTTCACACAGACACGCGCGCGCACACGCACGCACGCACACACAGACAGACAGACAGACAGATGACTTACGTTCTAGAGTTACGAACAGGTGGAATAGTAATTGCATGTTTATGACTGTGGTATTTCTGTAAGAACATTAGTCACCCATCAGGATAGGATGATTGATGATAACTTACAGGTGGTTCACCTTCCAGTAATCTATCTATGGATAATAATCTAATCTTTTTGTTTCTCAGGTACACAGCTTCTTCTGCCATGATATGTACAGTCCGCTCCTCTTTAAAACCTACAATGGTTGTGATGATCGGATTATCCAGTGCAATTATTTTATGCTTTTGCTTGGTTGCCATGAATTGTAGACAAAAATAAGGAGACGGTTGAAAGCAATGCGTCTCTATAATAAGGGTTTTAATTATGCATGAAAAAAGAACAAAAAAAAAAAGCTCGCTGGCTTATTTACCAATGATATCCTTTGTCAAAACAAGGCCTTCAATAGACCTTGAGTGAGGTATACAAATGATGGCAGAGTCACAATAGAGTGAATGAAAATGAGTTACAATGTGCCTATAAAAAAAGTTTTCATCTATTTCTTCTGGTTCTAATGTCTCCACCTCTGGTTCCATGGGTGTTGTTTTATGTATTAAGGAAGAAAGTGTGGGATAATTGAAGGCTTTCGTGCTCTGGCTTTCCTTCTTTTTCTTGACTTCGGTCTTATGAAAGAATTGCAAAGTCATGCTGGTAAAGAGAGAGAGAGAAAAAAAAAAGATATAAAGAAGAAGAAAAAAAGAAAAAGAAAAAAAAAAGGGAGAGAAAAGAAATAGTATTGGTCAAGAGTCACAAGAGCCAAAAATGTACTAAAATGAAAAAAGAAAGAGCGAAAACTATTTTCTTCTTTAACCCTTTCTTATTTAAACGATATAAACACGCATGCTGACACGACATTTGACAAGTAAAATAATAGACATTCGTCTTGACGAAGAAAAGTTTTATTTTCCTGGTGAAACTATCAAAGGTAAACCAAGATTGTTTCCCTACTATAAATCAATCAACTCATGCAAAGTAGGTCTTGTCATTATACACCCTAAAAGTGTCATTAAAGTCAACCTGATCCAGCTTAAATTCTCTGGTCAAGTGCACATTCATTTGAAAGAAAAGGAGACAACTACCTTGTTTCAAGACACCATTATCTTGTCTGCCTGTCCAACAAGCCCAAATCCTAAACAAACAACACTCGAGGCAAAAGAATATGCCTTTCCCTTTCAATTCGTTGTACCCAAAAACTTGAATTTACCTAGTTCTATGGAGGTAAGCTGTGCTAATTCTTATTATGAACTCATATCTTAACGGTCTTCAATATTTCAAGTTTGGTAAAAAAGGACACATTCGATACACCATTCATGCTTTACTCGACAGGCCAATGCTACCCGAATCACTTTGTCCTAAAGTCGAATATGTTGTTTCCTTATTAGAATATATTGATATTGAAAAACCTCAATTTAAAATACCTCAAGAAAAATACATCGATATCATGCTTCCGAACGCAAAATATAATCAAAAATGCACGGTGAAGGCATCTATGCCTCGCCTTGGTTTCACAAGAGGTAACAATTAAAAAAAAAAAGACAGTAATTTTCATTTGCATACTAACCCCGAATTCCAATAAAAAAGGTGACATTGTTCCGCTTAAAGTTACTGTGGATTATTTTACATCATTTATACGTAAGGATGGTGTTACAGTAGAACTTGTTCGAACTGTCGAAATCCGAACAACCAAGCACACCGTATTCAAAGAAACTAAACTGAAAACTACCCCGTATCCCGTCGATATAAAAGCGCCTAATTACTCACAATCTATCATTTGTCAGATATCAATACCAACATCTACTCCACCTTCCATTCGGTACAAGGATAAAATGATACGTTTTCATTATAAAATACGAGTGTCTGTGTCCTTTGGTGAGAGAAATACATATAATCTGGATTTACCTATTGTGGTAGGCACTTGGCCTCGTGCTGCAGTACCGATCGAGGATGATGACGATGCATTTGCACATGATATTGAGGATTCTGTATTAACAGATGGAGAAGACGAAGACGTAGAATCCATTGGCACGAGCTCAATGGATGGTTCTCGTACAAATTCAAGTATATTACCTTCCTGGCATACAAATAACAGCTCAACTTCAACTATCACTAATAATCAACACAGATATTCAAATGGAAATATATCATCCGTCGGTAGATCTGACTCTAAAGCATCAGATAGATCATTCAACTCGTTTAAATCCACGCGATCATGGGAGTACAACCACCAAAATAACTTGACTCGAAATACATCACAAAGTACGACCCTATCTTCTCCTGATAGATTACCGTCTTATTACTCTGATTCATCATACCCCAATCATCATAACAGAAGGTCAAGATATATCAACCAAAATCAAAGTCCTGTGCAATTGGCCAACGATGTACCAACACATATACTAGAACCACTGCCTAATCATTTCATCCCATTAACATCACCCATTCATGAACAACAAGAACCAGAAACCTTTCATTCCCCTTACATTCAGCAAGACACCCCCTCTTCTTCCGATGATTCGGACGATGATGATGATTTATTGGCCATCGTCAAGCGTAAAGAGAGGAAAGAAAAAAAGCTATTAAAGAAATCCGCATTGTAACATATCCCTCCTCCTCCCACATTCATTTTAATGTATATTTTTAATAACTAGTGAATCTAATAAAACCCATACCCTCACTGTTTTTTCCTTCTCTCTATAACTTGGAAACATTTCCGTTCACTCTTTCACAAAGACTCTTTAAATCCAAAAGTACACCTTGCATCACTTCCATCAACTTTTCGGTGGACACTGTCTCAGGCACATTCTTACTTTCAATACCAAATTTGACAAGAGTAGGTGCTGCCATGTAATTAATACCGTAACCGTCAGGATACACTGTACCAAATCCTGTTCCCATCAAACGAATACCGGCATGAAGTCCAGAGGTACTAAGTCTCCATACTTGGGATTGCCCATGAATAGGGTCTGTAAAAATAGGGTGCATCGGCACCTGTACAAGCTCGCCTTGGTCTGTTAAGACTTGATGATCAGCGTTTAGTAAACGAAGCACCAACAAATGACGATCACAACCGTGTCCATCACTGGCAATAGCAGTGTATTCACGATGTGCGGAGGTGGCCTTCACTAATAGCTGATATTTTTCGGCATCCCCAAGCTGATCATTATCAAATCCTTCGACCAATGCCTTACTGTCTACACTGAGTGTACGGATTGTTTCTGTACGTCCGCGAAGGTATTTGCGGGTAGCAGCAGTTTCATATGTGGGGGTAACGGTTTGATGAATACGGTAGTAAGCTAATTGAAGTACCATTTGATAGAACGCATCGGGAGGGACACGGCCTGTCTTTTTAATCCAATTCGTACCATAATCTTTGAATACGAGTACATTTGAATCTGAAAGTGCTGCAGTGGCGTCAGCAGTGATTTGTGCTTCCGCAATAAAGTGATTTAACTTGGCGTCGGTTTTGAATTTCAAATGTTCAAACACGACTTGATCATGATGGGTGACATGCGAAGAAGGGTGGATGAATGCATGTGACTTTTCACCAGGTGTGGGGACTTGTAACATGTAATCAAAAATGTAACTGACGGTCAAGGCATCCACAGGTGAATGTTCTCCAGAAAATCCACACATACCGTTGTTCTCGACTACCAACGTGAAAGATTTATCAAACCAACGGTTATGACCGTTACCTAAACCTTGGTGGCCACAAAACATGGTTTTAGTCCATGACGCATTATCGATACCATTAGAGTAATCATCGAGAGCTACTGCAAACAATGCCGTCTCAATCTTGTCCAAGTTACTACGGTGTAAGGTTGGTTCCATTGCTAACAAATGGTTGCGAGCTACGGCCCAATTATCACGTTGCCATGAGGTTAAAACTGACAATGGGACATTGGCTTCAGAAAGTTTTTCGACATGTCCAATTAATGTCAAAAGGGCACTAATATTTTTAATTTTGTCAGGAACGGGGATTTTCTTTTCCCTTTTGTGGTTGTGCTACCTACTTTTCAATCTCTTCAGTTGTGAGTAAGATCCAGACATTCTTTTCAACCTCCTTGTAGACATTCAATGTATAGACTTGATCACGTAAAAGAACTGCAATATGGCGGATCTCCTTTGCATTGGCTTGAACAAGCGTATCACAGTGATGAAGGGGAACACGCGTCACCGAAAAAATACGACTGTATTGCCACATACACAAGGCCTTATTTCCACGCATCATATCTACAGGCAACTCCTCTCTGATACGGAATGAGTTACAGAATAAACACGAGTAGTAAAGAAACACTTACCTGTCGATAATTTCCTTGTACTCCAAACCGCGACGAATCATATGAGCTGCTCTTTGAACTTGGAACTGAGAAAAGAGACCTTTGGGTTGAACACCGTTGTTAGCAATCAGTTGTTTGGGGTGACCGGCATCCACTTGACCAAGGATATACCAGTTACTATTGACCATCAAAGGCTCACGCCATTCCAAATAAGCTGACGCATAATTAACACATAATCAAAACAAAGGAAGCGGGGATTAGTTTTTACCTTTCTTTAACCAAAAATTGTCTTCCAGCCAATTTGTAGGCGACGCATGATCAATATCCACTAAACGTTGTTGAAGTGACTTTGATAAATCGCTTGCTAAAAAGTCTGCAACGATAGATCTTGTCTTTTCATGTTCCTCTTTTGTTTGAAGTGGGATAAGCGATTTCAAGTAAAGTGCACAAGATTCTTCCAAAGAAGGGACTGGTAACTTTGGTAAAGTATGTTGTAAACTAAATGTAGCTGGTGAAGACGGCATTTTTTTTTATATATGTATAAAAGAAGAAGGGAAATAAATAAGAAAAAGAAAAAAATAAAAATAAAAATTTATACAATTCAGGGCAATAATTTATTAGAAATACTTTTTGCATTTTTGATTGCTCACATGTGAAATTCAGTATGCAAAAACGATTTTTCACCCACGGCGTTACCTCATCTGCGTTTAAATATCCATTCCCGCGAGCCTGGGAAAATTGAAAATAAGTGCATTAAGTCTTACAAGTCTTATTGATGTAGGTCAATGTTTGGTCAGCGATCCTCATAAACAAACCCAACTTAAAAACAATATGTACATCAATATATGAGCCAATCATACTTGCCAAGTCTGCGCTGGCCGTTACCTCGGTATAGGCCCTTAATGTTTGTACAGTAGTTGAACTGTTAAAGTAAATAGCCTAGTTCATATAACTAATACCAAAAGAATAAAAAAAAAAGTTTGTTTATCAAACTATAAGCCAAATAAAAGAAACACCATGCTCTAGTGTCTAGTAAAGATTTTTTCTATTTTGCAATCGTTAGAATATATCAAATACTTAAATTCGGTGCTCATATCCATTAAACGTACGACACATGTGATAATACAATTTTTTTTTCATCTTTCATGCAGAGATTCGGGGTAAAACAACAGTCGTTGCTCTTTATGTATACCCATGTAAACAAAAAAAAAAAACTATCATAAAGACTGTACAGCTGTCGTCAAGTTTTTCGCTTGCGATACTTAAAATCATACCTCTTAATTGTCTTAAATTTTATACTAACAATACCGGTCCTGTAAGTTTGACGTCAAAGCTTACCTAGTTATCAATTATTTTGTTTTTATTCAACAACTTCATATTTAATACTCGGATTGAATAAGTCTTGTTATGTTACGAAGGTTATATTTAATATTTGAGGAATACAGAAGTAGTCTAAAAAATCCTTAACATCCCATGAAGGTGTTTATATTCGTTATAAATTGAAAATCGTCATTTTACCCTCTTAGAAGGTTTAATTGCCCAAAAAAGTGAGGCCATTTCAGTGCTTAATTTTTTCGCTTTTTTTAAGCTGTAAAATGGACCAATCCATTTCACTGCTTAAATTATCGTTTTTTTTAAAACCTGTCAAATTCGACAAAACTATTACAGTGGTTACAAGGGTGATTTATTTAAGTTTTGGATGTGAGATGGTAGGTGTCCGATAGAAACATCGTAGCTGTCTTCAGTTCCTCTTGATGAATGTATAAATTTATCTGTCAATTCACCACCTCTGACTGTATTATCTAGCGTACCACTAGCAAGTTACACATACATAATGACAGCTGCATAGTTTCTTTTGATGTAGTAGCAACAACATTTATAGGTGCCCTATATCAAATTTAATTAGTGACATAAATTAACTGATGATTTATTAATAATTTAATTAATTTGCGGGTTTTATTTTATAAAAAAAAATCAAGAGATGCTCTAAATGTAATGCTCTTAGCACCTGCTATAAACGTCATGTCATATTTAAATGTAATTGAATGCAATTTATTAGGATGAGTTAACGCTGTTCAAAAGCAGTACATTTGCAGAACCTGTAAAACAATCACGGTACGACCTACCCTATGCAATGGTAGTACTGTAGCATATGTAACGTATGATTCATATGAAGGATAAAGAAATACAATTTCGCTTTATGTCATATTCATAGTGCTTTAAGGGACTTCACAATATCTTGTGCAACGCTTCTTTGTGTTGTTGTAAGCTTAAGCAAGAGCCACCACCACCACCACAAAATCAAGAGCCACTACCACCAACCCAGGAGCCCTTAAAGCTTCAGACCCAGGCGTTTTTACCACCATGAACCCAAGAGCCCTTACCACCACAAACCCAGGAGCCTTTACCCCCATGAACCCAAGAGTCCTTACCAGCACCAACCCAAGAGCTACCATCATCACCTAACCAAGAGTTCTTATCACCACCAAACCAAGAGCTAGTATATGTAATGTATGATTCATATGAAAGATAAAGAAATACAATCTCGCTTTTTGTCATATTTATAGTGCTTTAAGGGACTTCATAATATCTTGGTAACGAACATTTCTTGGAACTCCACATCTTACCGCTCCTCCTTAAGCTGGCCCTTTGGAACCCACTCCTATAAATATCGATGCCATCCAACACCAACGCTGTACCAACCAGGGAAAAGATCAAGACCCAATGCGCCGGTGGACTGAGGATGGTCAACCTATTTGTGGTCATTGTAATACTACTGGGCATTTAACCAAGAAATGCCGATTCCAAAGTAACAATCGCCGTAACAACTCTGGTCGTCCTCACTCTAGTATCAATAACTCTGGTCGTAACCAATGGAAGCCTAAGCAAGTTCATGGCATCGACTCGTCTTCTCCATCTACTCCTGCTTCACTATCCACTAACGGTTACGTGTTCGATAGGTCGCTATGTAAGCTCCATTGACATGCGTTGAGTTGCTACCCGGTTGACTCTTAACCATCTTCTAGTCAAGATATTATTTGCAGTTTATCTAAACTTTCGACCTCGCGGCTGCTCAAGCCAGTGACTCCGTTTGTCAAGATCTTTTGTGCGTCTACTCCGTTACCCTTGCTCTTCTCTGACGAGTCTGATATCCTCTTCTTTCATACCCGGCCGGTGTTACCATAGTCACTATGGCTTGACACATTTGAGTTCTTACATTCCAATCCAACGACTAGACATCTTGGTGCTGGACGTACACTACAACAGTTTTCTCGACTCTACTACTTCTCTAAATACTTAACAAATCATCCCATGGTAGCTCTTGGTTTGGTGGTGATGGTAGCTCTTGGTTAGGTGATGATGGTAGCTCTTGGTTTGGTGGTGATAATAACCCTTGGTTAGGTGGTGATGGTAGCTCTTGATTAGGTGATGATGGTAGCTCTTGGGTTGGTGCTGGTAAGGACTCTTGGGTTCATGGTGGTAAAGGCTCCTGGGTTTGTGGTGGTACGGGCTCTTGGGTTCATGGTGGTAAAAACTCCTGGGTCTGAAGCGTTAAGGGCTCCTGGGTTGGTGGTAGTGGCTCTTGAGTTTGTGGTGGTGGTGGTGGCTCTTGCTTAAGCTTACAACAACACAAAGAAGCGTTGCCCAAATTATTTTGTGTAGTCCCTTAAAGCACTATGAATATGACAAAAAGCGAAATTGTATTTCTTTATCCTTCATATGAATCATACGTTACATATGCTACAGGACTACCATTGCATAGGGTAGATCGTACCGTGATTGTTTTAAAGAGATGTACCGCTTTTGAACAGCATACAGAAGGAAAAAACGCGCAACTTCCGCCTCAAGTGGACATAGGCGAACTTTTTTTTTCAGGCGGTTTGGTTACGCGTCCGAACCCCCGGTGGTCTTGTTGTAGGTAAGCACTCGAGACAGTAAAGATTTCTATCCAAAATCGCATTGTAGTTTTTTTAGGGTACGACTGTTACCTTTACAAAATGTCCCTAAACCACGAAGCTGGATATCGATCTGTGCCAGTTGCTCATTTTTGTACTTTGATAGTCGGGCGATTGGCGGTCAATGTTTGATATTTTCGCCAAAAATGCGATATGGCAATGTTTTACGGGGTTGTACTCCATACAAATTCCCAACTCAACAGCACAACGGTTCATGACCCACCCAGATGTGGTTGGCTTTTTTCCTTTCGCAAAATCTCTTCCGCGTCCTTGGGCACAATACTCAAACCCATAATACCAGTGGAGATACCCGCTTTATGTTTGACAGCCTTGGAAAAGGGTACTTGGTATAATTTATAAACCACGTAGTTGACATCTGATCGACTACCACCAGAGGAAACATCAATCACATCAACACCGATCATATTTAAAGACTTGGCATATTCAATGGCTTGATAGACATCCCAACCATCTTCATCATGACTTTGGGGGTCAGGGATTTTACAATCACTAGCTAATGATGGAGAGAAATGCTTGAAAAATAATCTCGTGGGTTTACACAGGTACTAGGCTGATAGCGTTACCACTTTGAGTGGGGTTGATACTAATTTAAAATGGTACTGTAGCAGCGCCTATAGATATACTACCACTGAAAGTTGATTCGAGTTGTTCTTCGATATCTGTTAATTGTGTCAAGCCCACACTGAGTAAAGATTTGATATGAAGCAGAGAAATTTGCGGTTACACGTTGTGTTGTCTGATGTTTGTACTACAGTTCTTGCAGCTGAAGGCACTGAAAGGATAAGGTTTCCCGGCAGGCTAAGTGATACAGAGGAGGTAGAGGCTGCTTAATAGATATCTGCGTAGATTTGGAATCATTGGATCACATTCATCAAGCAGACTCACTTTGGGTCAATGCACTTTTTTTTTTTTGTGAAGACGACTTTGACCTTCTAAAGGAGAATTATCTTTCTGCAACTTTCCATGTCGTCAAACAGTTGTAGATACCGAGGACAATTGCCTTTGGTAAACCGGTTGAAGTGAAAGTTAAAACTTCAATGATCTAGGTTGTGAAAATGACGGGACTACGACTTACAAAAGAAACTGATAGTTTTATACTATTTACAGCCACTCTTTTAAAATAACTCACGGCCTGTAATCCAGTGAGATCATCAATCACTGATTGTATGTCGTCAACTGCGAGAATTTGGGATTCTTGACAGTATGACAAGCAATTTTCCAGATTCAAGTATTCGCATAGCATTGGATTGCCTTGAGCAGAATGTCCAAATACAAGTATAAAGGACAGTGAGCTATTTATAATCAGACATAGTTTTGGTAAGTTGGTACTAAAGCAAAGGATATAAAGAAGCGTTTATTTACAGTAAGTGGATGTTGCCTGCTTGAATCACTGTCCTGAGCATAAAACAAGCTTGTCACGCTTAAAGCCCTGACTTTATTTCAAAGTCTTGTGATGCTGTGAACCAATGACACTTGTCCCTCTGAATCGCATCAATTTATGGGTAGTGGGCGAATCATGGTAGAGTGGGCCCCAATCCAACAGCCCATTGCCCTCAAGATTTATCAGACTCGATTTTTGTTTTAGACTGAGAAGTGAATGGGATGATTCGTCTTCATCGGCAGAATTCAAATCACTCTATAACAAAAACAAAAATGTTAATTTTAATGTGATACACGGTATGAAGGAATCGTATTACAAAGACATATTCTTCGTCCAGGACCTTTAAAAATAATTAAATGTAATTAGCAAAGAAAATTTGTCAAAATAGTACTCTCCGCTCTTTCAGGTTACTTGTAAAGTCAGCTGTTGTCACCGCTGCTGCTGCAGACGGTACGATGAAGATGGCTCATCGTCTTCACTATCCTCTTTCGTCTAGACAGTCTTTTTCTAAGCGCTCTTCATACTATTTAAGTTAATTTAAATATTTTGTTAGTATCTAGTTTAAAGCTGTTTTACTAAAGCCACAAACCATCAATCTTTGTCTTTTCAAAGCATGTGTCTAAGTTTTATGAATAATAATGATTTTGTTTTAGTTACTTCATAACGCAATAACACTTGCGAAGAAATATAAAATTCACAATATACGAAAATTTAACATATTTTTCTGGCATAACCTACAGTGACAGTCGATGTGTATATCTCCTTTTCAGCTTCCTCAAGGTCAGTGGCTGAATTAAGGGAAACATTTGAGAAAGAAACCTTACATGCAGTGGTCTGTAAGGACTAGTATGACAACATGAATAAGGTGAGTATTACATTACTTATGTAAAGACGGAATTTACCTCATCTAAAGCTTTGTTAAACCAACAGAGTAAGGGAGTCAATACTCTCTGGTTGTATCTTTTTTTTTTTTTTTTTTTTGTACAAATGGCCGCCTTTGGCAATGTCTACACCCACTTTTTTTTAGAATCGCGTAATTTTTCTTTTTTTTCTTCCATACTTTCGACCATTAGCGGATCGCATAACCTTGTGTCAACGACAATCTCGCCCTATTTTCTGCCCTATCCTTGTAAGATAGAGCATGACGGACTATGGGGACATCTTCACCATAAAAAGCTAAGACTAGCTTTAGCCAGGATAACACAACTATTGGAAAATATATTTTTAATTTTTTTTTTTTGTAAGTAAAGAGACGTTTTTTGAAACAACACAAGTCATTATAAACCAACCTTTTCACAATATGTATGACTTTCCTCTGAAATTATAGTGCGATCCATGAATATAAAAAAAAGGGATAAGAAGAAAGAGAAAAAAAGGGGGAGTGTGTGAACGGGCTTTTTATCTGTAAACTGATAAACAACATCTGGTTTACGTCAGAATGATTTAATTTGCTTATTTAATCACAAAAAACAGGTTTTTATGTCAGCATGTTTTAAACTGTCGTCAAACGAACTCGATAGCCACTGGATTCAAGCTTTTTAATTACCAATAACATAATGTAAATACAAGGTTTAAATTGAGAAGATGTATTAGACTTATAAAAAGTAAATCCAAAATAGTAGCTTTCTAAAATTAGTGATTGGGCTTTTTCTATCTCGTTTTTAAACTTTACTTGTAACGTTTTGCTGCGGGGTGGGGGTGGGAGGAACACCTCCATGTATATATATATATTGAGGGTAATAGCAAGCTCCCCGTAAATTCTGTGTTTATAAGCTTTCATCTTTGCTCGATTGATGCCTATGATCGAATCAGCAGGTTCAAGGTATCCAAGGCTGTCCAGCAACCTTCAAATTTTTACAAATACAGAACAACCTATTCTCCCTGTATTTTTGTTAGGTTTTTGTAAACATATTTTTAATCCTTTATTTGTAGTGACCTCTTATTTCATCTTTTCCCTTTTTGGCAGCGCGCCATTTACTAAAAAAAATAAAAATTGATATATCTGACTTGTCGCTTTTTAAAAAAGTCTCAAAAGGTATGTTGAATTGTGTCCATACTACACGGTTTATAGAGTTAAAAAGTGGATTTTCAATGATTGAGAGGGCGGGTTCTCTATTCCAACTATTTCAGTTTGCATATAATATTATGCTGAGAGAAATCGGAGTTGATTTGTTACACAGACCTACAATAATATGTATAGTGCTTCATGATGTATCAAGAATTGAGTTCGTGTGCGCGATGGTCATGAATAGGATGGAATGATGAACAAGATTTGATTTAATATTGTTTTTATCAAACTACTAGGTAAAATTCATCGCAAGACTGTATTTTAGGTCTTGCCGTTTTCCCGACACTATTGCTGGACGATCTAAAAATCAGAAGATATGTACAATGGTTCCTTATTTGTTAACGACCTAAATGGTACTAATTTTAGTGACTATACCACTAAAATATTTCATCTATACATGCTGCTTTCGAGTTAACCAGAGTGAAAATACTTTTGACATCTCATCATTCAGTGTTTGTTGACTGTTGAAATTAATTATATTGTTAATGTGGCTGAATTATATGTAACCGATAAAGTTTTTCTCATATAGTTGCTTTTTGATCCTGTTGAATGTACTGCAAAGACTTCATCACCAAATTTCCTTCGATCGTGGATTGTGTAACAAACATATCTCAACACAGCATATACATATTTTTTTTGCTGCTCCCTTACAGCCGTACAACCTTGATAATCTATTTTATTCATCTACTTTTTTTTCTCTCTCTCTTTACTTCTTTACAACACTCCATTGTAATAACCGGGCCTGTCAAAATAAACGGAGTTGCATAATTCGGGAATCCCCCCCAAATGTCCCTGAGATCTAAAACTACATCCTGATTATCTTATTTTTATAGATGAATTATCTTTTTTTTTTTTTTGAAATATTGGCCTTTAACTTTATTACGTTCATAATGCAAGTACACACACACGCATGCACAGCGAGTAGTTTAATATATGTTGTTGCACTATATATTCATAAATCCATCACCCTATTTTTGTAAACAAAAAAGCCCACATTTTTCATATAAGCTCCTTTTTAATAGGTACTACTACCTTTCATAATCTGTTATGCAAAGCACAGTTTCATAAAGTCACTCACCCTTTTAAGCGGCGGGAAGAATGCATCTTATTTCGTCACATAAATTAAAAAAAAGCTTTTGACTGTTATTCTTGCTATAACCCGAGCATTGTGTCTTACCACTGCATGAGGAACATTGAACACTTTGCATTTATAAAAGGACGAGACTTGCTGTTTGGTCGAGTTATTCATATCAATAGGTTTCATTAAAGCATTCATGACTATCACAACCCAAATATTTCACGTTACTCAGCATTGATCATACAGTGGTAATTAAGAATTACACTTATAGAATGTTACATACTTCGTACATAATAAAAAAAAATCCCCCAATTCATATACTCACTAAAAATTAGCATCACAAGTTCAGACCTAGACACACTGGAAAACCACTCCATTGAACTTTGCACATTGTCCCAACAGTCAAACAAGTCGCATCTCCTATCACCATTTTATTTATTTATTCCCTGCTCATTTCTTCATCATATTTCATACTCCTCCCCCCAAAAAAAAGGACGATGCCTTAAGATATTTGACCCTATACCAAACATCCAAAAATTAATAAGATGAGGCAGGTAGGATCTTGACTATGAGTGTGGTCGAGAATAGATCTTTTTTTTTGAGAAACGATAGAATGATGTTAAAGCAACCCATGGGTTTAGGAGTCTTGTGCAAAAAATAGAGCAATCATTCAGGAGCAAACTCCCATTAATTTAGCCCTTGGATGGTTTGGTAATTTTAAAATGAATTAGCACTTTTGGCCCCCTTCTGGTTTTACGCTTGATAATTCTGTTGACCACTTTAAGTGGCTGTTACCCAATATGCGACTATAACTTTTGCTTTTTTTTCTCGAGTAAGGGCAAGATTGACAGAAGAGCTCGATCGGTTAAGTCGCTTAAATTACAAGAGACAAAACAAATAATTCAAGGCACCTTTTTGCTGACAAGTATGGTAGATTACTACAAAAAGACAGCATTTGAGTGCTCTTTTCGCAGGAGTCTTTTTTCATGTTCTTTGGACATGCAGGAATGGAATATACTGATTTAATGGCCTTTCTAAAAACAGTCTAAAATACTTTGCGAGGGTTCCCCATGCGTTCGTTGAACGTGTAGAGATATAAAAAACCGTTTAAACGCGAACATATTACAAGAAGACCTTAATCATGCCATGAGAGTTTGGATTCTCTGAATAAAGTGAAAAAGATGGGTTTGTGTGACATTGGAGGGACTAGTATCGCGCGCGACAGTGGCATTACGCAGCAAACGCGTGATCACAAGAAATAATTTTTTGCATGAATCAAAAAGTCCCCGTCACGAAAGGGTCTTGTGATTACCCAAAAAATTTTTTTGAGGGGGTGGGGGAAAAGGTATAAAAAGGGCAGGATTTTCCTCATTTTTTTTTTTTTCTTTTTCTTTAAAATAAAATCATATTGCCCTGGGTTACCGGGCTTTGGTTTTTTACCGTTAACGCGGTTTTTTAATATTAATGAAAATGAAAAAAAAATTCTTATAATTTATGAAGATGAAAAATATATATAAGCAATTTTATTGGCTGAATTTTACTTCAACCCAATGCATGAAAAGCCCTTTTTTTTTTTTAATTGAGGCGGGCTTTAAATGGTCTTGGGAATTGTTGTTAACTGAACAACGGGTAGCCTCAGCAAAGTGTTCTTAAATAAAAGTTTACATATTTTTTGAAAAATACCAAAATGCCTTGATAACTAAGCTTTTCACGACATTCATTCATTCAAAAGAAAGGAAATAGGTATGTAAGTAAAGATAACATGAACGATTAAAGGCTCAAACATTATGTTTGATTAAATAAACAGATAAAGTATCATGACATAAGCTCACCCAAGGATTAAATCATGTTACTAGACGCGACGTTGACTGATAGGATGCAAAAAAAAAAAACTGATTTTGTCAATTGTCTTAATGTCTGGCAATTGAGTCGTTGCGGCACAGCTGTACGTCGTGGCTTGTTTATAAAGATGTTTCCCATTTAAAAATAAAAGTAGCTTGCATGTTCATGACATAACACAGTCTAGGAGGAGGAGGAAAAAAAAAAACGTGTCGTATGGCATTAACGGTCCTCCCCTTCCCAGGTTCACGGAGACATTTTCCAGTTGTAATTTATCTTTTGTCACTTTTTTTCTCGTCGGTGTTCAATTGCTCAATAGGGTTAATGACAGATGAAGGACTGTTGATGAAGTCCATGGCATTTAAACATTGTTATGCATCGTTTAAACTCTGTAAAATGCAAGTTTCATGGGGTTTTAAAGAACGTATCTAGGACAATACGAGCTGTTACGTTGAACAATGTTGTAATGAAGGTGTGCTCATGATCTTTTTTTTGGGGCGTGCGTGAAAAAGATGTCGATGGTGCAAGCTTTTTATTTGTTGCTGTATTCGATATATGTGACTGGGTGTGTCTATTTTGCAGATAATATCACTATTATATAAAAATAAGGGGGGGGGGGAAACCTAAAGCAGTAAAAACCATTCTTTCTTTTTCTTTTTTAATTACAAAAAAAAAAAAAAGATGCATACGGGAGCAAGTGTACTTGTTGGGTATATCTGTATTTTACCCGTGATTTCTAGTTATACTGATGGATGGATTCAACACGTTCTTTTGTACCTGCATGCACTGGGTGTATCGTGTATGCTATACCTTCTCGTGAACCCAGCTACGAGTGATAACAACGAGGTGGATGAAAATGAAATCTATGGGTTACGCCATCTTTTATTTAACCTGGAATTACCACCCAAGACATTATGGTTTAATATGGGACTTTGGGATAAACCCGGTTTAAGTTTTCCTCAAGCTTGTGAGAATCTTGTTCATAAGGTGGCCCAGTTTATCAATATCAAGCCAATGTCGAGCGTATTAGGTAAAAAAAAAAAAAAAAAAAAAATATATCAAAAACTTTGATTCAAGAAAAACGTGTTAGGATGGATGATTTAAAAAACAAGTGTGTGTTTGGGGGGTTTTTATATAATAGATGTTGGATTTGGATGTGGAGATTCTTGTATAGTATTTGCAGGTAAAAAAGAAAAAGTCTTTACAAAAGAAAGAGGAGAAAAAAGGTTACTGATTGTTTGGTGATTTTTTTTTTTTAGAGCAATACCAATCGCAAGTGACTGTAAGTAAATACACATCATCATCCCCAAATTAAAAAAAAAAAAAAATTAATAACTGAAAACCAACCTTTTTTTATATACATAAGGGTATCACCAACGAATTATCACAATGGCGTATTGCAAAAGAACGCGTCTCCACCCTTCCATCGAAAATCAATGTCTTGCATGGATCAGCGGATACGTTAGACAAGCATGTTTCATCTACGTTTGATTATATCATTAGCATTGATTCGGCCTACCATTACAATACACGTTGGAATTTTATTCAAGCTGCCTTTAAACATTTAAATGAGGGTGGTGTTCTCGGTCTCTATGATCTCTGTATCGATCCCGACTTATACGCATCGGTGACGCCCATCAAAAGACAGATCCTCAAGCTGGTTTGTCAAGCCGTTCATATACCTCTGGAGAACCTGGTAACACCGGAAGAATACGAAAAAAGAGTAGAGGATGCAGGATATAAAAAAGTAGACATGGTATGTTTGGATCGCATGCTCGTCTTTGGTGGACTTTCTCAGTCCTTTCACACTCAATACGAAACGACTCAAAAGTATGGGATTGGTATGAGTTTATCCAACCGTATGACTTTGAAAGTCTCGGGTTTCTTATTCGGTTTATTAGCTACACGATCATGGTTAGTTCCCGTTCTTATCAAGGCTGAAAAAGTCTATTAAATAAAGGGTTGCTATCTAGTTATTTTTTTTATTATAGTCTATTTCTATCTAGCTGTGTGTATGTTAAAAAAAAAAGGGAGGGAAGGGGGGGGGGGTATTATTTTCTAATGCGAGTATTGGCGCGTTGGTATTGATTGACCCACTCAATACGAATCCCCAATTCAGCAGCAGCACGATTAGTCCAAGCAGGATCACGAAGATGTTCACGACCTACCAAGATATAATCAGCTTCATCCTTTTGCAAGATCTCTTCTGCGTCCTTGGGTTCAATAATTAAACCCACTGCACCCGTAGGGATACCCGCTTCATGTTTGACAGCCTTGGAAAAGGGTACCTGGTATAATTTACCAACCACGTAATTGACATCCGATCGATTACCACCAGAGGAAACATCAATGACATCAACACCGATGGCCTTTAAAGCTTTAGCATATTCAATGGCTTGATAGACATCCCAACCTTCTTCATCATGACTTTGAGGGTCAGGATTTTTACAATCACTAGCGGAGAAACGCACCCAAAGAGGCTTTTCTTGAGGCCATACATCACGTACAGCTTGAACTACCTCTAAAGGAAAACGAAGTCTGTTTTGGAGGGAGCCACCATATTGATCGGTACGATGATTGGAATGAGCTGATAAAAAGTTGTGTAACAAGTAACCATGAGCACTATGAATTTCAAGTACCTCGATACCTGCTTGATGAGCACGTACAGCAGCATCGGCCCATTTCTGTGCTACCTCTTTTAATTGGGGTACGCCCAAGACCTGAACATCGGCATGTTGATCATCAAAACGAGCTTCGGAGGGACCAATGACATTGTTGGGCCAACCACCGTCTGTTTCGGGTACATTGATATAACCTGTTGTCCAAGAAGAGCCCATATTGGCTTTACGACCTGCGTGAGCAATTTGGATGGAAGGAACAGAACCTTGAGACTTGATGATATCAACCACACGTTTAAGAGGAGCAATATGATCGTCGGACCATAAACCGGCATCGTGAGGGGAGATTCTTCCTCTGGCTTCTACACCTGTGGCTTCAATGATAATCATACCGGGTCTTTTCAGGGCAAAGGAACCATAATGAGCGACATGAAAGTCGTTAAAGAAACCATCTGTACAGCTGTACATGCACATAGGAGGTACGACAATACGGTTATGGAGAGTGACAGATTTACATGTGATGGGAGTAAATAACTTTGGCGTGCTCTCATTGGAGACAGTTTCGGGAGAAGGGTTTGTGCCTTGGGGTTGCACTGCTTGAGAGATATAATTGACAGTCATTTTTTATATATATTTATGAAGTAAAAAAAAAAAAAAGTACAGAAATCACAATAAAAGGGCGATCTTATTTATACCCTTACCCAGAGTAGCGTTGCTTACCAATTATTTTGATTATTAATGGGGAAGAAAGCTGTCACGCTTTAGGGTTTGTTTGACACTGTGTTACTTTTTTAGTTTTTTTGCTATGTACTAAAGCTGAAAAAAAAAATGAGAGTAGTCAGGGTCCAAATACCTGATGCTCGGGGGCAGGGAAGTCTATGAGTGTGTGCTAAATAGACTCTTTTCTTCCTTATTCTGAAGAATTGGCTCGTATGGATGGCTTGATCTCGTTTGAGCCTCACATGGATATGTATTTCGTTATGAACGGGAGGCAGCGAAGTTTGAAATGAGAGAAAATGGGGTTCTTTGAACAAATGTTGGTATCCTAGGAGATGATGTAATTGCAAAACCTTACTGGGTGAAAAAATAACAAAAATACCGGTTTTTTTTTTTTTTTAACCCACTGGCTTGGGTTAAAAGCATTGTGTTACTTTGTACCGACTTGTTGGTGAGAGAGAAAAAGTATGGGAAGAGAACATCCCCATTGTGGCTTATGGGTGCAGAGGGGGGAGGGGGTTTAAGTTTACGCATGAAAATAAAGGGGGGGGGGGGAAAGGAAGGAAGGAAAAAAAAAAAAGGTTTGCTTCTTTTTTCGTGTGTAGTACAACAAATGTCTTTTCAGAAATACGAAGAAGATTACGGTGATGCAGTGGAATATAAACGGTAAAAAAAAAAAAAAAGAAAGGCTGTAATGTAGATGAGAGGGTTCATTAATACAAAAAAAGAATAGAACGTACGAGTTAGTGGTATGCCAACAACCTTTGCATGCGCGCATGTGTGGGTTTGGAGAGAAGGATCGACGACCGATTGACCCACCACCTATTGTACAGTTGATTGTGAGACATGAAGGACAAGAGACGTGGGTTGATTTGCAGTAAGTTGAAGTATGTATGTATGTTGTTGTTGTTGCTTACCAGTATAAAGATCACTACAGACACCGTTCTTTGTATTACATGTGACGCTGTGGTCAGCTGATGGAACTGAAGAGCGTAATATCATTTCGAACCCACCTAAATGTACGCGTGTATTAATGGGATCATTGGTGAGTTCCCCTAGTCTATTAAAGAACCCAGAGGGAGACCAAGGATTATATTTTGCATTTCCTGATCTCAGTATAAGAACAGAGGGACAATATACCTTACGATTTAGTCTGATCAAATTAGTCAGTTCGGATTTTCAACCGAACGCTGTCTCGAGAGTCATTAGTCAAGTGTATTCAGACCCATTTACTGTCTACTCTGCTAAAAAGGTATATATACTTATATATGCATATATGTCTTAGGCTAACCCCCACTTTTAAAAAGTTCCCCGGAATGACAGGTGTGTAACCCTTTACTTTTATAATTTATTATTATTGCTAAAAGAGTGAAATAGAATCCACCGAGTTATCCAAAGTGTTTGCTAAACAAGGTTTAAAAATACCCATCCGAAATGACGGTAAGCCCTCAAAACAAAAAAAAGAGAAAGAATAATTATGAAACACTCATTTTTTTGTGTTCAAAAATAAAAAAAGTGAGAGCAAAAAAAGTTGACTGAAAAAGAGTCATTATTATATTATTAGGGGTGTGAGTGTGTGTGTGTGTGTGTGTGGCTTGTGGGCAAAAAAAAAAAAAAAAAATCAAATAAAAGCAAATTTTTTCTATGGCCCCCCCCCCTTTTTTTTTGTTTATCGTCCTTAATTACATAAAATGTCTGAAACCCAACCCAAGGTTGAAAAGAAAGCAAAGGCACCCAAAGCCGCTAAATCCAAAGATGCTGGAAGCAGTTTCCCTCTTGAGGTAGGTCTTTTTCATAAAAAAATGACTCTGCACGACAAAAAACCCTGACCCTCCCCCATGTCCCTATTAGATGACACCTGCTCCTGAATACCTTCAACACCGTATCGACATGTTTGACAAGTTAAAGGCTGCTGCCGATGCTGAAATTGCTCGTAAGTACACACACACAACAAAACAATAACAACAAACAACAACACGAGAGAGAAAAAGAAAGGTTTTGACACATGTATAGAAAAACCTCGCGAGGCCATCACCATCACTTTACCCGATGGCACTGTCAAGGAAGGCATTGCCTGGGAAACCACCCCTCTTTCTATCGCCTTAGGTATTGCCAAGTCTTTGGCTGAACGTACCGTCATCTCTAAAGTGGATGGAGAGCTTTGGGATTTAACTCGTCCCTTGGAAGGTTCTTGCAAGTTGGAATTAATTGACTTTGAGAACGATGAAGGTAAAATGGTGTTCTGGCATTCGTCTGCACATATGTTGGGTGAGGCCTGTGAGAGACATTACGGTTGTAACCTCTGTATTGGTCCCCCTTTAAAGGAAGGTGGTTTCTATTACGAAATGGGACTTCAAGAGCGGTTAGTTTTTTATTTTTTTTAAAAATGTGTGTGTAACTAACATGAACGTAGTGCTGTCAACCAACAGGATTACGCCAACCTCGAGAAATTGGTAGGTCAATTTGCCAAGGAAAAGCAAAACTTTGAACGTCTTGTGATTAGCAAAAAAGATATTTTAGAAATGTTCAAGCACAACCCTTACAAGGTACATATTATTAATGACAAGATTCCCGATGGTACCAGCACCACGGTGTACCGTTGTGGACCTTTGATTGATTTATGTCGTGGACCTCATGTACCCAACACGGGTCGTGTCAAGGCGTTTGCGGTTACCAAGAACTCTTCCTCTTACTTTTTGGGTGATGCCAAGAATGATTCGTTACAACGTATCTATGGTATTTCTTTCCCTGACAAGAAACAAATGACTGAATATAAAAAGTTTATTGAAGAAGCTGCTAAACGTGATCATCGTAAGATTGGTAAAGAACAAGAGTTATTCTTTTTCCATGAGATGTCACCTGGATCTGCATTTATGCTCCCTCATGGTGCACGTATTTACAATGCATTGATGGATTTAATCAAGGCTGAGTATAGTCAACGTGGATTTACTGAAGTTATTACACCCAACATGTTCAATTTGAAGCTTTGGAACCAATCAGGTCACGCCCAAAAGTACAAGGAAAACATGTTTTGTTTGGAAGTTGATAAAGAAGAATTTGCCTTGAAGCCTATGAATTGTCCTGGTCATTGTTTGATGTTTGGTCATAAGGAAAGAAGTTACCGTGATTTACCTGTACGTTTTGCAGATTTTGGTGTGCTTCATCGTAATGAATTCTCTGGTGCACTTTCTGGTTTGACGCGTGTCCGTCGTTTCCAACAAGATGATGCGCATATTTTCTGTCGTACGGATCAAATTGAACAAGAAATGGCAGGTTGTTTCGATTTCTTAAACCAGGTGTATGGTGTATTTGGTTTTGATTTCCACTTGAAGTTGTCTACACGCCCTGATAACTATATTGGTGAACTCTCTGTTTGGGATAGCGCAGAAAAGATGTTGGAAGACTCTTTGAACCGTTTCACAGCTATTAAGGGAACGACTTGGGAGTTGGATCCTGGAGATGGAGCCTTCTATGGACCCAAGATTGATATTGTTATTTCTGATGCGTTGAAGCGTAAACATCAATGTGCTACTATTCAATTGGATTTCCAATTACCAGAGAGATTTAAATTGGAATACCGTACTGATGGACAAGAAGATGCCATGGCACGCCCTGTTATTATTCATCGTGCTATTTTAGGTTCAGTTGAACGTATGATGGGTATTGTGATTGAACATTTTGCCGGTAAATTCCCCTTTTGGTTATCTCCTCGTCAAATCCAGGTAGTTCCTGTAGCAGCTGCTTTCAATGATTACGCCAAGGAGATTACAGCTAAATTGGTTGGATTGGGTATCTATGCTGATGCAGATTTGAGTGATAACACTTTGAACAAGAAGATCCGTAATAGTGAGATTGCTCAATATAACTTTATCTTTGTTGTGGGAGAGGTTGAGGCCACGACACGTTCAGTTAATGTTCGTAACAGAGATGATGTTGGTACTAAGGCTAAGGGACAAACTATTCCTTTGGAACAAGTCATGAAGAGTGCAGCTGATTTAAAGGAATCCAGAAGTTTAGAAAACAAGCTTATCTAAAATTAAAATTTTTTGTGACCTTTTTTTTTTTTATTTTTTTTTTTTTTTTTTAGTTGAAAAAGGGGGGAGGGGATGGGTGGTGGGTGATAATGCGTTCTTTTTTTTTCTTTTCTAGATTATACTTTTTGTAAAGGAACAAAAAAGAATTTCGACAGAATTTTTTAGAAGAAAAAAATAATAATAATAAAAAATCTCTTTTATTATTATTATTCTTTTTTAAACCCTTTTCACTATATACAAACACACCAGAAAACGACGAAAACGACCAGTATGATACCCCCACCGTTAGGCTTGGGTAGACCTAGTCAAAAGAGTATAAAATACAAGCTGAGTAAGTCATTTTATCCTTTTTATTTTTTTTCTTTTTTTTTCTTTTTTTTTCTTTTACACTAAACCAAAATATAACGCTAACTTTAATTAGTCATGATTCAAAACCCAGTTCGAGCTAGATGTTGTGGGTTTGGAGAAAAGGATCGAAGACCGATCGATCCTCCACCTATTCTTCAATTATTTATTGAAAAACCAGATGGAACACTACAAAATGCACAGTAAAAAAAAAAAAAAAAAAAAATAACAGACAAAAAAAAAAAAGCATGTTTTTGTTTTATTTGTCATGCTTACTCGTCTTTTTATTATTATTATTTTTTTTTTTTTTTTGGGTGTAGTGAAGACGAGAGTAACTTATCACTTTTCGTGGTTCAATGTGACCTTGTTTCAAGTGACGGTACAGAATCCAGAAGTCATGTTTTCAACCCTTCCTCTGCCATTTCTCCACCCATCACCAATATTACGAATCATAGCAGCGGTAATTATAATTTTTTTTTTTTTTTTTTTGTGCATTTTTTTTTTAAAACTCAACCCCCTCCCCTTTAAAAAAAAGAAACGTTGCCTACATCTGGTACACTATTATCATTTCATGATCCAGCCCCTACGCGATCATTGATGGGAGCTGTAGTATCCAATGCATATCAATTGACAGATAATGAGAATACGCCTGGAATATTTTTTATCTTTCAAGACCTTTCTGTTCGAATTGAAGGCACGTTTTGTTTAAAGTTTATGTTTATGAATTTATCAGCGGGGTACGTATATATTATATATTTAATAAATTAAACTAACAACGTAAAAATAAAAGAGATCCGTTGACAATGAGTACACAAGTGTCAGATGATGTGATATCGAACCCATTTACAGTGTATTCTGCCAAGAATTTCCCTGGCATGACAGGTATCCTAAACAATGAAAAAAGAAAAAAAAAAAAAAAAAAAAAAAAAAAAACTATAAAATGTGATGACATTTTTTGACCCCCCTCATACAACACTTACACCCCCTCCCACGTGAAAATATATAAAAATATAGACTCGACATCGATTTCACAATGCTTTGCACAACAAGGAATAAAAATCTCAATAAGAAAAGGTAGGAGGATTCGACGTTTGAATGATCGAAGTTTTACCAATGATACTGTAGCTGATCGCTCATCCTCCTCGACCACCCACAAAGAAGATCCACCCGTCACCACCTCAACAACCACCACCCTCACCACCACCACCACCACCACCACCACCACCACTTCAGACACTAGCAGCAACAACAACAATACGAAACAGGTGTATAAGCGGATCGATATTTCCACTTATTTAACTCCCTCCTAAAAAAAAAAATTTAATCTTTTTTTTTTTTTTTTTTTTGTTTGTTCCTCTCATGTAAATAATCAGTTACACATAATTAAAATAAAAAAATAAAATGTTGTTGGTACCTGTCGTCTCTCCAAAAAAAAAAACTTTTTTTTTTGATCTCCCTTCTTCCTCTTTTTTTTTTATCTTCTTTTCTACCTTTCTTATTTCCTCATCTTTTCTTTTTTGTAGCATGATGCATGTTTTAAATTGTCCTGTTGACATTGGCATGTCATCATCATCATCTTTAGCTGAACGTAGAAGAATACCACCCACCGAGAAACTCTCTTTATCCACCACTGACACTTTACCTGCCAAAGTATTACAAAGACTCGAGGATGAGAACGCCAGACTACCACCTCAGGTAAAATATAAATTTTTTTTTTCTTTTCTTTCTCTCACACCTTGTCTCCTCAGGACTCCGAGGAATACATGTTGGCACATTTGGAAAGACAAAATGCTATTTTAAACGCCGATCCTAAATCCATTTGCATCGAATCCAACCGTTTACAAGCAGACTTCAGTACCCTTCGCAACCTCATCTCAGATGCAACCACCTTCTCTCCAACCATTAATGAACATGATGAATCCACGCTTTTTAAAGTGTTAAAGGGTGAAAAGGCACATGAAGAAGAACCCGATTGGGATTTCTGGCAAACCGTTGTACAAGATTTCCCATTAACCGTTCAAAAGCTCCCTCACCTTCTTGCCGCTAAATTACGCTCGGGTGTACCTCATCCTTTAAGGGCTGTCATCTGGCAAGCCATGTCACAAGCAACTTCACTGAACTTGGAATCACTCTATACAAGTCTCTGTACAGAACCTTCTCCCTATGATCGCGTCATCAGTAGAGACTTATCACGTACTTTCCCACAACTTGACATGTTCAAACACGACGGTGGTGAAGGTCAGTTAGCTATGGGTAGAGTTCTTAAGGCCTATAGTCTATATGATGCTCATGTCGGATACTGTCAAGGTCTTGCTTTTCTTGTCGGTCCTTTACTCATGACCATGCCCGAAAATCAGACCTTTTGCGTCTTTGTCCGGTAAAGCCCACACTACAGTACACTGCACACCTCTTTTTGAACTCACATACTTTAATTTTTAGACTGATGGAGACATACGAGATGAGAACCATGTTCACACTCAATATGGAAGGACTCCACCTTCGTCTTTTCCAATTCCAAACATTATTAGCTAGACTGTGTCCTACCTTGGATGCGCATCTAACCAAACATACAATTCATACCGCCATGTATGCCTCACAATGGTATCTGACCTTATTTGCCTACGCTTTCCCACTTTCCTTGGTCTTGCGTATCTATGATCTCGTGTTTGCTGAGGGTGCTGTCGAGACAATCACACGTGTGGCCATGGCCCTCATGCAAAAGAACGAAAAAGCCCTGTTGGCCATGGACGACTTTGAACAACTCATGATGTACTTGACATCACGTCGAATGTATACCGACGTCTATGTCGGAAACAATGTGGATGCCGTCATGACCGATGCCATGGCTCTCAGTACCCTTATCACCAAAAAGGAAATGGATACCATTGCTTCTGACTATTATAAAAATATGCAACAGGAAAAAGAACTGGTGCACCATCAATTGGGTCTCAGTACACCCACCCAAAAGGATTTATTAGCTACCATTGCCTTGTTGAAAGCGGAAAATGCTCAACTCAAGGGACAAGGAGGAGAACAACAACCAAGTCCTGTAGAGTCTGTCGATGGTGATCATGGGTTTGTTCATTCCTTGAAAATGTCGGGCGAGTTTGGTTCTAGTATTGCCGGCGCTTTTGAACCTTTATCCGTAAAGGAAAAGGACAATGATAAGGACGGACACGACGCTATTACATCAGAACTGGTCTCGATCAAGCTTGCCAATTTTGAAATGGGGGTCAAGTACCAGCGTTTATGTCAAGACCATGAACAATTGCAAAAGACATTGGCTTCCACCCATCAGGGACAATTGGATTTAGCCAACAAGGTGATGGAGTTACAGGCCCTGATTGAAACCTTAGAGAACGAAAAGGAAGAAGTACTCACGGCAAATGATGCACTTCTTTTAGAGAATGAGCAACTGGTTGAAAAGTCCTTGGCCTCTAAAAAGACTTGCAATGATTTACAACTAGAAAAAATCAATGTCGATCGTGAGTGTCAAGAACTAGAAGAGAAAGTCAAGCGGTTGGAAGAACAACGTCGTGAGTATTTGATGCCACGCGGTTCATTCACAGAAGAAGTCTTTGCTGCACATCAAACCTTGTTTGGACAAACACCACCACCGGCGATGAGTCGTCGTCATACGTTGCAAACATTACCCAACAGCTTTCATGACGAATATCAGACGAAATACATTGAGAGTGATTTACGTTGTCGTGAATTGGAGAAATTATTAGCAGAGACCAAATTCAAGTTGGTAGAATATGAAACTTGTAATAGCAGTAATGCATCCTCTCCTCGTGCTTCTTTACAGAATAGAAGACCCAATTCATTTGTTCAGTCAAAACGGTCTTCGCTCTCGATGCTTGTCAAGGTACCTGCTACGTCCAATGGTCCTTATTCCCCACCTTACTATGATAACAACAACAACAACAACAATAGCAGTAGCAGAGAATCCACAGAAAGTATGCGTTCTACCGCATCTGCTTCTTCAAGCGCCATGCAGAAAAGATCCAGTGTTTACTCTCGTTTCCTTAACGCTTTGGGAACAGGTCCCTTGGCCGAAGAAGCCACAGAATTAACAGAAGAGCCTAAATAAAATGACCTCTCACACACTCTCACACACTCTCACACACACACACACACACACACACAATGTATTTCCTTTTATTATTATTATTATTATTATTATCAATACCCCCCACCCCCCACCCCTTTTTTTTTTTTTCATCACATGTTCACACACACTCACAGATAAATAAAGCCCTTTTTTTTTTTTTTTTAAAAAAGAATATATCATCTTTTCTTTTCCCTTTACATAATAATAAAAAAATGCTTTCAGTTACAGAGATTATCCCTTCGGATAATATTCATGCGGAAGAAACGCGAGCCAATTTAAAACGGTTAAAGGAACTAACAGAGGGGTTAGAAGGATGGGAAGAAACGGATGATCAAAGTGGTGTCAAATTATATCATCAGCCAGACGCGAGTATTCCTCTTGTACGTGGAGATACACTTCTCTTAACAAAGGATCTTCCCCCTGGTTGTACTCCTTTGGCTGTAGCTACCGTTGCCACGTTACCTGGCTGTCGTCGCATCTGTAAGTTCTTTGCTCCTTTTTTTTTTTTTTTTTTTTTTCTGTATACACGCGGTTCTTAACGCGGTGCATTAGGGGATGAAAAGTTTGATGAATCCAAGGTGTTAGAATATTATTCTCGATATGAATCATTGTTCTGGGTAAAATTAAAGGCTCCATGGCCAATCAGGTAAAATATATATATATATATATATACGGGAAACGAATCCATCATTAAAAAAAAAATTTAAACAAACCCGTTTTAAATAATTAAAAGCCCTCGTGATTTTGCTGGTACGTCTATTCGAGACGTAGGCGAGAATACGGTGTATTGCTCCATGGTATCTGTGGAGGATGAGACAATTCCGGATACATCGGGAGCGGTGCGTGGACAATTGCTCGTGTCAGGATGGAAGTTATCCCAATTAGCAGGAGGGATCGGAATAACGTATGTCAATCAGGTAGATTTAGCCGGTTATATCCCGGGTGCTTTTCTCAAGAAATTGTTGCTTCAAATTCCATTGTGTGCAGGTAAAGTCCGTGATTACATCATGACGCATGGATTTGTACCTACGACGACGGTCATTCAAAATAATACACCGGTAGAATTTAAAGGAGAAGAGTTTCATCATGAGGAGAAGAAATACACGCTCCAATTATCAAGTCAGGATGCTTCTACTCATACGGTATGCTCTCAACGCATGTATCCTGATGGTATCCAAGTGGAATTAAAGGGAGAGGCAGAGATCACACAATCCGTGGATACGCATGGGAACGCTCTCGTGCATCTCTCTCATATCAAAGGTCTTATTCAATTATGCATTACAAAGAAATAAAAAGACTTTTTTTTATTATGATCATTTGGCTGGGGGAATCATACCCAACCCACTTGCCATGGCTTATTACATGTCCAGTATTTGGGATGACAGCTAAAATTTTCAATCTCTTGATCCGGTGTCACATGGCCATATTTATCTCGCATTGCATCAATGTATCCTAAAGCTTTACGTTTTTCTTCTTTACAGATCACCCATCGACAATGGCGACACACGCTACCTCCACTCTTATTGTATCTAATTATCAGCATTAGTTTTTTCTTATGACAATATGATTTTTTTTTTTTTTTTTTACCGGAGACCGCATTTGTTGCAGAGGTACACATAGGGTTTTCCCTTATCATAAAAGACCTGTGTGCTGGGAAAGGGCCAATGGTAGGCCTTTCGCATACATCCATCGGAAGCTTCTTGACAAGCTTGACAGGGACCTTTACTCTTACTCGGTCGACCTACCGTAAGTGGTGGAGAGTAGAGTAAAGCCACAGGACGGGATATCGGACTGGTAGGGGGTGTATGAAGTTGTTGTTGTTGTTGTTGTTGTTGTGATGTAGTAGGTCGGTGTGGTAAATGAATCAGACTGGGTGTAGAAGATCGCCTCTGGTAAGGATGATGTACATGCTGAGTACGTGCATGAGAGACACGTTGACGTAAATGAAAGAGTACAGAGGGAGGTCCACCACCAATGACTGTGCATACATTGGTGTTTAATTGAAATATCAGGCTGTGATCGGATATCGAAGCGATAGAGGGAGATCGATGTGGTTTAGACTTTCGGGAATGACTACAATCTTCTTCATAAGGTGGCGTTGCGGGTAAGAAATGCATGATGAGAGTGAGGATATAAAGAAAAAAAGTAAAAGAAGAAGGAGAGAGAGAGATCTATTTTTTTTTTTTTCTGATTTTGTTAAGGTTTTATAATAAAAAGGGCTGAGACACAAAATACGTGTAAAATGTGGCGGATTTATCTTCTTTCCACCCGATCATTTTATTTTAAGTCTATGTAATCTCTCTTTTTTGTTTCTTTTTTTTCTGCTTAAAGGCCTTTGTGTTCTTGCAATTGGCCTTTTCCTCCCTTTGATAAAATTACCCTAATGATTCAATAGATATAAACATTATAAAAAAAAAATAAAAAAAAAAAAAAAATCCGTGTTATTATTAATCCGAAAGCCGGTATATCACCTTTTCATATTTTAGCCGGGAATTATCATCTACACATTATCATCTGGAAAATAAAGCTTTAACGAGGATCTCCGCATCAGTTATCCGAAAAGAGAGAGAGAGAGAGAGCTCTACCTAAAGGGGGGGGGGAGGGGACGTGACGGGAGCTTCTTTTGAGCTACCTTCCCTCTTTTCCCTGCTTTGAGTAACTTTTATGCTGTACAACCCTTTTTTTTTTACATAATGTCACCTCCTTAAACCCGTAAAATGAAATTACTAACCACCATAACAATGACACCATACATATTAAATAAAAAAAGGTTGGGATGAACCATATTCATGATTTTTATTTAAAAAGGAGAATATCACTACTGTGTATCTCTTATTAGATACCTTTTTTTTTTTAACATGTCTCGTTCATGCAAAAATGAAAAAAAAAAAAAAAGTCTAATTGTCCTTGGACATCTAGGCTGCTTTCTTGGGAGGCTCATACTCACTATGTCTGCTATTAAAACTATCAGTAAAAAAAAAAAAAAAAAAAAAAAGACTCTAGTAAACTCTTTTTTTCCATCACCACAAAAAGAAGATCAAGTTATTCTTAACTGCACATGAAAGCATCACATCATCACAAGTCCCCTAACAAAAAGCTGATAGATGAACACTATTTGGTAAACTCAAGCATTTTTTTTTTTTAAAAAAAAAAAAAAAAAAAAAAAAAAACCCTCTCTGTTCACAATGATAGATGCTTATGCTATAAGTCATCAACGGGTTTAAGCACACGTATACTGATGTGTTAAAAGCATATAATACAGACAGGAAAAAAAAGGGGGGGGGTCTTGTCACTTTGCTGATGAAATCATTGAGTGAGCCCAAAATCTATACGGATTGTGTGATGCTGTTGAATGAATCACCCCGTCGTTGATAGAATGAATACAGAATATTGTGTGTTATCATGTACAACAAGAAAAAAAGATCTTTGTTAGTGATGCTAAACAAAGCGTACAATGAGGGTCTGATTTATACCATGTTTAAGCAAAATAATGCTTCACTGCATAAAAAGTTCACCTACGATTGTATCCCAAGTGTATTTTCCTATTCAACAGTGGTGATTATGTCTAATCTTCCCCCCCAAAAAAAAAGATGGGCGTGAATGGGATGTTACACTGTGAGAAGGGCTGATGAATGGTATTTTTAGCTTTTTTTTTTTTTTTCTGTATGTCAAACATTTGTCAATAAAAAGCCAGAAATACACAGCAGGCAGCTGACAGAAAAATGTTTAACATAGATTTCCTTATTTTGACATGGGGTTAAATATAAATTGTAGCATTCATTTTTTTTTTCTTTTGTTTGGCTCAACTCCCCCCCCCCCAAGTCTTGGTTTATTTAGTCAATTGCTTGACCGAGAAGAGGTGCTACCTAAGTGTATGCACACTGATATATATATATATAAAACAAACCGTGACAAAAAATGCAATTTTACCAACAAGAAACTAGTTTATCTGAGTTAATGCATAATAATAATTAATGCAAATATTGATTCTGTTCAAAAGCGTATTCCCCATCCCCCCCGCCTAATATTAATGATAGATTGTTGAACCCAAAAAAAAAAAAATTGAAAAGGAAAATAACTCTATTACAAAGAAAATGACATCATGACTTGAATCTTGTTGGGAAGCTAAAAAAAAAATTTTTTTTTCTTAGTTCCAAATATACTTGAAAAAGTCTCGAGTTGAGGGTTTTGGGGGGAAATAGTTGTAACGAAAATTGCTCTTACTACTGCTATCTAGATGAAGAATAGGGTCAAGAAAAAAAAAAGATCGGCAGTCGCAAAAAAAAAAAAAAAAACTACATTTGATGGTTATGGGCTCCGCCAAAAGTGTTTGTTTCTAAATAGTTTGAAAGCACGCCTTTACACAACTCGCACACATGTAGAATGCATCTGATACCAAGACTTTTTTTTTTTTTTAGTTCAATGCATAAAGCCCATGCGTAATTGGATTACGGGTTTTTTTTTGTTCTTTCTTTTAAAAGTATCCGTACCACTCCAAATTTGCATTGTGATGCACACTGATATCCAAAATAACCATCCTTGTTGAGTTTAAAGGACCTCGAAAATAAAAGAATAATCGAGAGAAGTGGTGCCCTTCTTACTCAATGCGCCTAAATACAATTCAATGGGCAATAATCTTCATCTAGATGAGATCTAGTTGGGAAAGTTATGTCTTTATCGCTCGTGTAAAGATGAATGAGGGGGGGAACCTATGTATAAATGGGTAGCACCATCGGTCCGAAATATACCGCCGTAAGATCCATTGATAATGGGGTCAGAGGCATGTGTTTGACAAGTGTACTTTCTGTTGGATTCAAAAAAAAATTACTTTTTTTTTTTAAATGCACCGGGTAACCTAGACAACGGGGGAAAGATGAGGGCAAACAAATAAAACGTGTGTTTTTTATCAGGATGCCTACGAAAAGATGTTGTGACACAGGTTATCCATGAATCATGGAAAGTGACACAGATTTATCGTGAATGATAAATTAACATGGATTGCCGAGAGAGAGCAGGTGATTGGATGGTTATTTAAATAGTCGGTCCAGTCTATTTTTGGTTTTTTTTTTTTTTTTGGGAGGGGTTTTTTTTTTTATAGACTATTTGAGACCAACAGGTACACCTCGTTGCTGCACCCTTTTTTTGTTTATATTGAAAAACAGACTTCTATTTTTCTCCTCTTCCTTTTTGTCACCCCCCACCCCCCCTACACAGTTCTTTCTCTCTCTCTCTCTCTCTTTTCTCTCTTTTTTTTTTGTTTATTTCTTTTTTTTTGCTTGCTTTTTTTTTTTAATATTTAGAAAAAATGGCACAATATGGTAATACGCAGGCACCTCCACCTACACTACCAAAACATGTAGATACACCCTATCAGATGAATGCACCTTCTCGTCCACAGTTTCACTATGCTGCTACGAACAATTCAGCACCTTCGTTACCTATCAACCGACAATCAAGTCCTTTACCACCTCAAGAGATGTCCAAGACTCCACCTGGTACCCGTACAAGTTCGGTCATGAACTTATCCATCAATGGCGATCAGTTATTAGATCATTCTCATTTAAAACCAGGAGCTAAAGCTTCCCTATTATCTTATACTCAGACCATCAACATGTATCGAGAGAACGCTAAAAAGACCAATAGTCCCGATATCCAATGTGATTTTGCAATCTTTATGGTCGAAGCTGCTAAACCCATTCAAGAAGATGAAGTCACTCGTTGGGAATATCTGGCTGAAGCAGAAAAATTATTGAAACAATTGGCGGCTCGTGGTCATGCCGAATCTCAGTATTATCTAGGAAACCTCTTTGCTTCTGGTTTGTTGAGTAAAAAAGGAAAGAACGAGTTTGATAAGGCTTTCCCTTTGTTTGTACAAGCTACCAAGCATCATCATGCTGACGCTGCTTACAGGTAACACTTGATCTTATATATACTCTTATATATTTATTCACCTCCTCCCCCCCCCCCAATTTACATATGTAGAGCTGCCAAATGCTATGAAGATGGATTGGGTTGTAGAAGGGATTATTCTAAAGCTGTTCAGTTCTACAAGTAAGTCCTTTATCCCCTATTTTTTTTTTACATGTGTATCTCCCTAACATCCATGGGCTTTTTTAAATAGAAAAGCAGCTACTTTAAATCATCCTGGTTCAATGTATAGATTAGGAGTGGCCGATGTCAATGGCGAGTTAGGCTTATCAAAGAATCCTAGAGATGGAGTTAAATGGTTAAAGCGATCAGCAGAAGCAGCCACAAGTGAATACCCCCACGCAATACACGAACTAGCTCTGTTACATGAACGAGGTATACCCAATGTCGTATTTGTGGATCTTTCGTATGCAGTTTCTTTATATGTACAAGCGGCCGAGTTGGGTTATGCACCGTCCGCTTTCCGTTTGGGCGAGTGTTATGAATACGGTAAATTAGAGTGTCAACCCGACCCAGCCATGTCTATTCATTTCTACACCATTGCTGCTCAACAAGGTCATCGTGAGGCCTGTTTTGCTTTGACTGCTTGGTATTTAGTGGGAAGCCCTCAAGTGTTACCTCAGTCTGACGAAGATGCCTATTTATGGGCTAAAAGAGCAGCAGAAAAGGAATTGCCCAAGGCTGAATATGCAGTTGGTTATTTCACTGAGGTTGGTATTGGTATTGTCAAGAACCCTAGTCAAGCCATGGAATGGTATAAAAAAGCCGCTGAACACGGTGATAAAAGAGCTATTCAACGTTTACAGGGCAAACAAGTCGAGACAAAATCAAAAAAGAAGAACGGCTCTCAAGAAGATTGTACCATCATGTAAACCCTTTAAAAAAAGAAATAATAAAAAACAATAAAAAAATGAAATGGGATTTCCAAACTTTTTGACCTTTTTTTTTTAATACATACGTTTGAAAACACGCGCTTTTAAACGCACACAAACCTCCACATTTAAATAAAAAATTATGTTCTGATTCTGATATACCAGTGTTCATTCTAGCTAATAAAATGATGCATGGTGGTACTTTGTCATTCGTTATAAAATGCATACGTGGATACTTTTGTCTAATATTCTTGAAAATAGTAAAAATGCAAAGAAAGCTTCTCCTCACAAACAAATATAACTTGGTCGCAGATACTGTTAGATCTTGTTCGGTATAAGTATGTTCAGTTATGAACGTTCTTCTCGGGCTTGGTGTGTTATTCCCTGCAATCAACGCAACTAAGTCAGATGTGGACCGTGTTGGCTCGTTTAAATTGTCTTTTTAAACGAGTTGATCGCCGAGAATGTTTTGCTTTATGGTATGCTTGTTGTACATGATGAAGAGGCCCCCTTTTTTTTTTGTATAAAGGTAATAACTACGTGATTTATCTAGACAGTAATAATTCCAGTACATAACTAACAGCTTTTATGTCAGTAATGAAGCGCTATTACAAGTTGCAAGAAATGATACAGTCCATTGTAACCTGGACAACAGTAATGGTTTTAACCAAGCCAATCTCTTTCTTAAACAGGACGGTCATTGGTTACTCTTACGACGATGAAACTTACTCGTCAATCTTTAGCCACTCTAGCTTTCTTGACGTTAGAAATAAACCCATTCAAATTGTTAGTCTCGTTGATTGTTTCTGGTGTATTAGACGGAGTATAAATGACGAAGTAGCTATTATATCACTACGGGGAAATTTTGGAGTTAATAAAAGTGACAAAACGTGAATAAACGTGAATTAGAGTTACTTCGAAGTTAATTTTTTCTATTAACCCCAGTTAAACGCTTCAAGGATCTCGGCTTTTTATTCTGCGGAAATCTTTTTTCATAAGCTTTTTAAGCTTATCTTGAGTGAGGGAATTGTCCACGGACAACTTTCTTTTAGGTAACAATTTATAAGGAAATTTTACTTTAGAGAAAACGATTTGACTTACCGGGTCATTGTACACAATAGAAAGCATCCGATTTAAGAGACGTATCTCCTTTCATTGAACTTGAATCATTTCATGGTCTTAATGAAATGCATCTCTGGGGTCAAAATATTGGAAAACAACCTTGGTCAATTGTAAACGACAAAAAAAAAAAATTTGGAAGTAAACAACCCATTGTTCTTAAGGGCAGCATATATACGACAATTGAAATCAGCCATAAAAAATGCTCAACAACAATTGCAATATGGTTCTACTGATGGAAATTTTTATGGTAAGTTAGCAGACTCTTCAATGAAAACCCATTTAAGTTCTCCAAACATAATTATAATTTTCCTCAGCCTTTTCCAGTGGTAGAACCCCTCGCAGTGTTGATTGGATCGATTTTTGCCTGTACCTCATGCCAACATTACTTGCAGAGGCGTTGGTCATACAAAAAAAAATTGATGTGGTAGATACCATCAACAAAAGAAACGCAAGACCAAAATCAAATTCATCCCATCAACTGGCAAATGCTGATGATGATTCCCTCGAAAATCAATTTGATTTTGGTCGCAGTAGATGAAGCTGTTTGTGCATTGAGGGTGTTATCAAGAATATGCCAGATCACACAGAAGTTTAGCTTTATTGAGATTGATCTTTTGGAAATTGACGCGTAGATTAAGTGAATATTCAAACGTGATACTCGAATATTAACAGTTTCTGTCCACAATTATAGCTTAACTCCCAAATGGCACGCATTTTTGTTAAAACGACTTGGTAAAAACGTCTTTACCATAAATCAGCATTATATGCTTCATGTGACAGAAGCAATTAGGCAGCTGAGCTCCCTTAAACTGATAAGTGCCAGACCAATGGAAAGACAGATTGGTACTGTCAAAAGGCTGAGCAAGTCCAGGAGCAAGCCCGGGGAAAATTCCGTGACTGTAGTCAAAGACCTTTGCTACAATGCTTGCAAACGTTGGAACGAGCAAGTTATTACCAGTCCTGTTGGTATTGTGCTGGAACCGATTGAGGGGCTCCAAAAGCATATCGGCGACGAATTGTTTTTAGACCTCCTAAAAAATGTGCACCTGGCGTTTGCCTCCTTGCAACAAATGCCAACCATCGCTGATACGGTAGAGATAATCCACACTTATTTCATCACCACAAACAGCCAGACGATAAAAAGCAAAAGTGGAAACAAAAAAGCAAAAGTCATGATCAAAGGTGTCGGGGAGGTAGGGTGTGGCATTGCTGATATTGACACAATTTTCAGGTATAATGGCACAATCTTCTGTTTTGCACAAGTGAATAGTCAAGTACAGCGGGAAAGCTACACTTACTATTATAAAACAGCAGAAATTAGTTGTAAATGATCAATTTTTCCTGCTGATCTTATATGCTTGGCTCCGTTGTACTTGTGCCCTCCATGTTAGATTCTAACTTGGAAACATTAAATAAATAAAAAAACACCACAAATAAAAATTGGTTTACATAATATTTTGATTAATCATCTTAAAAGACTCGTTCACACACTTATTCCTTTCTTTTTTCTTTCGCCTTATTTTTTAAAATAAAAAAAATACAATGCAATTTTTGAGGTGCTACGGCTACGGCCAGTTTTGCTACATGGTGACCTCTGAGGCTGGGCTGGCGTTCGCGGGCATCTTTTCCACGTAAAACATGTGTTTCGTTCAAACACATATAATTTATATGTAAAATATATATAGCACGTTGTCTAAAAAAGGCGTAGGAGTAGGCATTGCCATTTTGGATGATGCCGCTATCTCTTCTTGTAAATTATTTGCAAGTGGAGACGAGAACGTCTGCGTAAGTCATTTATGTGCATACCAATGACATATCAGATTACATTTAATTTGGTACTTTATGACATAGACAAATAAACGTGAATACAAAACTGCAGATGTGCTCAATTATCTGGAGTTAATCTTTAATGCAACGTACGTAGTTCTTTGCTTATCATATGGTATACAATGATGTGATTTAATATTAATTCTTCTACTGTGTTTATAGACATAGCTTTCATTATACCAATGTTGATATTAAGGAGGGAAAACCCTCGTTCAATTCCTTGTTTGTCTACCTATTTCTTGAAGCAATAGCTGCTTTCTTGGCAGACAGTATCCATTAGTGTAATGCAGGATTTAGACTGGAGGGAGGCATCTTTACAATTCATAAACAAACAGCTGAAAAGTCTTGGGTTGTATAAAGAAGACAGCCATGTATAATTAGCTGATGGTATAATTAAGCTATACGGATTAAAGGGTCTTGAGCTTCTGTTGTTGGAGACTTCCGGCAGCTTATTGGGAATACCGATCGAGAAAAATGCTCGTCTGACCATCAAAAGGGCCTCTTCGGAGACCTTTCAGTGGTAATATCCATAAGGCAACTCTTGAGACATTTTGCAAATGCAGGGCTTTTCTTGTCCCTGCAGCAAAAAAAATTTTTTTTTTTCTTTTTATCTTTTGGCTTTTTATCTGATCCAATTTTTATTAGGCGAAAGTCTTCATTTATGGGGTATGCGCTACAAGGATCAAGGTCTATTTTAAGCTGTGGTTTGAGACCCATCTGCATGTACTTGACCCATTATATAATGATCTCTAGATTACAGGTTAAGGTCTGCTATTTTTGACACTAACGATCGTATTGAATCATATTATAACTCCCTCAGTTTTATCTTGACTAAAAATCTAGTTCTTAAGTAATTTGCGATTGACTCCTCTGTGTTGTTTATCTTAAGTTCATAACTTATTATATGAGTGCATATTTTCACATTCGACTCGAATCTCATCATTATCAAACCATCAATAATAAGATATCGTATGGAATAAACATAATTACTTTCCTTGTTAATACTTGCTGTTACTTTATATTCATATTCTGCTAACGCTCTTTTTATTTTTTAAGTTGACTACTTCCAGTCTGGTGCTCACTTTTATACTAATTTCCTGTTAACGTTTCCGTCAAGAATCATATCTTGCGCTTATCCTTTAAGAACTATTACTAGTATCTTAACAGTGCTATCCATCCCCAAGTTATTATTTAGATTTGGATCTATTAATCAAAGAAGTGTAAAAAAAGGAAGTACATTGTACTTTAAAATAATCCGAGATTCTGCGCTAGCAGGCATATGAACAAAGTGTTTATACTAGCTTTTGATGTCTTCTCTATTCGTTTTATTCTATCAGACAGGTCTGAATCTTCCATATCGAGATTCACCAGTTGTTCATCAGTATACTGAATGTAATTACTTAAATTTCTGAGTTGTAGGGATTGCCTTCTTCTTCCCAGTCCACTGCCTCATTTCCAATTTCGTTAACAATATTTCCATGACCGTTCTCAAACACGGTTTTTCCAGTGATTGAGTATATGAAAGCTTGTCTAATAAATAAGATAAAATAGGAAAAGGTTTAGGCGAACTACAAATCGATAAACTAAAGGCGACTATGCAATTTTGTAATCTAAAGTGCCCGAATCGGCCAATTAAATTCACACAAATCGATATTTATAAGCGCGCGCAAAATTATTTGAAATCGCGCGGTGGGCACTGTATATCATTGGATGATTAATTTGTCATGAAGCATTGTGTTTAATTGGATATTTGCTTTGTAATGCACAATTGATTGGATACTTTTTGTCCTAGTTCCACCCCAGTCACAAAGTTTTTTTTTTTTTTTTTTGTAATCAGTTATTAAACCCCTATTTAAGCGATCTTCTTTTTTATTTAGAAAATGCTTTCTTCTCGTTTATTTCGTATTCCCTTTCGTAGAACTTTTACTACTTCTTTATTCAACATGGCTCCTCAACATCGTCAAGTTGCCGTTATCGGCTCCGGACCTGCTGGTAAAAAGAGGATATGATATACTAAACACGTAAGATGTCTAAACTCTATATTCTAGGTCACACTGCTGCTATTTATCTTGCCCGTGCCAATTTAAACCCCATCATGTTCGAAGGTATGATGGCCAACGGTTTCGCTCCCGGTGGACAATTGACCACTACCACTGATGTTGAAAATTTCCCCGGTTTCCCCAAGGGTGTGATGGGTGGTGAATTAATGGATTTAATGCGTGCTCAATCCGAAAACTGTGGTACAGTCATCGAGACTGAAACCATTACTAAGCTCGATACTTCCAGCCGTCCCTTCAAGATCTGGCGTGAAGGTTCTGAGGATCAAGAAGAGCCCACCGATACTGCCGATGCTGTTGTCATCGCTACCGGTGCCTCTGCTAGACGTATGTATTTGCCCGGTGAAGATAAGTACTGGCAAAATGGTATCTCCGCTTGTGCCGTCTGTGATGGTGCTGTCCCCATCTTCAGAAACAAGCCTTTGGTTGTTATTGGTGGTGGTGATTCTGCTGCTGAAGAAGCTATCTATCTCACAAAGTGTAAGTTTATTTTTATTTTTATCAGAGAGAGTGAGGGAGAAAGAAAAGTGAATTAAACAATAATCTATCTAGATGGTTCCATGGTTCATGTTCTCGTTCGTCGTGATCAACTCCGTGCTTCCAAGGTTATGGCCAAGCGTCTCTTGAGTCATCCCAAGGTCACTGTTCACTTCAACACTTCCCCCACAGAAGCCTTTGGTGATGGAAACCTTTTAACTGCCGTCGGTACACACAACAACATCACCAAGGAAGATGGTAAGATTGATGCTAGTGGTTTATTCTATGCTATTGGTCACGATCCCGCAAATGCTCTTGTCAAGGGTCAAGTTGAGCTCGATGTTGATGGATATATTAAGACTGTTCCTGGTACCTCTGAGACAAACGTTGTTGGTCTCTTTGCTGCTGGTGATGTCCAAGATAAGCGTTATCGTCAAGCCGTTACTTCTGCCGGTTCCGGCTGTATGGCTGCCCTTGATGCTGAACGTTATTTGAGTGAACTCGAATCCGAAGCTGCTGAAAAGTTATGAATTTTACCTAGACTTTAAAAAAAAAAAATAGATCAAAGTCTATTATGTTATTTATCCCCCCAACTCTCTCTTATATTTTTTTTTTAATAATACATCTATATTTTGAAAAAGTAAGGGACGTTCTATCAAATATTTTATATCGTCCAATGGTATTTTGTGCGAGTTCAATTGGTTCGTGTTACAAATCTGATTTTTTTTTTTTTTTTTTTTTTTTTTTTTGTAAATTTCACTCTCACACATATCTCGATTTGTTGTAAAATAAAACATTTTTATTTCCCCTCACTTTTTCTTCTTTTCCCTTTATTAATTTTTTCTTTAATTTGGTATGGCAGATGCAGCTACACCTCAGGCTGGTGTGTTCTCAGGATTAAACCCTGCACATTTTAATTCATCCGATCCGATTGTCCTGTTTATTATACAAGTAAATAAAAAAAGTTGTTTCATTTTTTTTTTTTTTTTTGAAATATCACTCATTAAATGCATGATGGATAGGTTGCAATTATCCTTGCCTTTTGTCGTATCATCGCTATTCCCTTAGGTTACTTGCGTCAACCCAAGGTCATTTCCGAAGGTAAAAAAAAAAAAATACGTAAATTATTATTGTTCTTTATTGATGTTTTCTTTAAAAGTCATTGCGGGTATCATTCTTGGTCCTACTGCTATGGGAAGAATCCCTGGCTTCAAACAAGCGATTTTTCCAGCAGAATCACTTCCATTTTTAAACCTGATTGCAACCTTGGGTTTAGTCTTCTTTTTATTTCAAGTAGGACTTGAAGTCGACGTCCAAGTAATCAAGAAAGATTGGCGTAAAAGTGTCTCGATCGCTGTTGCAGGTATGGCCTTACCCTTTGGTTTAGGGGCGGCTGTCAGCGTAGGACTTTATAAGCTTCAGAATGATTCGTCTATCCCCTTTGGCAGTTTCTTGTTATTCTTGGGTGTTGCCATGTCCATCACCGTAAGCAGCTGTTTTTATTCATTCAGTGTGTGTCTGTGTATTCATTCATGTATTTAGGCTTTCCCTGTATTAGCTCGTATCTTGGCAGAGTTGAAATTACTTCGTACCAAAGTTGGTGCTATCACCATGGCAAGTGGTTTAATTAATGATTGTACTGCATGGTAAACAAAACGAAAAAAAAAAAAAAAAAGCTTAAATGAGATAGGTTACACTGAGGCTGATATCAATTTATTTAGGGTTTTATTAGCATTGGTCGTTGCATTGTTAAATTCATCGGGTGGTATTGTTGCATTGTATGTGTTTTTGACAGCCGTTGGATTTACAATTTTTGTCATCTTTGGGGTGGGACCTTTATATCGTAAACTATGCGTACGCACAAACTCATTTGAAGATGGTCCTTCACCTCTTCTGATGACAGTTACACTGATGATTGTATTACTATGCGCTTTTGTCACGGATATCATTGGTGTTCATGCTATTTTTGGCGGTTTCCTTGCTGGTGTCATTATCCCTCATGAACACGATTTGTCGATTAAAATTACCGAAAAAATTGAAGATATGATCAATATCATCTTTTTACCTCTGGTAAGGGTCCCCCAAATCCCATCTTTTCAAAAAAAAAAAAAAGTTATTTAAATCGTTTCCAACATATGTAGTACTTTACTTTATCTGGTTTGAAGACTCAGATTGGATTATTAGATACAGGTATTGTCTGGGGTTATGTCATTTTGGTCATTTTCTTGGCTTGTTTTGGCAAAATCATCGGATGTACCGCCGCTGCTAAACTGTCGGGTATGACCACCAGAGAATCCTTAGCTGTTGGTTTCTTGATGAATTGTAAAGGGTAACGGTAATATCAATCCATAACTCAACTCAATACTAACTTAATTATGGCAATAGTCTTGTAGAGCTCATTGTATTAAACTTGGGTCATGATGCCGGTGTATTAAACGACCAAGGTAAAATATGATACAAAAAGTATCACGGGGTTCGATATTAATTTATGTTTAAATTACACTAGTATTTGTGATCATGGTGGTCATGGCCCTTGTGACAACCTTCATGACAACACCTGTTGTACTTTACGTCTATCCAGAATGGTATCAAAAACAAACAGCGGTCGATGATTCTCCTACCCTTGATAACCGAGTAGATTTCGTAAGCCAGATCGATGAAAAGGGATCCATCATATCATCCATTGAACACAAACGTTATTGTGTTGTTACCATGTTAAATCGCATCGAATCTGTGCCTTCCATGATGGCTTTAATACAACTTTTCAAACGTGATAGAGTCAACGTATCAGCTGAGATGCACGCGCTTCGATTATTGGAACTGACGGAGCGTACATCTGTTGTCATGAAATACAAGGATCTGAGAGAGTCAGAAAGACAAGATCCTATTTTAAACGTGTTCCGTACATTCAGCAACTTGATCAGCATGAAGTCATTACAAACACATCTCGACTATTGTCCATCAACAGAGTATATCAAAACTGTGTCTGATTATGGAGCAAAAGTGAGTGCAGACTTGATCTTGTTGCCTTGGATTAACCGGTATTTGATCAACAATGAAAATTATGCATCTGCACTAGCGGATGTCACTTCTACTGCAGATGTAGAGTTTGTTAGTCAGGCATTTTCCACCATTCACCATTGCACCACAGGTCTATTTATTGACAGAGGGTTTGGACAAGTTCACGATGGTGAAGCGATTTCACTCGTACAAATCATGGTCTTGTACCGTGAAGACTGTGAGGATGATAAAGCAGGGCTATTGTTTGCTTTACAATTACAAACCTATAAAAAAGTCCATCTCACAATCATCAGAAAAGGTTCAGAGACAGGTGCATTGTTGTATGCAACAGACGAATCGATTCAACATTATATTGAAGACCATAACATCGATACGTTATTCACCACTCATGCAGATACGACCAGTCATGTCAGTTGCCAATTTGTTCCCGATATGAGTGGATCTGGTATCACGAAACATCTCACAAGACCTCTGGATAAGCATGACTTGGTGATTTTGGGAAGACGCTATGACGGTACTTCCATTGACGAAGATCAAGATTATGAAAATGCACTTGGTAAAATGGGTTTTAGTGTCTTGAAGAACGAGTCCAACAATACCAGTGTGCTTATCATTCAATCTGCTTCCAGCAAGTAATTTTTTTTTCCTTTTCTTTATCTTTTATATATTCCATATATCTATTCTACTTTATTAAATCTTAGTCACTATTTGAATGCTTTACGTTTTGTAATTTGAATTTTTTCATTTCGGGCTTCGCCTTATGAATTTTATTTAAACGCATTCTCATTTGTACCACGCATTTTAAAACCAAAAGGATAGGTAACTATAACGTGATTTCATTAAGTCTTGCCTTACGTAACTACTGACTCTACTTAGTAATCGATATTTAAAATGTACCAAGGGGTATTTTGTCATAATAAAGTCAAGCCCCTATTCATATACATGTATTTCTACTTCTTCTATGCATCAAACCGTCCTTCGACAAGAGTTTATGTTAAAGATTGTGTAAAGGTTTTTTTGTTTTTGTTTCAAGAAGTTTAAAGTCGACGGCATTTTCTCTCCCCTGTTCAATTCCTTTAAAGTAGTATACTAATTTTAACCCCATACTCACTTCTCTATAAGTAGATAAGCTAATATTCAAACACTAAGCCCCCCATCCCAAGAACGCTGTCATTGAAATATCGATTATATATATATATATCAATAGCAACTAGAGTCTTTTATGGACCATCATGGTTTCATAAATATGAGCTTCTGAGGTACAAGGTTTTTTTCAAAAATAGAAAAAGGATGGCGTTTGTTTACATGTCAAATTATGGAGTCATTTGACGGCTTTTTTGGTTGGAAATAAATACTAGCCTCATCAAAACAAATAAAAGAACTATACATCCTTACTGCATTTTCAGACAGAAGTCACCAGCAACACGCCGATCAAAAATTTATGCATCAAATTAAAGCTTGGGCAAAACCACATGTGTATTAACTGAATTTGTCACCGTTTATTATTTATATATTTTAAGAAAAAAAAATGGTGAAGAATCTATTCGGGCTTGCCGATTAAACCTTTACCCCAGTTCTGGATGACACGGGAGCACTGGCTACGAATATGCTTGGAACGCGGAGTCTTCCAGAGACCTAAAGCATCAAGTTGTCTAGCATGATGGACACACTGTTCCCAATAGAATTTCGCGTAGATTCTATTCTCCACGACATTCTGTTAAAAATAGAGGTTAATGGGATGTTTTACCACAAAAAAAAAAAAAATAGGGGGAGGGGAGAGGCGGACTTACGTCAAAATCTGATACTTCTTGTTCAGCAGGTCTAGGCAATTGAACCATATAATCATACGGTAAAACCCAAATTTCATTACCTTGTAAATAACTAGAGAAAATACAAGCAGCTCTGCTATCCAAAAATCTTTCTGAGCACCAAGGTTGAATGGTTTTACTTTCGATGATGACAGGTTCGTAATGAAATTCATATTTTTCGACAGCGTATAAAGACTCAGCTTCCAGCCATTTCTCTAAATCAGTGGGACCTTCGTTTTCCTTCCAATGTTTGTCATCCAAAACCATCTTATCCTCGTTAATGATCGCCATCAATTGACTCTTGTCCGTAGGAATATCGTCTGTTAATACTTCATCCATGTCTTTGAACTGAAAGGTAGGTAATGCCAAGACATCGCCGGATTGTAATAATTGATCGATTCTTTCCTTATTGAGTTCCAAAGTACGGTGTAAATCAGTAGCAGGGATCACATGGGGAGGTAAATCCATAATATAATCCGTTTGAGATAATAAGCGAGCTAAATTACGTTCTGCATTACGAGGAAACAAGACAGACAACTTGTCGCCAGGTATTTGCGCAAGATGGACATTGACGTTCTTGAATAAATCGGGAGAAGATTGATATTCTTGGCTAATTCTCTCGACCGAGGCTTCATCTTCTTGTTCAATATGAATAATGACAGAAATGGGGCCTTCCCAATATCCTGTTAATTTCACTAATTCATCCCATGTATCTGCTGTAGCTGTTGTAACAATAGTAACTTGATCTTTTTCGGGTGCAACCGTGGCTTTTAACCAAAAAGGCTGGATCAATTTAGCTGCATCATAGTAACTTTTACTAAACAGTTTGTGCATTTTCAAACCATGTGTCATTTGAGTAATGAGTGAATATGTTTCCTCTATAAAAATCTTTTAGCCATGGGTTGATTGACTGGTACAAGCATTAAACTTACCTTGATCGTAAGTTCTTTGAGGTATCCAGTCTTGACTGAACTTGTCATCTAAAATTGAGTTTGTAGGCTCCCTGGAATTGACAGCGTTTGTGGGGAATACATATTTCCAAGAATGGTTCAAGGTCAAGAAGACGGAAAAGATGACATAGAACAAAGCTAAAAAACGAACAATCCGGGATTGAATGAAACGATTGAAAAAAGAAGGTTTCGAAGTGCCACCGAATGCAGCACCATGTTTGGCATGTGGTAAAAGTGGGCCGGAAGGGTTTAAAAAAGTATGGATTTTAAAGATGAAGGCATTAATGAATCGAGGCAGATTACTCGGTCTATGAGTGTTCGAGGGAGTTGCAGTGATGCTAGGTCGGGCACGTTTTATATTATCAGAGGTTGGAATAGGTATCTGATTTAACGAAGGCTTTCGTTGATGAGAAGTAGTCTTTTTGGAGGTCGTAATCGAGGTTGACCTCGAGTGCTTTGGTCTCACTGTTGTCAAGCCAACATCAGACATTATTTAGGAATAAAAAATAAAATAAACCAACAAGGCTTAAAATCTTGGTGTAATAGAGGACTCGCGGACTACCAAAAAGTGTCTGGGTTTATCCATTACAGGACAAAGGATTATTGAATCTTCACGATCATGGTTTGCTCTATCAATACCCACTCCTTTCCATCATCAGAACCACATACAGCGATTTTTTAGGTTTTTCCGTGGATTATTAGTGCTTGTTAAAGGATGTTTGAGCTATGTTTTGGAAACATGAATGTTGGGCCGTGTACTTGTCTGTGGCTGTTCTTAATATCCCTAAAATTTAGCATGCTACCAAATCTCTATTGCATCATTGTCAACTAGACTCCAACCATTTCTGAATTTTGCATCTATTTAACAAAAAGAGGTTACTAATTAAATCGAAAAGAAAAAGTATTGTATCAACCAATCAACTATACAAAAAAAAACTATGCTTTTTCGACATTCTTCGCACTCTGTCTTCATGTGAGTGAAAAGGAGCTGCCGTATTATGAAGTTTTATCCATAACTTTCCAGTGTTTAGAAAACTGAAGTGAATTCACAGTCGAAACTGTATACTGTGAAATATCTGCTTCAAATTGCTTTATTTCTCCAGGCTTTGTGGGTCGCACTAGCTTGGTAAACCTCTTCAGTTTGCTTTCCTTGGGTCTTTAATCACCAGTGTACCGATAGATATTTATCTTACTTCTCCTGTACATACATTACAGCTACACACGGCTTCCAGGATCTATAAAGACGCAAGTGTCGGTGTCTCGAAGATCTTTTATTGCCAATGTGTGTATGTATATAAAAACCTCGTCATCTTGTATGAGTAATCCCCTAGTAAACCTTTCGGATGATTTTTTGGTCTGTTTCTAAAGGCTATAACACTGATGGAATAGTACGATCTTTAAAGGATGAGATATTTATAATCGAAATTTGCGGACCATACGCCAATAATACGTTATCAAAAATACAGTTTTAGACGCACAAGGCTACATATAGACTATTAAGAATGCTGGCATGCTGGGCAAATAAGTGAGGGTATAGCTCTTTGGGAGCAATTTGAAAGCTAGACACGAGGTTCATGCATACGAAAGGTACGATTCTGTTACAAGCGATAACGCTTAAAAATTGAGGTTCCTCTAAGGAATCGAACCCGGCTCCTCATTGGTTAAAAACTTTGTAAGTCTTTACATTATAAGATTTATTGTAATATGCCAGAAAATTAAGCGGATCGTCGAGAGCACAAGGTTGCGCTATTTACTACTTTTATCAAAGACATATGTGACGTTATTGAATCATTTATACCCCCAGCAAAATTTTGAGGCTAGAACTCGCGTTAAGCATGAAAAAAAGTAGGATAGAAACAAATTAAGGGTCTCTGAATTTGTAAAAGCGATAGCCTATTAATTAGCAATTCATTAATATTAAAATAACTGAAGAGCATACATTATGTTAGATCGAAGAAAAGCAATCCGAAATCGACTTCAGTAAAAGCTTAAAAAATGTTGTAAGATATTCGGAGTAGATGATTATCTCTTGGTTTGCTTATTAAAGACCCCTTTCCCTTTACTAAATAAAACATATCAAAACTGGAGTGATATGTCCTCTTTTTAGTATATGTTTAAAACTTCGCCTCGAGAATGTCGAGTTCTACGGTTGTTGGTTACATTGTGATTGTTCTTAGATTGCCGATAATATACAATAATCGCCTCTTTATCTTAAATGTAAAGCCATCATCTTTGATACACACGCTGTCGTATGGTGGTACATCAATAATTAACTCGTACTATCCTTCGATACGGATCGGGAGCTGCCCCTCTCCCATTATTACTATGGCTTTGTTGATTCGTTAATTGCAGTAGAAAGAAGTAATGTGCCTGTTTATTTTCTATTTTTTTCATCTGAGCTCATCCCCTGAAATATTCTGGATAAATTTGAAGGTTAGGTTGAAAGATAGAAGGCAAGCAAATTAAAATCTTTCACCACAGAAATTACGGAAGGGAGTGAAGGGTATCCCGATTGACCATTTACAAGGTTTTATGTAGAATCTATTTATGTTATCATTAAAGCGGGAACTTCAAATGGATATAATTGGACAAAAATGCGTGGAGTTTTTTAACATCTAAATGAGACTGGAAGCACTGTATTAGAAAAACAAAAAAATAACTCCGTTTAAACGTGTTAATAAAAAATTTCTTTTCCGGCTTTTTTGTTATTCTTTCTTCTCTTTCCTTATTGCAAGTATGTCCTATTCACCTCAACAACAACAGCAGTACGCACCTCCTCCTGCTCAAAATGGGTACTATGCTCCCCCACCCCAACAGCAATATGGTCAACCTCAATATCAACAACAACAAAGTTACGGTCCACCACCACCACAACCTTATTACCAACCTCAGTAAGTGCCCCTCTTTTTTTTTTATGTCTACTTATAGGAAAATTAATTTGAATGTTAGACCTCCTCCACAAACAATTATTGTTCAACAACAACCCAAGAAAGATGATAGCGATTGTTGCACTGCCTGGTAAGCTTCTTTTCAAATGTTTCTCTGGTAAAGATTGTGTTGGCTAATTAGATTATTTTAGTATGGCTACTATGCTCTGTTGTTGCTTGTTTGATGCATGCACATAACTATTCTAACTAATACTTACTTTACTTAATACAACAACAATAATATTGTACAACTCTAATATACCGATAGGAGTTTTGGCTGGTTTACATATTGGAAGGAGGGGTGGTTTTGAAGGATAAAAGGAGACTGTGCCCTCGTTGTACAATAAGATTTTTTTTTCAGGCACAATTTATTTATTTATTTATATAATTGTATGGGTATAAGAAACACACATGGTGCTTATTTTGTTTGTGTGACATTAAACCATTCATGAAGACCTACTTTTGCCTGACAACGTTTTAATGTGGGGGGTTGCAACATCTCTGTTAATAATGAAATGGGTGATGTTGATATTTGATAGGATTTTTCAAATAGCAAATCTTGCTCGAAGTCTTCTTCGTCTGAAGTATATTCTTCATCTTGTTCTTCGATCAGTTGAAATTTATTCTCTCTTGGGCATATCATCTTTTGTTGACAATAATATAGCCTCCATCCTAAATTATCTAGGCGGGATTCCTGAATAGAAACTAAACAGTCTTTCATTTAGGGAACTACAAATATAGTCGTGTATAAAAGATGATGATAGTTACATTTCCATGCTAATAGAAAATCCGTCCAACATGGCATGCCCAGTAATAACGCTTGTGCTCTATTGTTCATCATTTTTTATTTTGAATTTTTTGAATTTTAAAAGAAGAAAGAAAAGGATAAATAAATAAAAAATGTCTGTTTGCAATTTTGCATCATATAATTAGGGTTTCACACTCGCTCTCACACACTTTAATACATATTTATACAGTCAGGTTTGTGGGTTTTGTCCAATAGGAAAAAATCAATGTCGATTAGCGGGATATGATTATCTGTTACCGTGTCGGTTAAATTCAGATTGACCCGATAGTAATGGTCTTTTTGAGGTGGAGTATTTTGACCGTTACTGATTGTTGAAAGATTCATGTGGTTCCTCTTTTTTCACTTTAGGGAATCTTAAATTGTAGGACTAGTTTTTTATGAAGATGGAGATGACAAATGAAAAGCTAGAAAATGTTTTTGATCTAACGGAAGGTATCTTAACCGAAATCACAGACCTTAACATTATTTTGCACACGATCACAAATCAACATACTTACTTGGCAACCATATCCGTTGAGGAAAGTTTGCTAATTAATTAACTGCGTCAATACAAACTGTGACGTATCTTCAAACCCTTAACATGTTTTGAACAGGCAATTGTTTGTTTCTAATTTCCTCGGGATTTTGGCATTGTGGTTTACGATGGCCGAGGTTATTTAAATGGACATACGTAATAATGCCACATAAAACAAACCATGGCACCCATAAGCCTATACTTACTGATTCCTCTCTAGGGCTAAGACACAAATTCTGCTCTTTTCTTTTCTTCTTTGAGTATTCTACAATGTGGTTGTTTATTTAAATAATTTATCGTTGATGAGCAGCGACAAATTTCTTTTGTTCATATGCAACAGCGCTCTTGAACTCTTCAACTTGCTTCCAACAATCAAGAGGTCTAGTTTGGTTGTTCCTATTCGTTGTTTGAAATAAGTATACACATCAAATGTCACTCTAACTTTCACTTACTTGTAACAAACAATAAGCTCTTCTTGACGTTCGGCAATATTGGCAGGAATATCAGCAGGTGCAGATCTATTTTCATCATCAGTAACATCCCCCCTTAATTAGAAGTTTCTTCCTTTCTACCTTTGTAATTTTTGGATCATGTTCTCGATATCTTCGCTCATGGCAACTGAATTATGGTCGTTTTGAATATTTTTCTTAGCTAAATCGCCATAAGCACGTTGATTGACTTTTTCTTGTTCATCTCTATTACGCTTCAATTCCTCAGCAACCCGCTCACGAACAAGTTTCTCAATCTTTTCATTTGATATAGCTGGAACTTCCTGATGTCTAGTCAGTACATTATATTTTTAAAACCATCTCGCTCTTCAATCAAACCTTTGTGCTCTTTACAGGTTCTTCGACGGCTTGAGAAAACTAAAAGTACAGAAAAGGGGTCAATATATTGGTTAAACGGGCTAAAAAGTTTAGTTTACCTGAAGAGGAGAACTTTGATTGTAGAAAATCACAGGTTGTGCTGATTTAGATTGAGTTGAGCCCATTGCTGAAAAAGTGACAAATGCTACAAAGAGTAAAAAAGAGTTGTGGGAGGGTTTATAACCCTGTTAATCTACGTCACTTTTTATCCACTCCGCACATTTTAAGCGCCAGTTTAGACTTCGTTTCTGCTTTTCCACAAACATTAATGCGAGAGAAAGTGTGTGGTTGTTATGATCTAGAATTATACAGAACAAAAACAAGTTGTATCTAAATGCGTCTGTTTTCTGTGCCTGTTTGAGTTACAAAAACCTCCTTTTTTGGTGCTCGTATTCAATTTTGTATGTCTACCTCAGGTATATAATGTCTCCTTAATACATTTTACAAAGTATGTCGTATAATGGCCTGTCCGAGAGTATGGTGTATTAGTGCTCACACTTACTTAAATACCAATAAAAAAAATTGGATTACTAAATGATACCTTGAGGAAATTGATATCAGAGTTTAAATTTTCTCTTCCTTTGACTTCCTTGATGTAAATAGGCATAGAAAAAGTTTAATTGAGCTAAAGCTATTGCTTCTAATAAAATCCTAGCTTAAATAAATCACGTTGACTTGTTGCCTTTAATACACATTTAACATCCATTAGAAAATGGTCCTAGAGAGACATGTTTTGTTGGTCGAGCTAAAAACAAACTTCTTTGTGGCAGTGCTATGGCAACTGTCACTCTTATTATCCCGCCCTGATTCTTTTTTAATTTGGTTTTTTTTATCTTCGGTCGACAATCCTAGGATTGCAAAAATAATACGGTCAACGTCTTATATACCGTCTAGCAGCATGGGCCGATTTATCTTCTAGAGTCAGGGGATTTACTGAAGGCTTTTAGTTCCAAATATAATTTCGCGGCCCGTCGGTTAGAGAAAAGATACTCGACAATTGACCCTTAGACCTCCGTATTAAATGATTCCTACTTCCAGTAGAAAGGGGTCTTTTATATACAGTCTCATCATTCTTTCTCTTTTTTTTTTAGAGAAACAGACTTAAGTATTGTCTACTATTATCTGCTCCAGTATCATAATTCTCATCTCTAAAACCAAATCAAAAAGATACGAGGGTAAAAAACTATTTTTGAATTGCTGAACAAAGGCATAGCAAGTGAGATATTAAACGAGCTTATTTGATTTAAAGCAGTGATATCTACATAATAAAATAACGTTACTCATATACCCTTTTTTACACACTGGTCACCATGAGTGAGTTACCTGACAATATCACAGCTATATCTTGGTAATTTTGAGACATAGCTGCTGGAATAATAAATATTCTACCAAAATATAGGGTAACTTATCAATGGCTATAGTATCAATCATCTTTAATGTAGCAGAAAAACAGACAAAAGTTTATTGATAATGTAGTAAAACGTATTTATATTATCTTTTGTAACTACATATCGGCCAAATGAGAGTGTAACAATAAAATAATTTGATAGCCAAACTACCCATTTAATAGTTATTACCAGACCGTTTGTTTACATTTTCTATTTCACCAGAAAAAAAAAAAGATTACTTTTAAAAAAAGTGATAATTATCGATTCTTTACTATATTGTGAGCTGTATATGTAATGCAACACATTTAAATTTCTAATAAATTTCGATAGAATCGTGTCCTGCATTGTTTGATGTAACTACAGATAAAAGGTAGTACTGTTTATATTGAACTTTTTGTATATAACAATCATGCGACAGAAAAACAAACTGCAAAAAACCAAATATAAATCGATATAAATAGTTTGTTGAAGGTGCAAAGGTGTTTAGGAGCAATATTTTTTTTCTTTTTTTATTATTCGGTAAATGCTGATTCGGTTCATTACCAAACGACTTCTAACAGTTATTCAATGCGCCAACTATAATTTAAATGGGTGGTCTTCTGGTCGACAGTAATTAGAATAGGAATATATTGACTTCATATTAACTATTTTCCAATATTTATTTGTTCAGCCATTTCTGCTGTTGTTTTTTATTAAACTTTTTTCTTTTCTTTTTTACAATAATAAAGCGACAGTAAAAGCAGAAACAATAATTGTAGTTTCCCAACGGATAATCTGCATATTTGCATCACTAGCTGACCCAGTTCCATTGGCAATAACACCATTACCATTAGCGGTGCGATTAACAGGAACAGCAGTATCTTTGTATAGACAATCATTTGTGGTGCAAAGACATGCATTTCCAATAGGATCCCACCATTTAGTACTATATTGCAAAATTAGATTTTTTTTTTTTTACTTGGTACATGTATATACATACTCGCAGTTGTTAGGAATAGGGTATCTAAATGCGGCAGATCCGTTTTGTGCGCCTGTAGCAGGTGTGGGCATACTTAGAGTAGGGGCTGTATTTGGACAATTGAAGCATGTATTAAATGTAGTAGTTCCAAAATTACAGCTGTGAAACATCGTTAGATATCAAATTCGAATACATACGAGTATATAATTTACCTATTCATAAGACCCTCATCTACATTTTGGTTGCCATCGTCATCTAGACCGTTGCAAATTTCTTTAGCAATAACGGGTTGTTCACACCGCATATAATCTTGTTTGCCTAACTCGGAAGCTTTTACTGGATTTTTCATCCATTGAAGCAACTGTTGATTGGTTACAAACCACACATCAGGCATGTCTGATAACTTTTTTATCAGAGAAACCAAACCATCTAATTTTGGTGCAGGATCAGGTAAACCAGGATAACCTGTAAGATGAGCTAAAAAAAGCTTGTTTAGCAAAAGCAAGAAACTTGTATATGTATAAAACAAACTTACTTGGATGAACGTAAATACCAAATGGCTGTCTTCCACCGGTATAGTGCTTATTAAATGTTTTGAGACTCCAATCTTCCACATCCTTTGGCTGACCAGCGATGTAAACATCCATTAATTGAGGGGCACTTGTATTATCGAGAACAGCGTACATTGGAATTTCCCAAAGGCCTGGAATTTTTGATTGTCCGGCGCCACAGATACCGGTCCAGCAATCATTTGCCATACCGTAATCAAGTGTGTATGGCCAGTAAGCATCATCTTGCAATGCACTTGCACTAGAATCATATAAAAAGCCTAACTTGGATAGACGGTTTAGAGTTTCCTTTGTATAATTTAAGAAGGGTGCACGAAATCCCTGAATTTTTCCATTGGGAACACCACCATATGTATTCAACATTTCTCTACAGCTCGTAATTTCCTCTAGAAAAAGGAGTTTGGGGGGTTAAAGGGGCTGCTTTTGGAATCTTTTTTTTTTCTGCTTACGATCAGAAGGAGTTCCAACATGAGTAAATGTATGGCTGTTTGAGGATTTAGTTACATATCCTTTTTGTTTTGTTTTGTTTAGGTATGCTGCAACTTACTCTGCAATTTCATTGCCGGAAGAATACCACTGTTGTACCAGTGAAAAGTCTGTATATTGCATAGAGACATACCATGTACCCCGGCCGGGACATCCATTAGGATTTCTATAAATGAGGATTAATCGACTAGAAATTGTAAAAAAGAATATATACACATACGTAACGTTCAACATTCTTTTTGCTGTCTTGTATAATTGTGGTTGAATAGAATCATCAAATGTTACGGTAACAAATTGCGGCGTATCAGCCTGTGAAAGACCGTTGGGAGGGTTTTTTGAGGCGCATAAACACCCATTCGCAAGTTTACATACTTGTGGATCACAAGAATAAGTTGAGGCGCCCGCCGCTGCGGCTGCTGCTGTTGGGACATTTATACCTTCGGATTGGCAAATAGCTTTATTGACAAAGAGCGCTAGAGTAGAAATTGCAATTGTTATATGAACAAATCTCATTATTATATTATGTGTCTAATTAAGTGGTATGGAATAAATATTAAAGAAAGAAACGAAGTTCGACAAAAAAAAAAATGCTTCACATTAAAATAGAGACAACACCATGCACTCCTTCTTTTCAAGTTGAAGAGTACAAGTGGTCTAGATTAGGAGAACAAAGGGGTGTAGAGATTCACACCCCCTTTGGTTTTTTTTACTACATATTACTTCTCCTCTTCTTTTTTATTACGTCTCTTCTCCTAATCGTTTTGATATAAATAAATATCAAGGGTCTGTGCGGTTAAATTATACTACATTGTTTATTAAAAATAATCTGTCTATTTGCGATGTCTGGCGCAGAACTCGTTAATTCTTTGGTAAGCTTCTTCGAGGCGACCGCGATTAGCAGTAATAACCAGGCGAATAAAATTGGGATAGTTAAAGCACTTCATAGAAAAATAAGGTTAGCACAATCCTAAATATTCAGCAGTCAATATATTACCTCTCCAGGAAGACAAACGACATTCTCTTCATCCAAAAGCTTGGCACTAAATTGAACATCGTTTTCGATATCTTTAAACTTTTCAATCTCGATACCAACCATCATATACATGGCGCCTTGAGGATTGACTGGAACAAGCCCATCGATGGGCGTAAGAGCTTCGACACTTAACTTGACGTTGTCTTGTAATTGCTGAATGGTTGATTCAAAGAAAGAAGCGGGTGTCTTTTCTAAGATATCTGGGATAGCTGCTTGAATAAGCGAGTTGGGACCGAGAATAATTTGTGCTAACTGATGAAGACCTTGGTTGATCTCGGCAAAAACTCCGTTACGATCATGAATCATGATCCATCCAACTCTCCAGCCAGGTACAAGCCATTTTTTGGCAAGTCCGCCGACGGCTAAAATAGGCACAGTGCTGGTTAATGTAGCCATGGGGAAGAAGTGATTTCCTTCGAAAACTAAATCACAATAAATTTCATCAGAAATAATGGGTACATGATATTTCTCGGCGACTTTTAAAATAGCTTCCAAATGCTCGCGAGAATACACTGAACCGCATGGGTTAGAGGGACTGAAAATAAAAATAGTGAGTACGCGTGTAATTGATGTTCTTTATTCGAACTTACTTGTTAACCAAAATTGCACTAGTTTTTTCATCGATCAAAGATTCCATTTGAGTTACATCTGCTTCCCAATTTTTCTCGGGCTATACACAACGATGAGTAAATGTCGTCTTTTGTGTCTTAAATATATACTCACCAATAAGTTGTAATATTTAGCTTCGACAAAACGAGTGGCAGCTAAGGACGCATAAAGAGAAAAACCTGGGCGAGGCAAAAGGATATTGGTGCCTTCATTACAAAGAACATTCACGCACATTTCAAGTGCGCCAGAACAACCGTTAGCTAAAATAACATCACTGGGGGCGAGAGGAGCACTAGGAACACTATTTGCTTCAGCAATGGCTTTACGTGCTTGCAAAGTACCTTAAGAATTATGTATGAGATATTTTATCCATGCAAATTCCTGCGATATTTTGTTTTACCGTCAGCAGGAGGATAACCGTTCGCTTGATAACTATTCAACTGTTTCGCAACAGCTTCGTTGATACTTGGGTCGACATTAAAATTTCCAAAAATGGTAGGGTCACCTGTACAGAATATGTCAGAAAAAGTTCACACGCAAAAAGACATTGACATTACCAATAGATAAACTAATCAATGACTTGGTGACATTGGGATTCAATTTGAGCTGATCGACAATGGCTCTAATGGGGTTATGAGCTTGGTTAGCTGTTCTTGAGGACTTTATTTTCCAAGTAGAGCGGTCGGAACTCATTTTTTCTTATATAATTCGCGAAAGAAAGGAAGGATAATACAAAAACAAAAAATAACGACTTTATATGACTCACGACATATAGGTACAACTGGGATTTAATTATTGCCGGAAACAAGAAGGAACGCATAACTAACTTGTTACTGAATCTCATAACAGCTCTATATTATCATTGTTAATATTTATCTTCTATAGATAGTTTTTATTACATATTAACAATGCGATTTTACAACTTGGAGTTTATTCTCGGACTTATGTCCTATTCAACGTGTGTGAATTATTTCGGTTTCATGTTAAAAGATATACGATTAGTGACTTGCTTATGTAAGACAAATGCGCGGAGTTTTCAAGTTTGAAACAAGTAGACCTCAAAGACCAAGTTGGACCATTAGAAAGGGTTTAAGCAGGGCCATGAATGACGCGAGCAACGAGAGAATCTGCAGAAGCCGTATCTTCTCCGATAATGCAATAGCTGCTTCTTCTGAATTGTATAAGAAAAAGATAGAAATAGTGTAAACATGAATACTGTATTCCCCAGCCATGGAATAACAAGAATTACATCTTTGTCATAAACTTGTGTTGGACATGAAATAGATCGGATTTTATAAAAATTGCTACCAGGCCATGTTTGGATACTATTCATAAAAGGCTTTGCTTCAAAGCAATCGGTTTTAGAATAGAAGAGTATTTGCTGTTTGTTACGCAGTTGCCACATTTACTTTATCTAAACACAAACTAGACCGTTTTGGGAGTTTTATTTTGAAAGTTTTTTTATAAATAGTTTTTTTTGCAGCGAATCAGCTACACGTGCAGGTTTTCTTTACAGTCACAGGTTTATTTTTATCTCTTCAGTTTTTTTTTTTTTTGTTTCTTGGATGTGCTGTTCCTGGAGATCTTTGTTGTCTCTCCCTCTTTCTTTTTTCTTTTTCTTTTTTTTTTCTTTATTCTATTCTCCTTCCCTCGTTTTTTATTTCGTAAAAAACCATGAAGAGTCGCTCGTTTATATTTTTGTTCGTCTTATTGAGTTTGATAGCCTTGATTTTTGGTAAACAAAACAAGCCTTCAATCAATTACTCGTATTAACTAGTTCTTTTTAATACAGCTCAAGAAGATGATAGCACAGATGAGGGAGAAGATACGACAACAATAGACACATCAACCCCCACCACCACTGTTGCCGGATCTTCTCCTACAGAAGATTCTACACCAGTATCTAGTGCTACCCCAACCCCAACCGCAGATACCACGAACAGTACATTACCTTCGATTGTTGGCTCCGAGTTACCAGCCTCATCGGGCAACAAAACTGTCAGCCCAGCTGTCTGTAGCGCTTTACAAAAGTTATATAGCTCGCTCAATGGAAACTCATGGATCGTTAAAACAGGTTGGGATTCGACCGATATGAGCACATGCTGTAGTTGGTTCAATGTCCACTGTAATGGGATTGGACAAGTACTCAAAATGTAAAGTATACTCCTTTTATATGCGTTTAAGCCCCTTGCATATATCTTGAGCTTCTTTATTCTAATCAACTTTTACAAATTTATTCACACAGCGCGCTTGCACATAATAACCTTGTTGGACAACTTCCCGATAACTTTGATCAATTCCCTGACCTTCAAACAATGTAATACCAAAGATATCATTGTGTAATAAATACTGACTTTTATTTATTAGTGATTTGAGTTACAATAACATTTCTGGCCCTATTCCTGCATCAATGGGAACTCTTCCTCGATTGAAATCACTGTAAGTAAATGATACAAAATGCAGGAAATATATAAGAGTTTAATCAGTATATAGTAATTTCGATGTCAATTTACTTTCTGGCTCTCTTCCCTCGGGTTTAAGCGCTCCTGTTAACCTCACAACCATGTAACTAATTTAAATGAAATACGATGAAAAACTGGACTAAAAGTTTATATTATAGTCATTTTAAAAATAATTCATTTACTGGAACGATCCCTGCCTCTTGGGCTTTAATGAAGAATATTCAAGCCATCTATCTCAGTAACAATAATTTGACAGGCCCATTCCCTACTGTCGTTACTCAACTCGCTAGCGTACAATCCCTGTAAGTATTGATATTTGTTTATTTGTAAATGTCGACCTAATCTATTGTTTTGCAGCTACTTGGACAATAATGCATTTAACGGATTTTTACCTGCAAACTTGGGTGATTTATCAAATCTATTACAATTGTAAGCAGTCCTTTTTCTTTCTCTCTTTTTTTTTTTTTTTTTCTTTTTTTTTTCTTTTTTTTTTCTTTTTTTTTTTTTACAATGATATTCATCCTCCTTTATTTAGAAACATCCGGTATAACCATTTACTTGGTAACATCCCGGCTTCTGTTGGAAATATGACGAAATTAGAATCATTGTGAGTAGTTTTAATCTATGCCTTGTTATTATTTTTAACTGATATCATTATAGGATCATGTCGCACCAAATGTTGAATGGTTCTATTCCTGAGGAATTGTACAACCTTTTGAATCTCCAAGTTTTGTAAGTCTTTATTCATTTGTACGAACATTCTATTGACTTTCCACAACCAGGGATTTGTCCTCGAACCGATTGACAGGTGGTTTATCACATAAATTGGGCCAGCTCGTAAAGCTGCAAAAACTGTAAGTTGAATGATTAGTTTGTATACGACATTTAGTAACGACCAGAATAGCAATTTTGGGCATAACGGTATCACTGGTCCGATTCCAAATGAGATTGAGCAACTTACAAAACTTCAGAGTCTCAATCTTAACTACAATGCATTGAATGGACAATTCCCCTCTACCATGGCTCCTGCCGCTCTTGGCTATTGTTACATGACTCCAAATCAATTTCAATCCTGTCCTGGTCCTGAAGTAGTCAACAACCCTGAAAGTCTAGCCTTCCAATGTTCGGTAGACTGTGTTGTAAAGACAAAAACAAAGAGTGCTGCCTCTCATCTTGATGTTATGACCAAAACTTTCTGGTTGTTGACGATCGTAATCGCTTTTATCATGTAGTTTTATTTTTGCATTAAAGCATATAACATTATCTCCTTTCTTTTCTTTAATTTTTTACATGTAAGCAGCTAGTTATATAAACATCATTTTTCATAGCTTATAATAGAAAAAAAAATATTTACGTCAATGTGCATTCCCGTGTATGATAATAAGAAGCTTGCTCTATACATGCACATAAATATCTCTGTTCTATTTCTTAAATATTTTTAGGTCTGACTTCTTATCTGTTAAAGACAAAGGTACACAGATACATCATCTTTACTCACTGTTTTCGATAATAATAATAATAATAATAATAATAATAAATGAGGATAATTGTTTAATAAGTAGTAATAGATTATAAGATACATGATGAAAGAAAAGGTATTATTTATGCTTTCAAAAGAGCATTAGGTATGAACAAAAAATGACACAACCATCATTATTGAAGAGGCATTGGATCATTTTCATTTGTTACGGATACGCCTGCAATAGTAACGATCAAACTCAATACAATACTAACCACCCAGATATGAATAAACATTTGCTATAAAAAAATAGGGTTAGGTGGGGGGCACAACATCTAGACAAACAACATATACACCTACTCTTGTATACTTTAATACTTCAGGATCGAGTACAGTAACCATACTCTTTTGGTTCTCTACATCAATTTTTTTTCCGTTTAACTTCTCTGTTTTTCCTTCTCCTAAAGCGTTGTATTCGTCGATCTCGTACATGGGGATCATGCGAATTTTCATGGCTGCACGAATAGTACAGAAGCCTGCGCGACCCGAGAGAATACTGACCGCAAATAAAAAGGTAAAGGGAAATAACAGAAGTCGCATCCATCGTGAGGTATGATGCGAGAACGTATACATCAAAATGGCGGGTAGATGTAAAAGGTTGAATATACCACCGACATAATGAAGAATGATCCAACTGTAACGCATATTTTGTAAAGCATGATGGATGAAACTCTTTAAACTGGATGTTCGCATAATACCATAAATATGTTCATGAACGTCCAGAAACACGTCAGGATGAGTGGTTTGGCACCCATAATACACAGCATGACGACTCATCCAGCCAGCAATGTTGATTTCCTTGTAAGAGTCTGCATGAAAGAAAGTTCTTAATACCGCATCAACTTCGGATCGAAAAGGTTGGTCTTTTTCTGATACGTATTCAAGCTCTGTGGGAACTGCTTGTTCACTATAGTCAATAGTAGGATCTACAAAAGTAGCCTTGACACCTTCCTTTTTCAAATCGTCCAATGGGAGATTATAGGAGGCCATAGTTGCGCGTTCCTTGGGTGGCTGGGATTTGGCTTTTTCTTCCTGTGGCAAGTTTTGGAATCGACGTCTGTAGTCTAAGTACCAAAAATAGAAATCGAGGTTCTCTGCAGAATGTTCCTTGTTTAATAAAAAATTTCGAAAATCTTGCAACGAAATAGGTTGACATGTTGTGCCATTTAAGATATGATCTACACACGCAACATTCATAAATACCCAATTACATTTTTTGTAGTGGGCTCTTACCGATATGGACATTTTTCAAATCACTCTTACTACCAGCAAACCAACGTTTGACTGAGGTATTGAAGGAAGTAATCGAATCGAGCATGATAAAGATTGGATTCAGAAAAAGAATAAATCGATTAGAGAGAAAAAAAATGTATTTAAATATAACACAATTTCCCAGACCCTTAAAACTACTAAGGGAGCAATCCTTCGGTTTTTTTTGATATATTAAAATATCCATGACATCTCTGTGGCAATTTGATATAGTAAAACCTTTACAAGAGAATACTCTCCCTTTCGCTGCATTTGTATTTCATCAAGGGAGGGAGATGCATATTCGATTTGAAAGCTTTTCGATGGTCTAGTGCAAACTCCTGCTGTAAGCAACCCTGGTATCAAGTTCATATGGAAATTTCATCAGCACAATGTGTGACCTTGTCCAAAATATGATTGCTTGGATACATTGTCTCTTATTTTGTCAAGTTCGATCTTTTTATAGATTGTCATAAAGCGTATTCATATGTTTATATATACGTGCTTTTATACAAATTGAAAGTGATTGCCGATCTCAGTGATCGATCTTTAAACGATATCCCCTAAACCACGCCTTACGAATGATTAATGTGTACATCAATCGCGGAGACTGATGCGTTGTCCACCTTATTTTTCTCTATTTCAATGGCCGGTCATTAACAGACATCTTTATATTGTAACCATGTCAAGATTATTGTCGTCAGCACGTCAAATAGCATTAAGCACAAGAATACTAACAAGAAAGGTAAAATGTCATTGTTAAACTCTAACCTAATTACCCGAGTCAAACTTTTTTTCCATTTAGCATGTTCCTATAACATTACCTAAAAGTCAATTGTCCTCAGGGGTGAGTAATATTAAAAAAAAAAAAAAAAAAAAAAAAAAAGATGGTTATAAAGTTTTAAATATGAAACTTTAGGCATATACTTCCAAAAACGATTTCCGACAACTAGGAGCAGAAAAAGATGCAGGTGCCTTACAGGACTTGCTTCGACGTGTGATGGAAATTGACGCAGAGATTACCAACACACCTGTAGTAGATTTCAAGCCCAACGTAAGGCGGTTTTAGTATCACATTTTTTTCTTGTGACCTCTCTAACTTTATTTATAGGCACAACATTGCGTAGCTTATTGCACAGCCGATATGTATGATATTCCTTGCATCATTAATAAGTTATCAAAAAGTCCGGACTTTCATGTCACTTCTGGCCATACATCCAACATGATTCATATCCTTGACCAGACTCATGGCGGTGAAATATATCTATTCCACAACGGCACTTTAGTTTGTTGGGGATTGAATGAATTGCGGCAGGAAATTTTTCTAAACGGACATATCAGAGCTGCGAGTAACGTGATAGAATCCAAGGAAAATATAGAATATATCATTGATGAAGATGAGTAAGTGTAGCTTCGTTTCTCAAATCATAAACTGACTTTATACAGGTTAACCGATATGAAGGGTGACATGATTTTGTTGAACCCTTATATTCCAACCATTGACCTATCCAAGGTGGCATTTTCTTATGGTCTGGGACGGGCTGCAAAAGTAGCTAGTTTCGAGAGCACAATGGATAATTATTTATCTCAACTTAATACAGATATTGAAAAGCTTAGCAAAAAACACCTGAAGACACAATTAATTTTTATTCGTAGAAGAATGCTTCAAGGGTCAAATGACGGATTTCTAGGAACACCTGATTTTCATTGGATAAAACCTGAGCTGCAAGGTAAAAAAAAAAAAATGGAATTTCCAAATCTTGATAACTAAATTGTTTGCCTAGATTATGTCAAAAAAATCTCCAACCGATTCGATATACATGCAAGAATTCAGATTTTAAACAAAAAAATAGGTAATACGATAAACGTATCAATATGAATTGACATTAATGAAAAAAAAAAAAAAAAAAAAAATAGAATATGCCACGGAAATTGTAAATATTCTTTAGTGCTCAGCTTAGCGGGCACAAAAATTCGATCAAATAAAAAATGGAAGTCCAGGAATTTGTGTAACTTGATTTAAGTGGAAAGATTTCTTTGGGATTAAAACTTTGTTTCTATTTCATTTGGCTTTTTTTTTTTCTCTTTCCACTCTTACAGCTTTTTTCATCTTCCATTATGAAGTTCGTATTGAAAACATCGATAATTTTACTTTATTGTGCTTTATGTAAGCTGACATACAATGTTTGCTCGATTGCGCTTTACTAACATGCGTCTATAGCCGTCCTCGCTAAAGGTGGCGGTGGTGGCAAAGGTGGAGGTGGAAGTAAAAGTGGAGGAGGCTCTACTGGCTCCACTGGTTCTACTGGTTCCACTGGTTCCACTGGCTCCACTGGCTCCACTGGCTCCACTGGCTCCACAGGCTCCACAGGGTCTTCCGGTTCAAGAGGCACAACAGGTATACTTACAAGTTATTTTAGATAAATTATAATGACTAATGCAACAATTTGAAGGAGGAACTCCAGCAGGCGTTTCGTCAAAGGGAGGAACCGGTACATTCTATAATGGGGCGCCCCCAGCTTATTCTAATACCAGATGTAAGAAAGAATGATATTTCAAGCTGTGCTTACCTGTATCTAATATTTTATTTTATTCTAGCTACGTACAATAACTATCCGCAATCATATTCTGGAGGTTATTCATCTACCTCTAGATATGGGCGTACCGGCATGTATAATCCTGGATTAATGTACTTTGCCATTATGCCACCTTTCTTGTTTTTAGGCTATCATTCAGCATATCATCGTTATAATCAAAATACCGGTTATTACTACGCACCTCAGCTTACCGAACAAGGCAGCAACACACAGAACGTTATTATTAACGGCACAGCGTATTCGGGTAAAGAAGATAATTACAGATATGCATTCAACATTAGCACCAATAATCAGTACCCCATGGCCGACCATGCATTTTATTCTTCTTCGGATCCCAATGCTCATCCTGCCGATTTCGCTTACCGTTTGCAATTGTCACAAATTATTGAATTCGATGATGTCAACCAAAATGGTTTTTACGACGCCAATGAGCCCATCCTATCTGTCACCTCTCTTCAAAACTTAAACTGGCAGAACTTCCTTGTATCAAATATCACAGTACCCAACAACAATACACAATCCTATCTTCAGACGAGCACCTTTGCTAATGTTACTTACAATAATACTTCACCTCTCAATAGTACTGGAAATCCAAATTTCAGTGTGCGTATCAACTACAGAGCGAGTAACCTGCAATTAAATACAACAGCTCCTATTATTATGCAACCCAACTCTTTGGAATATGATTTTGGTGTAGAAGGATTCCCTAATACCATTGCTAATAGTCATCCTAATGCCAGACTAGCATTTGCTCAGGTCCTGTCGACTGAAGCTAACACACCTGTTGTATTCGATGTCAACATGACAACACCAGTTGATGTTGCTAACCAAATCAAGACAAATACCACTTACGGCATTTCTATTGGTGACTACACGCAAGGGCGTTTAGAATTCCAACCCACTGTCAATATCTCAGATGTCGGAACCATCAACTCCTGGACCAAAATCGATTCTGTTGAATTTGCTGGAAGTCCCTCTTACAGTGATTGGATTTATGGTGCAGATGCATCAGGAGCCAAACGCGCTAACAAGCTATTGTTCATCACTGTTCCAGGTTATGGTAATAGCAACGAAACCATTAGAGCTTCCTACTCTAGTTTCGGGTTCTTAGATACCGATGTGATGAATTCTTTAGCAAATGGCGAGGAGCAAACAAGTTCTGCGGCTAGTAGTCACAGTAGTGGTAAGATCATAACTGTCTTATTAGCTTCCTCAGCTGCAATTTATTTTGCCATTTAAAAAAAGGGTATTTTCTTTTCATAAATTTGTACTTTTATAATCGTGTAAAACACTAAATAAACAATCATTTAATCCTATTCCCTTTGCCACCCGTACCAAGAAATTGTATAAAAAAGAATGTCTTTGTTTGGAAGGTTACACAAAGGACACCGTTACGCAACATTTCATCATCATTAAGCTTTGCTATTTGTTTCGGCTTGACGAGCAGTTAAAGAGCGGTAATCAACAAAATGGATTATAACAATATGTTGAGATAGACAAGGAGGAGCGGGAGAGTCAACAAAGGTTTCTTTTTTGTAAAAATAAAAAAAAGCTTGTGGAGGTTACAACTCCGTAGAAAGCCTTTGCCACTGTACACCCCATTTATAAAAATTATTTTGGGTTTTTCTTTTTTCAACGTTTTTCGTTAGTATCAAAATGTTTCCAGAAGGGCTTTTTTATATTTTATCTCGTAAACACGGATTTGCACTTGATGTGTACGATGGACAAACAACGGTAAGTAACAACAAACCTTTTCACATAATGCTCTTACAAAGAGTTAACATTTCATTTATAGGAAGGAAGTAATTTAATCGTTTGGCCTCAAAAATTCGAGGATAGTGATAACCAGTAAAGTGCACATTTTGTTTTACGTCTAAAAAGGAATTCTGTGGTTGACATTAACTTTAGATTGTGGACTTATGAAGGTGGTCGCTTAGTCAATAAAAAGTCGGGTCATGGTAAGTGAAAAAAAAAAAAAAAAGATTAAAAAACATGATGTTGTATGTACTAAATTATATTTGTATCACAAGTTATGGATATTAGTTCAAGTAAAGTAAAAAAAATATCTTCCTTGATCCATGTGGATGTTCTAATGTTTTACTAGGTGCTTTCAAGAAGGATAAAACAATTGTTCAAAAGAAGCGTAAGCCTAATAAGCAATCACAAGAGGTACGACACAGTGAATTTTATTTATTGAAGATATTAATAGAAATGGTTTTAGTGGATCTATGACCAAGGCTTTATTTGTTCAAAGGAATATCCTAGTCTTGTGCTGGATATTAGGGTAAAAATGCAGCTTGATAACTTGATATGTGGAAGATTAATTAGTATTGTAGGGCGATAGTCCTAAGGGCGGTGCCCAAGTTTTATATATAAGCGCAAAGAGACTGATAACTTGAATCAACTTTGGCAATTCGAGCAGTATCAACAATTTGAGGGATCTTTAGGCTTAGTAACTACAGCTACTGCATTGCATAAGAAAGAAACATTTGGTCAACCTCGACTTGGGTATGCTGCTGAAATCGGTGTTCCTCCCGAGTTAAAAGCGATTCCTGAGAATAATAAGATTGCTGGTGTTGGAAACAATGTCTCTGCTACACCTAGTACAGATGCTCCTGTCGATAACTCTCGTGTTGATCCTGCTTTGGCTCAATATGGCTCCTTCTATGGTGGCACTCCCACTTCTGTACCAGCCGCTCAGCCTGGCCCAACACCAGTTTCTAATGCCTATCCTCCACCTTCTGGTCCCCCGCCTACTCAATCTAATAATGGTTATCCTCCTCCTCCACAAGCTGGACCCCTCCCATCCAGTACTTATCCTCCTCCTCCTACTAATCCTGGATATCCTTCGCCTGGTAGTAACAATGCTTATCCTCCCCCACCTGGATCTAACTATTCACAAGGGTCTTCTTACCCTAGTGGATATCCAGCTCAACCACCTTCCCCTTCTAACTATCAACAGCAACCTCCTAATGGTGGATTTTCTTCTGCATATCCTCAGCCTCCATCTACTGGCTATCCATCTAACAATACAAATACAAACTATCCTCCTGCTCCCCCTTCTCCATCCAATTATTTGAACAACAACTCTGCTTATGGATCCCCACCTCCAAGCCATGCTGGCTATCCCGGATCGCCTACTCAATTATCTAGCTCGCCTCCAGCTTATCCTCCTACTTTCCCACCCGCCAGCAATGCCTACCCTCCATCCAATGCCTATCCCCCAAATCATAATGCGGGCGGGAACTTTTATCAACAACCCGGAGCAATGCCAGATAATGGCAATTACGGCTATCCCGCTCCTCACAACCCCTCGGGACCACCACCGTTGCCCAGTAACAAGCCTCAAGATCAATATGGTTATCCTAGTTATCCTCAATAAAATTAAATGTCTATAATTTATTTAAATTATTATAAAAAAAAAATTAAGATTTATGCCCCAGTGATTTGCATGGATGCATAAGCTGTATCAACTAAAATACCAGTCCATAAAATACCGCCTGTCCATGTGTTACTCTTAAATTTTGCCCAACAGCTACTAGGATCGTTATAATTGACCGTCTTCAGTTGCCACATCAAATGTGCGGCTGTACCCAAAACACTAATGGCATAAAATGGCAAACCTTGGTCATTCATAAATCCCGCTAAAGCTGTCAACCCCACAAAACCGGATGAGAAGCCTGCTAGCCACTGAGGTGTCTTTTCTCCAAATCTCAATGCTGTAGATTTAACGCCTGCCTTAATATCATCTTTTTTATCTTGATGAGCATAAATGGTGTCATAAACAAGCGTCCAACATACACCGCCCAAGTAAAGAGGGCCAGCCACTGTCAAATCAAGCGATCCGGTCATTGCAGACCAGCCTAAAAGCGCACCCCAGTTGAAAGCAAGTCCTAACACTGTTTGTGGCCAGTAAGTAACACGCTTCATCAATGGGTAAGTGACAACTAAAGAAAGAGAAGCTGCCCCCAATAAAATGCTATACGTATTCAGCTGTGTTAGGATACCAAGCCCTGCTGTCAATTGCAGCCCTAAGAATCCAATGGCTTGTTTAGGTGAAATAACACCGGAGGTAATGGGTCGAATCTTGGTACGTTCTACTTTGTCATCAATATCCCTATCCCATAAATCGTTGATGGTACATCCTGCTCCTCTCATAATTAGAGCGCCAGTGCCAAACAATCCAATCATTGCAGCCGTATTCATCATAGATCCTCCCGTTGAATAAGATGCCATGGATATACCCCATGCTTTTTTTTAAAGAAATCGTTGAGAATACAGATTCATAAATCCATGTAAATATTTTACTTACCGCAAGGCCAGAATAGCAACCAGGTTCCTATAGGTTTATCGATGCGTGTCAAGAATGCATAAGGGGCAATTTTTGCAGGTAAATGATCGAGCCAATTATTGTAAATCGTACGCTCTTCTTTACTGGTGGGGGTAGTGGAAGTTACATTTGAAGTCCAATGTTGTTGTTGATAAATAATGGAACGGCTAAATTGCGGTTTTAATGCCTGTCTACAACTGCTTTGTTGAACTTGACAAAAAATACCAGCCGCTTTACTGAATGAACGATTGGGCTCGAGTGGTTTGTACAAAAGTCTAGATTGAGTTCGGCAAGAGGCTTGTTTCAATAATGAAACAATCGTAAAGTGCCTTGACATCTTTTCTGAAGTAGAGAATCAGAATTTATGTTTACTTGTTTTAAAATTCTGGCTTACAGGTTCCTTAACTTGAGCGGACCGGGTAGTGGACAAACTCCGCCGTCCATCAAAAAGTATTTTCTCCACTTTGGCGCCTAAAACAAAACACTTGCCCATCTGGCCCACCATGTAATATTCAGAAATAGGGAAAGTCTACTTTCGCAGTATCCTATGTGAGGTGGTCAAGCTTGATAAAAATTTTTTCATCCTCAATGACCTAGAGGTTACTACGATCAACTTTTGAAAAAGCAGCCATTTCTTATTTTCTCCATTTTGTTTTATTATTTAGTCAAAAATAATTTAATTGCTTTCTGTCGTAATCGAGGCTATATACTTAATATATGGCTCTATTCACACTTCTTAAATCTTCAATTTGATAATCCTAAGTATAATTCTCATTGAGAATTTTTATTAAATACTGATCATTTACTTTATGTACATGCTTGATCTCATATCATCCTTCATACAAGTATAAGACATACATTTAAATAAAAACATTGATATAGAAACATATGAAAGTTACAACAGCCACATTGAGGTGCCACAGCTATCTTTATTAAGAACTACAATATCTCCTGAATATTGTGCTGCAAGACATACACAGTTTAAGGATAAATGTTATTGTTATTGTTATTGTTATTGGCATCTCATTATGGCCTTTATAAACGGGATCATTACATCCGAGTATTATCTGGATAAATCTACCTGTCGTATTTGGGTACGATTCACTTAAGAATATATAACCAAATCGTTTAAATAAATAAATTATGAAATAAAAACAACCTTCAATGTTGCGTACCAGCATACACATGTATACTGCTATTCAATTTCTTCTACTACGAGTAAATACTTCTATATTAAAGATTGCATGATTGGCCTAAATATGATATACTAATGACAGTTGGATACAGAACGCTATAACACTGAGTTACGATATCACCGATCGAGAAGAGAAACTTCTCAGATCAATCAAGAATTATAAGAAAGAGAAACTTAATATTAATAGTTCTCTCAATGGATTAGCTACCCATAGAGAGAATAGAACAGCTATTAGTATAAATGGTTCATTTACTTATATGTTGATATAATTATACTGCCTATAAAGAGTATAAAGAAATAGTGTATGAATTAATGGATACCTATATTCTACAACCAAATATACAAATTTCGATAAGATATTCTATATTTGGGATCGTATTTTATGCATTAGAAAATTAAAGCATAAATGATCAATTATAACTATTATGTTCTACTGCCAATTACACTTGACAAACAAGTATGTATCTTTTAACAGTATCCGTTACACGATCTTACAAAGAAGTGTGCCACTGCACCAAGTATTTGTCAGAATACTCGTGTTCCCGTTTCACACATCTGGGACAACGTTACCTTTAATCAATTCTAACGAGTAGACTTCAGATAACACAAGATGGAAGACTAAAATATAGATTTATTCCAAAACCAGAAAGGTTGACTCATCATAAATCCAGGAAATGTTGGCAATATAAAAAGGATTGATTGTAGTGTTCGAACTTTTCGAGCTTGCACCGATCTTGCGCCAGTTCGAACGAAGCTCGAACCGAGTTTTTGTACTCGAGCTTGCGCCACTTTTTTTGGGTTCGAGCGAGCTTCGGTCGATGCTCGCTCGAAGCTCGCTCGGCTAAAATGTCGATAGTAGTCACTTTAAAGTTAAGGTCCTTGAAAGACTACAGATGGCATTTCCCCTTGATTTTAATCTTTTCTTCCCTTTACCATTTTTTTTATTTATGCTCTAATAATTCCAATTAAAATGCTTTGGACTTTTATTTAATTGTATGTACAACCAACAAACACATTTACCATAGAAAATGAAACAGTGTTGCACACTATACCCAACTAAGCCAATTTTTTACATCAACCATAGTAACATGACGTAGCAGAATTAATTTAAACTTTCATGTTCACAAATCCAAATGTATTATAATTATAGATGCAGTAATAGTTTGATTTAATTATCCGACTTTGGTGTTAAGGCTGGTGAAAAAAAAGTTTTCTTTTTCTTTTTCCAACCTCTATTTCAATAAATAACAATTTTATTGTCATAATTTTCTGTAATTAACATCACTTTGGCGTGCACTTTGTGTAATAAAAAGGGCGAGCGAGTTCGAGCTATCGTATTCGCAACCGAGCCGAGCGTAAGAAGCTTCGAGCGAGCTCGAGCTGCAAAAAAACGCATCCGAGCGAGCTTCGACTGGAACACGATCGAAGCTCGCTCGAGAGTTTCGATCATCATTCCGAACACTAGTTCCGCCTACCAAGAGCTTCGTTCCAGAGGTCTATTTTCTGGTAAGCATGATATTGCAATTGTTCTTTGTGTTGACGGGTTTACGTCGCATGTATCAAACGAAAGTATGGTTATGATCCATGTAATCATTCCAAGTATTGATCCCTCGATCAGGTAATATGTTATCTCTATGCGCATTTTATAACTGGTTTTGACCTTTCACAACTAATAGATATTATCCACCTAGGCTAAAAAAACTTACTTTAACAGAGTAAATGCGGACGAATGGGCGAATAGTCGTCTGGGGGTAAGCATTCGTTCAAATCTGAGCGGATAGTCGTCCGTGAGCGAGTATCCGTTCATTTTGGGTAAATAAACAATGGTACACAAAAAATAAAATTACTTCATTTACTCAAAAAGGGTAAATATTCGTCCAGGGGTAACTGTTCGTTCATTTTGAGTAAAATATAAACGTTGCACAAAAATTTAAGCTTTTTTATTCGTTCCATTTACCTGCAGCAGACGAGTATTCGTCTATGGGCGAGTACTTACTCACATTGGGTAAATAAAAATTACTTTATTCGTTCCATTTACCTGCAGCAGACGAGCATTCGTCTATGGGCGAATACTTACTCACATTGAGTAAATAAAAATCACTTCATCCGTTCCACTTTCCTGCAGCAGACGAGCATTCGTCTATGGGCGGATACTTACCCAGATTGGGTGAATAAAAATTGAGATCCAACCTTAAAATTGCTCATTCATTCCATTTACCTGAAGCAGACGAGTATCTGTCCTAATGTCCTGTTGTCAAGAAGCCGCGTATACAAAAACATTTATCTGCCTCCAGTCATCCCTCCGTCGTAACACCAACCTCTAAAAAGTACATATAAACGGAGTCTTTTTTTTTTCCTTTTCTTTTTCTTTTTCCTTTTTTCTTTTTTAATATCTATTTTTTATCTTTTTACCTCAATAAATCAGTTTTTTTTTTAAAAAAAATTTACTTTTATTCGTTCTTGTTTCTCGTAACCATGTAACTGAATAAACGTCTGGGCTTACTTCTTTTGCAATTACACTCTGGTAAACTCACCATTCCATCTCTGAAGTCCCTCCCCTTACTTATCTCTCTTTAAAATCAGCATAGACAGGTGTATAAAGGCCGTGCTTGCAGTGTACTACGCCAGTGCTATAAGTAAGTGTTTTTTGTTTATGGCTTTTCCTTTCTCTAATTATCTCTTCAGACTTACGCTTCCTGCTTTTACCGTTGTGGCGGCTACTCTGTTTAGAAAAGGAATTAGTACGTATCAATTTTGAGTCTTCTTATCATAAACTAACCTAATATTCATTTAGAAAACTTTGGTTATCTCCCTTGTTTTTAGATTATACGTTGCTTCCTACACAGAATAATCAATGACTTCATGTTATGCCATGTACCGTTTACTTTTTAGCTCATTTAAGTAGTAATCCTTCTACATAGCAATTTGTCCTCAAGTATCAAAATATAAATAAATCTTACTTTCATTCTTTTAAATAAAATATATAATCAACTTTTAAAACTGCAAACCAATTTTTTCAAACGAATGAATGTATTAAATGATTCAATATGTATAAACGAAAGTTTTTTTATTTCGCTGAAGGCTGAAAGGGAGAGCTGATTTTAAAATATACACCCCCTTAATTATGCATTTAATCCGGTTTTTTTTTTTTTTTTTTTTTTTTGGGTAAATGGGTTAACGCTTACTATAAATTCGTCTAAACGAGTAAATGGGTAAATTTACCCAATTCGTTTTTTTTTGGGTAAATGGGTAAACACTTACTAAAAAATTCGTCCAAACGAGTAAATGGGTAAATTTACCCAATTCGTTTTTTTTGAGTAAATGGGTAAACACTTACTAAAAATTCGTCCAAATGGACGAATCAGGCGAAATATTATAGCCTTGGTGATTTATGCTTTCTCGAACTAGAAATGCTCATGACAGCATGCAGTAGGCAAGTATTTTGAATCGAGGAAAGACTTAAGATCTCGATTAGTACCTTTGGGAAAAAATATGAAGTAATTTTTCCAATCAAAAACTCTCGTCCTCGACATGGTCAGTTTATTTACAACTGCAAGCATGGTGATCTCAAGCGTGAACTTGGAAACATGAATGACTCGATTATTGAGGAGGAGGATGAAACCATTGACCTTACTTTTAGAGATTCAACTGTGCCTGAAAAAAAAACAATTTACAAAAAAACCACTCAAACGTTTCTGCTCTGCTTCTGTGCTAAATCACACATATAGATTGTACATATAATAAATTCATATCTCATCATCACTGATAAATGATAGCTAAATCATGATCAGGCATAAAAAAGAATTCGCTAAAGCCGGTCACTATTTTAAAGTGTCACGGTATCGTAACACCAATGTCCAAACTTAAGACATGTTATTGTTATTATTTCTCTATTGACTATGCGTAGCACTAATTGTCCAATATAGATATTGTTATTGATAGCATACTCATATTGTTAAGAGTAGTATCCTCAGCCTCGTCCATTCCATTTATTATAAATACTTTTTATTTTTCCTCTTCTTAAATCTTTAGTTAACTTTAACATCAATAAACTCTGACAAGAATTCTAATTGATCCTATTGTTTTTTTCTACCTTTTTTTCTGCAAAACTATCCTCTTTAAGCCTACTTTTGCTACAGCTTCGATTTCTTTGTTTAGATTCACTGTCACCAAAAACCATATGAACCATTACCATCCAATTTTACGGGCTGTTATAACCTATGCTATTCATCGTAAGCAGAGTCTAGAAATTATGGAAAAAATATACTCACTTTTGCCTAGAAGACACAAAGATCCTGTCACCAGCTTTATGGATGTAACTATGTTTTTTAATGGCACAGAGTATCTCATGTGTTCATTACATATACGTTATTGGACCTTGAAAGCATTGAATGTAAAAAAACATCATCGAAAACGATATCCAGAACATCCAAACTCTGTATTTGAACGATAATGGAGGAAAATAGATGAATTTTTTATCACTGGAATAGAAAGTCTCGGGTATATCATTCATGTCCAGGTGAAAGGTAATCAGGTAGCCAATGGCCTTTTCTTTATTCACGAAAAGGCTATAAAGGAAGCCAGTCTATGGTCAGAAGCTATTACAATTGACGGTACGTATAAGACAAACGCTCACAAAATGTCACTAGTTAACATTGTCGGTACCAGCAACTCCTATGCAAAAAGAAGTAACCGTTTGCAGACATTCGCCATTGATGCTGCATTTATTAACAATGAGATGGAACATGCGTATCAGTGGATTTTGGAGGAATTGAGGGATGCCATTTGGCCTGCCGAAACTAGTTACAAGTTACCTTCGGTCATCGGTACTGACAACGATCAAGCTTTGCGAAATACCATCAAACACGTTTTCCTCTAGAGTCGATACTTACTACGTTCGTGGCATCTCTGGAACACCATGTTGACAAGACTTATAATTGATAAGGTTGCTTCTGGCGAATACAATTTACGTATTATCGAAGCAGCAATCGAGTTTAAGTCAATAATGAGCAGCTGGAATATGTCCTCATTCAGAAAAGCATGTGACAAAGTCCAGAAAATTATCACTACTGCTGGATACTTCAAGGAAGACGGTCAAATGGCTGTGTCGTAATAGAAAGACGTGTAAGTTTTGTGATAACATTCCTTGTTTGCTTCTGGCTAATGACTGATTTTAAAAAAAGGTTGATGGCAGAAAATGAGTTGAGACGCTGGGCTGGATTATATGCCAATAATCATGTCCACATGGGAAACCGAACATCTGGAAGAGCAGAGAGTTTTCATTCGGGATTGAAGAGAGTTCTGGGAAGCCAATCTGCTTTCAGAACGACGCTTACAACCAAACGAATGAATGGGTACTATGAAAAAAAAAAGGTTTGTCCATTCAGGATTTGTTGAAGTTGAAAAATCCGTAAAAATAATCACACCAATTTTTTAAAAAATGTAGAAATTTGACGGATACCGAATATTAGCAATTGAAAGAATTAGTATCAATTCTATTTCATTTGATGAAAACTAAGAATATCGATGTAAATCCCCCTCTTTTAATGGTGTTCGCTTTGCAATGATTAAGATTAGAAAAAGCCTTGTTGTCTCCTTACAAGATAGGTTTGTCTCAAAAGGAAAATACTGTAATTGCTGGGATCGTGTAAGGTATAACCTTCCATTTCCATACGTTATCAGTATTTATTCTGGAATCTTGCCGCTATCAATTGTAGATGATCGTGGGAGATTTGAGCGCGATGAAGGTAATTGTTTACAAAAAAAAGGAGGCCGAATACGCTTAATGATTTTTGGTTCATAGATTATGAAGAGGTTAGAGAAGGTGGTGATGGGAGTTGTGGCAGCAATCAAAATGTGACCAAAAAGAAGCCTGGTGAGTTTTTTTTTTTCTTTCTTTTCATGTATAAAATTATGAATGCGAGGCATTTAGTATGGGACGGTTTATATTATGCATGTTTCTAGTTATTGCTGTCTCAGTGAATATTTTAAATAAAACAAAATCGTTCATCAACTGTGATATATTGAACTGGTATATACGTTATTGTTTTTGTTACGCTGCTTAAATGTATGTGATAATCATAACTGTCGATATGTGCCTTTTAATGTTTCCTGCTTTGAATTCAAAGAAGGATGAAATATCATATTATAAAATTCAATGAAGGCCGAAAATAAATAACTAATAAAGTCATAAATCCCATCTTTAAACAATAGACGAGCCAAAAAGCAACATAGAACGAATGATTCTCCGTGATGAGAAACTGGATGACTTCCAAAATGCAAAATAGAATTAAATAGAATAGACTTAATTTTTTGGGTTGTGTAACGTGGAATTAACCTTAAATTTCACCGCTTAAATTTTTGAAGTTAATTCGACCCCCCTACCCCCCGAATTAAAAAAAATTAACAAAAAAATCATCTTTCTATTAAATAATTCATTTCTGATAAACGCTAATAACATTCAGATAATAAATATAAGATCTATGAATAATATTTATCAAAACAGTTTATTTATTTGGCTCTTTTACGCTTCTGAGAACCGTCTTTTTTGCCCTTTCAGGAGAAGTAACAGTGAGTTGCTACTGTGCATATAAAACTGATGGGTTTTAGTGCGAACGGAAGGAGCATCATTGATAATAGTTAAACTATCTTGGTTACCGGTGTCTGGATGTATTCAAACATCATTGTCATCTGATAATATAGCTGTTTAGGTAGAGTTTTGCATATATGGTACGGGTCAAAAAAGTTAATTCTATTTTCAGTGTTTTGGAACAGAAGTAAAATTAACTCGGAAAATCAAATTTCCGAAGTTAATTCTATTCTATTTAATTCTATTTTGTATTTTGGAAGTCATCCACTGTTTCATGGTATGTTTACCCAAATAAACCCGTTGAAAATGCAGCAAGAAATCAGCGATGCTATCAAAATGTTAGAAAAGACTGATTTGGATATTAAAAAGCCCGAAATCAAAATGGATGAGCTTCAACCGCCTTCGGTAAATACTAACAGAAAGGGGCGCAAGTCAAAGCGTGGGTCAAGAGCAACACTGAAAGACCTAAAATTGTATCAGAGTTGTTTGAAGAGCATCAAAACAAGCTAAAAAAGAAATAAAAGAAAGGGAAAAAGAAAAGATGAAGAATTTAACAGAAAGAGGAAAGAGCTGTTCCTTGAAGAAATATACACTATGTCGAACATGGTAGCAGCTGTAAATCAAAAGCGGCAAAACTATCTTTTTTTGCCTGATATCCCTAGCCAATATGATTTGAGTAAAGGTTTGCTACCAATGATGGTAATAGAGAGTTTATTATGGGACTCAGATTTTCACTAAATGTTACACTACAAGAAAGTCTGTGTTATTGCATTATAAATTTATAGAAGTATTTGGTACATGGCCGAGCACAGAGCATTACTTTATTTCCATAATTATCGTGTCAATCGGATGCAGTAACTACTTTTTATACGGTTTATTCTTTTTTTGGTAACAATTCTTTCAAGGGGTAAAAGCAGGGTCATAAATTTCTCCTGAGGGAGATAGACACATGTATAACATTGAACTCAGTTTGAGACAATGAAATAATATATGCTGTTCAATTGTTTCGTTTTTCTTTTTTTTCTTTTTTCTCTTTTTATCAGTTTCATTTCATTATGGTTGTTAAAAATGCCTGGAAGTTTTTAAATCAAAAAAATGCGAAGTTTTCACGTACGCATGAAATCCAAAAACCTGGGATGATGGTTCACGTAGATTTACTAGGAACCTTTTATAACATTTTCAAGAAATACCTTTGTTCACATAAAAGGGACTTCAAAGGCAACCGAGAAGCATGTTTGTCAATTTTACAAGAGATATCATTTCATTTCAATAAAAGAAGATGTATACTCTATTTAAATGGATTTGATGTACCTTTGGATGACTATGATGAAACTGCAAAGAAAGAAATGCGAAATGAATTAAATAAGAAGAAAGTTGTGGACCTAATCAAGAAAGTAGAAGCCTCTGATCACAAGGTTGACATTTTTAAATTCAGTCAGGCAAAAAAAATTGAATGGCTTTTGAAAAAAACTTTTACAATAACGAACGAAGTGAAACAAGCTTTTTTACAAGTATCGACAGAACAAGGTTGGAATACTATCATAGCACCTGGAAGAGCAGTGGTAGCTATAGCAAGAGTGGCAAATGGAAAAACTGTGGTGGTATCAAATAATTCAGATTTGTTATTCTATTCAGGGGTTGCATCTGTAATAACCATGTACCATGGAAAGTTTAAATGTCATAATATATTAGACATTCTTGCATCACTTAAAATATCGAGTGCAGCACTAACTGCTTTGGCCATAATCTCTGGAAATGACTACGACAACCATGTGACAGGCTATGAAATAAACAGAAATTACAAATGGATTTTGGGATCAAAAAATTACACGCTGGAACTAAGAGGAGCTTTGTTATCAACAAAAGACTATGTTGATGAATATATCTCATATCTGAAATACATTTGTGTTTTATCGCCTGCAGATAGTTATTTTCTTGACTCTTACATGATATTTGTACTACTGTTTGAAACTTTACAAGAACCAGATTGTGGAAATGAGAATAATGTTTTTGAAAATGTGCTTGAAATATGGAAGTCAAAAAATAGAGCAAAACAGTAAGTATAACTGTAAATATACTGACGAAAGCTAATTGACACGTATTTTATAGCCCATCACAATTATCATCCAATGGAGAACGTAAATTAAACATCTCTTTACCGCTAGAAAGGAATTGACAATTTGATATCCAGACGTCAATTATTGTTTTCTTAACTTGATTTTTGTATCTCTTCACGAAGTAATAAACTGCATATTTAATTACTAATTTTGCAGTACATGTCTTAGCTTGTAAAGTTTCTCTGACTTAATATAACTTTAAGCTATATCTGATGTGGGATGAACAAACTGCAGCATCTCACAGATATATGTTTCCTTTTTAGGAATGAGCCTTATCGTCTGTTAGTCAATATAATACACTTGCATAAAATCATAAAAAAAAATCATTCATTAAAATATTCGCAAGTTTTATTGGTCATAAAATCAGATGATGGATATACGTTAGCATGCGTCAAAAATAGACACTCATTTATAGACATGTTAAGCACTCCAGACTGTGCATTGAATTTAATAGGTTACTTAAGGAGGAAATAGGGGAGCATAGTTTGATTCAGTCCTGAAATTATACATTGAGCCTTAACCAGGACAAAGACAGGGGTTATTTTTAATAGCAGATTGTAAAATACTAAAGTAGATTATGGAAAAGTTATACATTAAGCTCCATGCTGCGAAAAAATAAACATACCATCAAGCAGACATAATTCTACATTGCCATCACACGTTTTATTTTACAGCACTCATGCAAGTGAAAACCTCTGTACTTGATTAGATATTCGCCATTGGATCGAAAAGATACAGTTTTATTTACAGAGCACCCCTAAATCATAAAAAAAAATGTAAATTTATCACACCAAATAGAAATAATAGGTTTATGTACATACTGCGTTGCTGTTGGAGCATTTATAATAGATGCTCTTTTGGCCTGTACTTTTGTGCGTAGTATTTCCATTATTTTTCCAAACATAGTCATCATTGTAAGGAAACTCTTTTGTTTCTATTATCATAGTAATTGGTTGCATCTCTCTTCTTCTCCGGGTTGTTACACTGGCTTGTGATTGATTCGAAGATTTGATGTTTGGTGGTAAAGCGAGCTTTTTCAAATATTTATTTTTTCCAATCATTGATCGTGAGGTAATAGCCGCCACTGTATCAGTCTGCAATGATGATTCTTTTAAATTCAAAGTTGCCATATTAAGTTCTTTCCTAGAGCCACTATCGGCTGAACTAAAATAAAGAAGATATTTATCGTTGTCTTTTTTTAAATAATAAAACTTTTTTTTTAAAAGAGATGAATCGGGCAATACCTTGTAGAGCCGTGATTGTTGTTGAAGGGAAGAGTATTCATGATGGATGTCTCAAAAGAGTCTAATGTCGGTAAGGTTGGGTAACTGGTGTTGTGGTACGACGTTAAAGGTGCGCTAGTCATTTTTGATGGTCGTTCCGACGGCATGAAAGGCGCATGTAACCCCAACCCATCTTGTGTCTGTTCGTCCATTAAAAAAGTTGCACCAATTGGCGGCAAAGTATCTGACGCTCTATTAGAGCTTCCGTCAACGGAGTTTCTACGATTTATTGGTAGTGCAACAGAACTTTGAAGTTCTTGCTGAAAGTTGTGAGAGTCTACCGATTTGTCCTGAAGAGGTGAGCAAATAGCTAATGAACTTGGAGAGAAGAGCTGAGTTAGGCTTTTGTGTCTTTTTGGTTGCAGTAATGTTGTTTCATTTTGTTTAACGGAGTATGCGGTCGAGGAAGAATGATCAACGTCCTTGTAAAATTCTTCCCGAGATAAACCTAAGACTCGCGGTTTATTGTCATTACGTTTGATTTTTTTCTTCGCATTGTCTTGCTTGCGTGGTAAATATTTTCGATTTTCAGAAATTGATCTCGAATAAGAATGGTCATCCAATTTTTTGCTCATTTTTTCAATCGGCGTAGTCATCTCATGTAAACTGTAACTTTGTTCTAGACTGCTACAATTCTGGCAAGATATTATAGGAGGTAGTTGCTCTAGATATAAATATTTTTATGAATACAATCATATAAAAATGTGTATGAAATTACCTTTATTTGATACAAAGAAATCAATTTTTTTCTGCTTAAGTTTAGCTTCTTCTATTCTCCTACGATCTTCTTCTACTTTACTGATCAGAATCAATTGGAATATCTCTGAATTCTCTCCGTATGTTTCAATGATTTCTTGAAGATTAAAAGACGATGGTGACATATCTCTATCATTTTGTTTGTTTATCCAATTCATCGACTCGCTCGTTTTAAGCCGCATGTTTAAATTTATTGGCTGATTTATTTCTTTTTTAAAGGCTTCATCCTCTCCTTTATTTGCATCCCCATTGCTGCTTTTATGATCGATAATGATGTGTCTTTCAATATTTGTATTTTGGTTCTTCCTTGTTAAGTGTAGTTCTTTAATTCTTTCTAAATTACAATTACTCTCCAGAGAAGTATTTGATGGATAATGGTGATTTTTTGTTTTTGAGTGGGTTGGTAGTTCGTTAGTTATGGAATTAATAAAATTGTTGTTGTTATTCATGATTTTGGTTTTTGTAAAAAAAAAAAAAAAAAAAAAAAAAGATTCAAGAAAGGAAGAGGGTCAAAACGGAACCGACTAATAATTTTTTTCCTTTTGGTATTTCGCCAAAAATTATTGGATCTCCATGGAATACAAAAATACATTTGTCTATATTTATTTAGAAATGTATATACGCATAGCTAAAAAGTAATTGATCAAAGCAAGAAAATTGTTTTGTAACAAAAGAAAAAAGCTAGTCTTTGCAACAGTCTGTATTTTCATTCATCTTTACAGATTCACTAAATAAATATGGGTTGACTTTTGTCAAACGTAGATTTTTGAGGACGTTATCACATGGCGAGCGTGGTAAATTTATAGTGAATGCCAACAAAATTATCGTACCCGGACTCCCGGAGTTTTCCATCTATTATTATAATAAACTCCATGTTAAACCATGGGAAATTTTAATATATTGAAATGATTCGTTCGATATTATTTGTAAAAAAAAAAAAAAAAAAGAAGAGTGACGATAAAAAATGAGGATATATGGTTATGTTAAGACGCGTGACAATTAACCGATACATTGGGAAAAATTCAAGCCTCATTATCTGTACATTCAATTCTAATTCCCCACGAATAAATATAGAGGATGCGGCCAATAAATTTCATGTGCCTTTTTACACAAAGAAATCTATTGTATACAGTCATCACTAATTTTAGTAAAACCACAGCTGTGCTTATACCATTTGATTTATTTAAATAAGATTTGTATGAGAATGTTTGGTTATATGTATGTACATGGGATTAGTGTCATCTGCCTCTAAGAGTCTGCTCCCCTACAATGTTTACGGAAAAAGAAAACCTATTAAGGTTCCGAAAAATGGCTAATGCGTTGGCAATAATTGATATTGGACAATAGCCATTCATTTTATTAATTTTAAACTAAGATAGATGAAAACATTTTGGTAAGAAGATCAGGTGGATTCACAAAAGACTGAAAGTTGGCTATGTCTACTTCAAAAAAATAGGCAATTGTTTGTGAAATGGTTTTGCCTGGCCGAAAAAATAGGGACAACAGGGTTCTTCGGGGACTGAATTTTACATGTGAGAGGTACGAAATGGTCCGATTATTTTAGTTGTATAGTAGACGCTATTTATTAGAACGACCCCTTTAAAAAGTATCAAACCTATTGTGACTTAAAAAGAGATAAAAATTGCGATATGAGCTATACTAAGCACACGCGACAAAGGAGCCATTACGACTACGGATTCCAATGAAAAAGTCTCAAGTGCGCTTGTCCCACATTCAATTTGTCAAGTGCGAACATGTCTTCGATTAGATAAAAAAAAAAATGTGAGGAAATTACGTAATCAACACCACAAAAAAAATTTGTAAGTTGAGGCATTAGACAAAATCAGATGTAATTGTTTCCTCCGTACACCACCAACAGAATAAACAGTAAGTGGAAATTGTGCCACAATGCTTAGTCTAACAAGTTAGTCTACATACAGATGAAAGCTTTAAGTAAATAATTTTTTTTTTTTATTATTATCATTTCTAAAAATGTAAGTTGTTACAGTGCATTTCATACAAATTAAGTTGATCATTGTATTCATCATTATTTTTTTTAAAAAAAAATCATTGTTTATTATCCTTCACCAAATCATATTATATGAATATTGTTTAAAAATAACACTCTTTTTAGTAGAATCAGAAGTATCTTGAGCCGCACGTTTATTGATGCTCATTATTGTAGTAGTCTTTGACTTGTTCTTCAGCATGTCTTTTGGCCTTTTGTTTATCAAGATAATCGAGACCCTTGGTTTCAATTCTAAGAGAAAAAAAAAGTTATTATCAAACTTTTAAGAATATTACAGTTTTTTTTGTTTATCTTCGTACAATTTGTCAACCATACCACCAGCAAAGCCAGCAAGAAGAGCCTTAGCAGTGGCGTGATCAACAGGCTTTCTAGAGAAAGAACACACAAGTTAGATGAGGATAAGGGGTAAGTGATTTTACAAGTTTACCCTTCTTTCTCACAATGTTTGTTATAGGCTTTAATGGCTTCATAAGAGGCGGCGCCTGCAATAAGTTCATGACTCAAGGAACCTTCATGCTCACTAGGGGTAGCACTCACTTGTTCGTGTTGTTCACCAAATAAATCAAAAAGTCCCCTACAATAGTATAAGTTAGCCTTGTAAAGCTGAAATAAACAATATTTACACCTACATATTTAATAAATGATACAAAGGTTATTTTTCTAAAGAAAATAAAATTAAAAGATAAATCGCAGCCAAAAAAGAAAAACTATGCTATTTTATATCCATTTCACGGGCTTATTAGCATGTTAGATGTGCATATCTCTGCTGCGCTGATTGGAGGCAGACGTATAATATTTATTGCGCTTCTTGGCAATGTTTTTTTTACTCAACTATCACTAATCGTATGCACAGCAATGATTGGCTGTCGTTTATGAGAAATAAGCTTTTTTGTTATGCTAAACGGGATTTTGTTTAAAAAGGTAAATACATCAGCATTAAAACAAGTGTTCCGACCGAAAACATTTTATGAATTGGATTTGCTAAAATGTCTCTCCATAGACCCGATCTTTTGAACGTGCTTTACATTCATTCGTAGTCCTTATCACTGGGTGTTTCTACCTGCAAAAGAGATGTGCACGGGTTACTATGGGTAGTATCATTGTAATAATAAAGTCCCATGTCGCGGCATTGTTTGCTCGTTTTGATCTATTTTTATTTTAAAAAGTATTTATATAGTAAAATTAGACTGTATTTGGATTGTTCTACATCACAGAAAAGAATTAATTATTATTTTCCAGAATATCACTTCAAGCTTTTGACTTTTTGCTATTTTAATCATGTAAGGGGATAGAGATCACTTGTATATTTTGAAATGGTAAAATACATAAATCTGTTATCTTTTGCATAGTGCATTGAGCACTCACAGTTCGAAAAGAGACATTGACCGTAAATATTTACCCATGTAGTTTAACAGAACAAATGAGATACGTTTCATATGTTTTTTCTTGCACTTGTTGCCGATACGCTGTTAAGAAAGTGTACTTTTTTTTTTTTTCTTTACGTTCTACAACTACTGCCAACTCGTTTTTAATGTATATAAGAGCTGACTATAAACATTAATTATTCCCGATGACCTAGACATTTTAGGAGATACAAGTATTTTTGTATGTCGTGTAACATGAAGAATATTTTGAAATTGAAGCAATGCCTAAGCTCTTCCAAGCAACAACAAAGGAGAATACGATGTTTATTTAAAAAAAAATTATTGTCGTGAAGACTGTATTATTTTTTTTTTGCAGCAAACATGCGAAATTGTTATTTGTTTTTTCTTTTTTTAGCACAGCGACCATGTGTGTGTGGGTATTTTTGCGCGGCCATCCAATCTAGGGCACTGTGATCCGTGGAATATCTTTTTCCATGGATCAAACTATTTTTTTTTCCCCCTGATAGTCTTGCAAAGGATTTAAGGTTTGGGGCAAGCAGAACGTGAAATGACTACAATATGGGAAAAAATGGATGGTGTCACGACTTGGAAATAATTTTCTTTTTTGTGTCAAATCAGGGTTTACACATCCCTGATTTTTTTTTTCATCCAAAAATGGGAATTGTTTTATGAAAAAAAAAAAAAATGTGTGTGTGATTGATCACCAATCGATTTTTATAAGTATTTTTATTGACTTTGAGGGTGGGGAATTATGATTATTATTATAAAGAGTAGAGATAAAAAGGGAGATTATATGGGCAAGGCAACATCAAGTTGTAATGCCTGGATTAGATTATTGTGGAGGGGTAATTTAAACTTCGGCCTTTTCACGAAGAGAAGCTTCCTTCTCATGAACAGAACCTTCTTGAATGTCATCCAAGTTCTCGATTTGACCACCAACCATAGTACCAACGGCAAGACCAATTTGAAGGTTGTCAACAGTCTCAACAGTGACGTCAGGAACAGTGAAAGAGACAATGTATGAAAGAAGAAGACCAACAACGTTAAGAACAACAGTGATAATAAGTTGAGTCATGTAAGAAACCTTGTTAGATTCAAGTTGGTTAGCAACAGCGTTAGAGGCATTTTGGACAGCCTTATAGAAACCACCATATCTGGCAGCACGTTCAGTATCGTTGGTCATTGTACCGAGCAACCAATAAATGAAACCTTGATAGACAGCATCAATTAAACCAAAGAGAGCATATTCAACAACCAAACCGGGGTATCTCTTGTCAAAAACGTCAATTTCAGTTTCAGGGCTCTTAGACTCACGAGTAAAAGTCTTTTGGATAACAAAGGCACCAGCCCAAAGAGCAACAATAATGATAAGAGTGATAGTGTTACCATAAATGGCACGTTTCTTACGAGAACCAAGCTTGGCATAATCCATGAACCAACCGAAGCAACCAGCACCAACAATTTGGAACAACCAATATAACAAGTTGTTAAGAGCACGAGCACGGATACTCATGAAGTAAGGTGAGTTATAGATATTGAATTGATAAGTATAGAACCAGTTGGAACCAATGAAGAGAGGAACCAACACAAGCATCTTCCAGTCCTTGAAAAGCTTCAAGACTTCAATAGCTTCACGCTTCCAGTTAGAGAACTTGTGGAGGGAAACTTGAGTACCGTCAGAACGAATAACCTTGTTAGCAGGAAGAAGAGCAAGAGTCAATAAGGCACCGAAACCCATAATGACAATGAAAGCAATATAAGTGGAGATCTTGACTTCAGCCTTGGTACCAGAGTTCCATTCGTTACCGAGAGGAATAGCAGCACCGAGGGTAGCACCCCTATTAATTACACGATTAATTACTCCGTTTTGGATACGTATCACAAATTTATACTTACAAATTGAAAATCATCCAGAAAAGAGAGAAAGCTTTACCCTTATCTTGTTCACCAGGATAGGACATCATGATACCAGCTTGGGCGGTCCATAAGAAACCAGCACCAATACCAAGAATGGCACCAGCAGCAATGGTGAAAGCACCAGACTTAGAGAGGAAAGAACCAACATAGAGAGCGTAGGTAAGAGCAGCAGGAATAAGAATACGGTGACCGAAAATATTGTAACTATTATGCAATAGAAATTAAAATTAGTTTATGTTGGCATGACATGCAAATTTTTTTTTTACTGTTCTTACACAGGGGCACCAATCAATGAACAAATTGTGAAAGTGATAGACAAGGCGGTACCTCCATCGGTGGCAGATTTGGTGTCGGCTTGACCAGCGGCACCGAGACCACTGAGGGCGTTGAACATACCAGGACAACAGAAACAGATCATACCGACAATGAAGATCTGGAAAACTGGGCTATTATAGCGAAAGAGACCCATTGTTGATAAATTTAAATGAAGATGTAAGGATTTGTATTAAGGAAAAGAAGAAAAGTATGAATGAAAAGATTGGTAAGGAAAAAAAAAAGATAACAGTTGGGAAAAACAATAGCTCGTATATATAGGAAAAAATTTAAAAAAAAAGGGTTTTCCAAATAATAACTTCGAAAAGGGTAAGGTTGCACCATTAGAGGATCAGGTTATCCAGGGTCTATATGGTTAGTAAGACAGAGGTCGAGTATTGGTACCCAATGTTTCTCAGTTGTACCACAATTTTAATCTGGAAGCAAGTACAAATGAATTTTTTTTTTCCCAAAGGTAGGATCTCGCCCAGTGTTGTGGAGTACAATAGCATGATTACGTTAGGGTTCACCACGTACAACCACGAATTAAAAAAAGAACTTGCTCCTACGAAGAGGGTCCCTTGTTTGATTGATTATCCTATCGGTACTTGCCATACCCTGACATTATTATTTTTGTGCTCTAATTTTGCCTATCTCATAACTTTATTACATTATCTATGGCTTCATAAACTTGGAATCTTGGAATACAAAAAAAAACATTAGAAAAAGGTTTATATAATAACAGAAGAGTAATGCTTATTTTGGTATTCGTGTAATCTCTCTCTTTTTTTTTTCTCAGCTTGTTTTCTAAACAGACAAATTATTATACTTGCTCAACACGCGGCAAGGTAGAAACGAGATCATGCGACATATTACTCTTCTGATCTTGTGTTTCCTCTTCCTTTTTTACTCAACCCTGCTGAACCCTGAAAGTGCCATTGTGATTAATATTGACCCTCTTGCTGACTTTTTTTTTTCTCTTATGGATCAGAAAAGTCGCTGACCTAATTTCTATCTCAATCTAAAAAGAGACAATGATTTTAAAGATACTTTTGTTGTTCGATTATTTTTTTATAAACTCTATTTATTTTTATTCTAAATGCATAATATGTGTGTGTGTATAGATCCTCCTCTTTTTTTATGATCTCTTTTCAGAGGCCTTGTACTTGATAAAGGCAACCAAATTCATTAATGCTTCATCGCATCTATTTCTTAAATCGAAATTCTTTCGTCGATCCGTGGCTTTAACCTTTAAATAAAAAAAAACACATTTAGTTGGAACCAATCAAAACAAAGGTCAAGATCAATTTTTTTTTATATCTTACCATGGCTCTGAATGCTGGTAAAATTTGCTTCAATTGGTTATTGAATTTACCCTGAACATAAACAGGTGCATCATAATCAAAGTTACAATCGCTATAGACATCGAATACCAAGTTTAAGGCTTCAACAGCGACTTCCGGTCCAGTCTTTTGAGAGCCGATGTTACCTAATACCTCCATGATAAAAATACCAATAGCCTATAATAAAGTTGTTTAGCACAAACACAATTTATTTTTAGGAAAAAGCTGAGAAATCGTGTAACACGTTACCTTATTAGTGTTAATATCACCTTGTCTAACAGCAATAGGTCCTAAACACCCAACAATCTTCACTTGCATAGATTCGTTTGCTGTGGCTCTGTAGGCTCCACACAATGCAGGTACATGGTTGGGCTCCAAAGGCTACAGGCAAAAAAAAAAAAAAAAAAAAAAAAAAGAAAAAGAAAAAGAAAAAGAAAGAAAGCTGTGTGTGAATATTTCATTATATAATAAAGTACCCTTCTTTTAATATAACTTACGATGTTGTTACCGAGACCACGACCAAGAGACCAAAGACAACTAATAATGGCCTCAATAATGGCGTCACGATCCTCGGAAGCGGGGGCGTTACCAATGGCGATGGCGGTTTGGAACAACCAACCCCAGGTTTTCTTTGCGTCGGCGATATGTTCTCTGAACCAAAATTTAGAGGGAACTTCATTCATGGCCAATAAGAAATTGTTGAGACATTCCAAAGCACGTTGATGGGTAAGGGTCAGACCTTGTGTCACACCAGGTGCTAAAGCAGCATTTTCAGGGAAGGACACACTGGTCGGTGTTGCAAGCTGAAGTAATCGAGGGAAAATTCTTTGTGTAAAGTTGCTGAGGACTGGGTTGGATCGAACCACAGCTTCATCCACGGCGGCAGAAGTGTTATCTCCGAGGCTTTCGGCTTCACGAAGATATTCATCCACATTGTCCGCATTCAAGTTCTCAGTCATGTCTTCAGCATCTTGATCTTCTTCCATATCCTCACCAGCATCCTCAAAACCATCTTCTAATTTCATTAAAGTTAGTCAGGGTCTAAACAATCGTATCATGTATGATAAGAACACCACCTTCCACAAAGCGTGAGATCAAAAAAATGATGCTGTGTTATGCTTATCATACAATATTCTATATTACCTTCAGTATCGTCTTGCAAGCAAATATCAGCTAATAATTCCAATGATAATTGTAAAGTTGTTAAACGCTCTTCAACAGATTGAATATAGATCTAAAGCAATATAAGTATCGACATTCATTGTTTTATAAAAAAGGGTAAATACTTTACATCTCCCTTTGTGAGTGGTTGTTGAGGTTTAGGTGTCATGTCGGCGGAGTCTTCCTTGGTTACATTCTAAGAAAACAAATAAATCAGTAATCCATTCCATGACTTAACGTAAAACACGCAGCTTTATTCGAAAAAAGAGAGCGCCCGCCCCCCTTATCTGCGATCTCTGTCTTATCGAATGTCCCTTGGTACTTACACCACTTTCAATTGTTTGCTTCACTTGTTCAGAGGCATCTTGAATATCAAAATCCAAAGAGGAGATCAAAATAGGCAGAACAGTCTTATTGAGTTCACCAAGAGCGTCACGCTCATCGTCCCATGATCCAGACAAATGAACAACCTCTCTCACATTCATTAAAATAGCTATATAAGGGAATACAATCAGTGACCTTACAATCTTGTATAACCCATTATTATATCATACATACCACAAGCCAATACACGTACAAGAAGTTTGTCAGCACCATCGAATTTGGTGAGGATGTTGAGAAGCATTTGGATATATTCGGGATGACTTTGGAATTCAATGTAAATATCCTTGTTATCATCAGTTAATGTAGTCAAACATTGACCTGTTTTGAATTTCATTAGTAACCTTGACTTTTATATTTGAATTTAAATCAGCTTTTTTTTACCAGCAGCAACGACGACACGGGTAGGGCATTGATCAGCAGCCGACAAAAATGAAATCAAAAATGTAACAATATTGAGACGGTTGATAGCTTTGATGTACTTGTCAGATGCTTCACTATACACATAATTTTTAAGTACACAATTACATTATATTAACCACCAGCCCACTCACCATAAACTCCAAATGATGTAAATAAAATTCTCGGCAACATCCCAAATAGCAGATCTTTTATCTTGATCCACAGTATCGACAAAGGGTGTATCTTTGAGAACAGAGTCAATGACTTGAGAAATCTACAAACAGAAAAATGCGCTTAATATTTTTTTAAAAAAAAAATGACAGGGCCCGATTAGGACAACCGTGATCTTACTTGAGGAAGCATAACACTTAAAGGAGTTAAAATATCCTTTGAAAAGTACTCTCTACAGACTTCGGGATCAACGGAACACATGTTTCTATCAAAACTGTTAAACTCTTTTTCTTTGCATTCCAAATAATGGTTTTACCTCAAGGTACCCAATGCCTCCTCAACAACCTCATGAACATCGTCACTCAATAACTTGATCAAAAGACCTACTACACCTTTAGGCAACAACAACTTGAGATTGTCGTGGTTTGCTAAAATTAAGTTGGAAACACAGGCAGCAGCCCAACCTCTCTCAGTGGCATCGGGAGAAGATAACTATCATACTCATGTCAAAAAAAGCAAGTTACAAAAAAAAAGGGGGGGGGCAGGGTGAGCTTTACCTTTTGGACTACAGGAAGCACTTCATCAGGTTGAAGTACAATTTGTTGATCAACACCCTCAATGACACCAGCTTCGGGTTTTTTGCCGAGAACATTGGGGCGAGGCTTATAGGTTTTTCTGACTTGTTTACCCATGGTTTAGATTGTAGATCTAGAAAGTTAAAAAAATTAGACTTTTTTTTTTTTTTTTTTTTTTTCTTCTAAAAAATGTGTCAAAGTGACTGTCAACAATCGATTTGCATTTGTACCTTTTGCCAGGCAACATTTTTTTTTTTTTTTTTTTTTTTGTATGAACTTTTGCCGGGCAACATGAAGACGCGAAAGCTTTTCATTTTGGACTTGTAGTTAACGAATGATCTGGTATTCTATTTATTTCCCATAACACCTGGCGTATCTTTATGAGCATATCCTTTTTTAATTTGTAACAAGAGGACAATTTTCCAATTTCATTGCTGTTTGTATGCATAAGTAAGGCACAAAGTTATTTAAACTCATGCACAATCATGTTATCAGTAGAAATCCATAACAAACATTAAAACGTAAATAAAATTCTCCTCAACTCATGATAAAGTTACATTAGCCCTTTTCTTCTTCTTTTTAAGTAACAAACATTTATGGTGGCTTTCGAGTATTTACCCATTGAAATATGGGAACTTATATTTTTTTATGCCGAAGAATATATTAGAATGGGTCGAGTGATGTTTGTTAATAAACATTGGTATAACTTGTATTTGTCTATCGTCTATAAGGCACTCTCCATCTGTTTGGGTAGTGTTCGTTCTAAATACCATAGTATTTTAAACTCTCCATTTCGTCCAGGGCAGTGGACTGCCTCCATCACTTTTCTATCCTTCAAGTCAGAGAGGAAGTACACCAATATCCAGTTTTTCAAGGCAGAGACGGAGCACATCACTAATGTTACCCAGAGCAATCTTTATCGCTTAATGATGTGTACGCCCCATGTTGAAGAGGTCAAATTCGATTTTATTGAAACCCTCGATGAGGGAGATTGGGCGTTTTTTTACAAAGTGCTAAAAACGGCGGATGTCTGGAAATTACGCTATTTGCAAGATGATTGGGACTCGTGTCGTGTATATCCACATATAAACCTTCCTGTAGTGTATTCCATTTATCTAAAATGTGCACAGCATCTGCAACGTTCACTTGCCTCGATACGCCTGATTGAAAAATATATCCCGATGGATATGGGTGTCAGCATTTTACATGATTTTGTCGCATTGTCCTATTTATATATACCTCGAGGTTTTTTAAAACATGTAAACGATTTGGACATCATACTTCAGCACAGTCCTCAGTTGGAAGAACTTGATGTAAATTTTTCAAACACTAGATTCGATTCTGATCATCCCAACGGCAGAGCAATATTAAATGGAGTGTATCCCAGTATAAAAGTACTTACTTTGCATGACTATGTGTTTCAGACAGATAATCAAGTATGCATATTTCATAACAATTTTACTGGACTTCGAAAACTACAAATTACATGTGCTCAAAACAAACTCTGTCTGAAGCCGGAAACAGCTGAGAACTTTTTTATAATGCTCGCATCACTTTTAAATTTTCACATTCGCTTTAGCGGAAATGCCATTGACATATCGGACTTTATAAACGAAAGTTGTCGACAAGAAATACACGCGTTTGTCCACGGTAAGAGTTATGTAAATGAAGATACCATCACCATCTGCAAAACAAAACTTATTCTTAAGACAATGGTGAAATATGAATTTCATCCCGACTATTCTACTGCAAGACATATTCTGTCACGCTTGGGCCCGTATGTGCAGCAATTTGAGCTTGTGTATTTAGAAAAAGAAATCATTCAGGATATTTTAGAGGCACTTTTTAGTACCCAACACAGAAACATAAACGCTCTTGTATTCCATGGACTCAAATTCAAGAAGTTTACCAAGGCTAATTTATTTTATACAAGTTACATCCCAAGCATAACGTTTCATGACTGTAAATTTTCTCGACAATCCCTCCAAGTACTATCAACTCGCTTTACAAAGTTAGACACCGTTCATTTCAAAGGCTGTCGTTTTGATAAATATTTTGATTATCCTTGGGTCAATATTATTATGCCATTGACTGATATCCACACTCTCTGTATATCGTATCATGTTCCATTTAGTGCCACGGCTAGAGAAAATATGAATGAATTAAGATGGCACAATGATGGTTATGAGATGATAGAAAATCCACGCACTTTTCCTTTGGTTTCAATCACATTGACAGAAGAAGGTATTACAAGATATTATTATACAAGAGACGAAGAAAATCCCGTGGTCGTGGAGACATCAGAAACACAATTTCATTTACTCGCAAAAATGGTCCCGACTAGAGCCTTTTTTAAAGTCATAAAGATCTCCGTTAAATCGATCCAGATACTTTCGTTAAAATTAAGCAGTGACCGATCAAAAGATATTCAAATGATTTTTTGACATCCAAAAATCCTTCAACGCTGTATTTGAATAATGTAATTATATACCACTCATTAATAAATTAAATGTAAGCTCATCTAGACATGAAACGCAGAAGTGATGGTGTTTTTATGTTTTTTTCTCTCGAATGCCTGTCTTTATAAATTATCACGCAACCGGGGGTTGCCTTTTTTTTGGCAAACATTTAAAAATGTTCATAAGTTTGTATGAGTATAACTAAAGGTATTTAATTGAACTACTAAAAAACTGTTAAAAACTTTTTTAAAGGTTCGAAAATCATATTAATATATCTTTTGATCATTATTTAATTCTAATGTAAGTTTTCGGATCGATTTAACTTCGATATTTATAATTACAACAAGGGCCGTCTTCGAGGTCTCTTCTACGAGCAGTAGGCTGACGGGGTGGTATTACTCATACAACTTGAAGAGATTGTAATTATTTTTCTTTGTGAAACGTTCTATAGTCCGGTCTAACTTACTGAACATGATTTTTATGTCGAACTTTTTTTTTTATGTAACTATATCTTTAAAACAAACTAATCATTTGTCTGAGATAATTAAAAACAGTTAGTTTCCAGTTACCGACTTTCAGAAAACGGAAGCCATTTGTTTATATTGCATATTAAAAAAAACCAGCGGCGTAACGATTCTTGTATTTATGCACGATCAGGTTATCGGTAAAAATCCCAAACAAACATTAAACGTAAACAAATGCCTCGCCGATTCATTATAAAGTTACATTAGCCCTTCTTTTTATCCTTTTCTTTTCAATTAACCAACATCTATGGCTGCTTTCGCGTATTTACCCCGTGAAATATGGGATATCATTTTTTTATATGCTGGAGATCATGTTAAAAAACGTCGAATGATGTCTGTCAATAGGCATTGGTATACTATGCATTTGTCTGTCGTTTTCAAGGCACCATCCATTAGTTTGGGCTGTAAGCGCTCTAAATACAATAGTATTATGAACTCTCCTTTTTTTCCAGGGCAATGGACTACCTCAGTCAATCTTTCATCTTTCGAAGCAGAGACGGAGCACAACAATGATGTTACCCAAAGCAATCTTTATCGCTTCATGATGTATACTCCCAATGTTGAAGAAGTCAAATTCGATTTTATTGAAAAAATTAAGGAGAAAGACTGGGCGTATTTTTATAAAGTGCTAAAAACGGCAAATGTTTGGAAATTACACCGTTTGCAGGATGATTGGGATTTGTTTAATGTAAATAAACGAATTGACGTTACTGCAGTGTATTCCATTTATCTAAAATGTGCCCAGCATCTGAAACGTTCACTTGTCTCAACGCGCTTGATTGAAAAATATATGCCAACGAATTTTGGTGTCAGCTTTTTACATGAACTTGTCGCATTATCATCTTTGCATATCACTCGAGGTTTTTTGAAGAATGTAAACGATTTGGATATCATACTTCAATACAGTCCTCAACTGGAAGAGCTCAATGTCGATTTTTCAAACACAAGATTCGATTCTGATCATCCCAGCGACAGACCAATATTGAATGAAGTGTATCCCAATATGAAAGTACTTACTTTTCATGACTACGTGTTTCAGACAGATAATCAAGTATGTATATTCCATAACAACTTTACTGGACTTCGAAAACTACAAATTACATGTGCTCAAAATAAACTCAATCTAAAACCGGAAACAACTGAGGATTTTTTTATAATGCTCGCATCACTTTCAACTTATCACATACGCTTCAATAAATATGCCATTGTCATATCGGATTTTATTAATGAAAACTGCCGACAAGACATGCATGCGTTTGTCCATGATAAGAGTGGTGAAGATAGAAATGCTATAATTATCAGTAAAACAGAACGTATTCCCGAGGCAATGGTAAAATATGACTATTCCACTGCAATACATATTCTGTCACGCTTGGGCCCGCATGTGCAGAAAATTCAGCTTGTTTGTTTAGAAAATGGTTATACAGAACATCTTTTGGAGCGTCTTTTTAGTACCCAATGCATAACCATTAATGCTATTGTATGCCAAGGACTCGATTTGCATCGGCTTACCGAAGCGGATTTATTGTATACAAGCTACATCCAAAGTTTAACATTTTATGACTGCGAATTCTCTGAAAAATTTCTCAAAGTGTTATCTGCTGGCTTTACACAGTTGGACACGGTCCATTTTAAAAGCTGCTACTTCAAATATTCTTGGATAAATGTTACCATGCCATCGACGGATATTCATACTCTCTGTATATCATATAACCTTCCATTCTGTGTCACTTTTGTAGATAATTTGAATGAATTAAGATGGCGCAATCTTAACAATGGTATGATGGAAAACCCACACACTTTTCCTCTGGTTTCAATCACATTGACAGATGAAGGCATTACAAGATACTATTATACTAGAGGCGAAGACAAACCCGTGGCCGTGGAAACATCAGAAACACAATTTCAATTGCTCGCAGAAATGGTCCCGGAAAAAGACTTTTTTAAAATTATAAATATCTCCGTTAGGTCGATCCAAAAGCTTTCGTTAAAATTAAACAGCAACCGATCAAACGATATTGAAATGATATTCTAACATCCAAATAGCCTTAATTAAACACCATGAATTATATTAAATGTGTGAAAAACTAGACGTGAAACACACAAGTGAACTTGTTTTTAAGTTTTTATCTCTCGAATGCCTGTGTTCATCAATTATCACACAACGGGGGGGAGGGTTAACTTTTTCTGTGGAAAACATTAAATAATTTTTATGCGTACATATGAGTATAACAAAGATGTTTAATTTAATTACTAAAATACTGTTAAAAGCTTTTTTAAAGGTTTAAAAACCATTACAATATCGCTTGATGGATCATTATTCAATTTTAAGGTAAGTTCTCGGATCGATTTGACGTGGATAATTACAATTGCAGTAATATCAATAAAACCGCGTAAATCTCTTCTTGCGATCTGATTAAAATGTTTTTCTGTTGTTTCCACAATCTCGGGTATCCTTTCACCTCTTGTATAATAGTATCTTGTAACACCTTCATCTGTCAATGTGATTGAAACGAAAGCAAGTATCGGTGGATCCCGAATTTCGGGAGGAACGTATCGAAGGAGGTAATATTGGGGTGTAGTACATGTTACCGAGAGTTGTTGAATATCTGTGTTTGGCAGGATTATATTTTTCCACCAATTTTCAAAAGATTCATGGGATTCAGAATGTTCAAAATTAACGATCTTTAAATTTGTAAAGTTCAATGATAACTCTTTCAAAGCATATGTGGAAAGTTCACAAAAACGAAACACTATAGTTTGGATGCCACTTGTGAAGAGTAAATCAGCCTTGGAAAATTGCCCGAACGCGAGACTATAGAAAACAATAGTGTGCAGGTTTTTGTGCTTGTTACTGAAAATAACTTCCAGATAGTATTGAATATTTTTATCATCCACATTATTGAGTTTGATTAGCTGTATATCCGGACCCAATCTTGGCAAAACATGCGTAGCAACAGCACGATCATCTGTAAAATAATAATTTATCATCCCATCGGGAAAGTCTTCTGATTTTTGGATATCGACCGCATCAGTATTCTTTTTATGATTATATACGGAAGCGTGCGTTTCTTGTGGACTGTTGTTATTGATGAAATCAAACCTGCCAATAAAAGTTCCACGAAGCCCAAAATTGTAATCCAAAAGTGACAAAAGCATTTTGAAAAACTTCTTTGCTGTTTCTGGTTTTAGTGTGAGCTCATTTTGAATGCCTTCAATGTGTAGTTTTTTAAGGCCTGTGAAATTTGTATAGAATATGCATGCTTGCTGGTCTGTTTGAAAGACAAAGGAATAAAAACTAAGCTTCTTTATACTCGGATACTCTCTAGTCAGGATTATTTCACCGTTGTCATGATCTGAAATGAAGCTTGTCTTTTTAAAATCCACCTCGAGCTCCTCCAGCATGGGGACGTGTTGAAGCAAAAGATCCAGGTCGTATACGCTTTCAAGAAAACCCTTAGTGATATTTAAGGATTGCAACGCGGTTAATACATTTAAAAAACTGAGATCCATATTCGTTGGCATCATTTGCTTCATTAAACGGAGAGAATTAATTGAATGCTTCAAATATTGCGCACATTTCAAGTAAGTCGAATAAATCAATGTCCTGTCGGCCGTGTTACCATTCAAAGATTTTAATTTCCAATCATCTGGTAAGCAATGCAATTTCCAGGCGTTTGCAGTTTTGAGCACTTTATAAAAATACTCCCAGCCTTGCGCTTTAACTTTTTTAATCTTGTCGAATTTGACTTCCTTAACGTGGGGCGTATGCATCATTAAACGATAAAGCTTGCTTTGGGTGCATTCTGGCTCTGCGCTAAAAGATCGAAAAGTAATGGACGTTGTGTACTGCCCTGGATGAAACGGGGATTCCGTGATATCATAAAATTCGAAGGGTTCAGAGTCCAAATCAATGACGGGGGCAGTGTAGACGAGTGATAAATATATATTGTACCAATTCCTATTTACAGCCATCCTTTGACTCTTATTTATATGTTCTCCAGCATAAGACAAAATAATTTCCAAGACTTCATTAGGTAAAGATTTGAAAGTACCCATTTAGATGTTTTGTAATTAAAAGAAAAGATTAAAATAACTTTACAACGATTTGACGAGTAGCTTATAAAATAAAGTGTTTGTTTGGTTTTTGAGGTGCCACTGATCACAGCCGTGCATAAATACATGAATATAGTTTTGCTAAGCCCGTTTACCAATTTGCATTATAAGGAGAATCAAATTTTGAGTTTACAGACAAATTACATCCACTCATCTGGAAGTGCGAGTTATTGAAACGCTGCCCCTATCATACTCTATTTTGATCAAGTTAGTTTATTGGTGATTTATTGATACTCTTCAAAATATGAAATCAAAACTTATAATAATAATCTGTAGCTGTAATAGATCCAAAGACTGATGTATGATAATATGATGTTTATTTTAAACCGAAAAATAAAAGATTTGTTTCTATTAGTTTCCCAAAAAAACATTGGTACTCATAGATCAGATATTACAAGAAGGTGGAAATCCAGAACAGGTCCCAAAAATCAGTGTGAACATGAGAGACGAAACATTAAACAAAGCTTGACTACCAAGCTAGACCCAAAATGTTTTAAAAATGACTCGTTTTATCACCTTTGAAAAAAAGGACCACCCATTACCCCGATAAAGAGTACTTTTCTTTGAACCCAAACCCCAAACTCCCAAAGCATGAACGAATCCCATAAGGACTTTCATCTTTTTTAGGGGCGGCACGCTGTGTAGGTGCAAGGGTACATCACAGTCGTTTAAGAAGGTGGAGTTGGAATCAGTGTACAGCACACACATTAGTATCATAATTGAGATTTCAGATATAACAGGCAGTGCTACGTACCCGCACAATCGAATCATTACTAAAGGGGTTCACAATGAGAGGTAAACAGACAAAAACACTCACAGCCGTTTTTTATACAAAATTATTTCTATAACTACGATACAAACCACTTTGACTGTAGATCCTTTGCTTTAGCCTATTTTTTGTAAGAAACAAAATCAAAAACGAATGGATAAGTGATTGATTTACGGGAGCGTTATGGTTGGAACCTTTTGTTAAAATAATAAGGTACCAAAGACGTTTTTGCATATTCCGCTCATTATTTTAAAATTCAAGTCCTGTGCCCGATCATCTTCTCAAATTAATGTAAATGATGATACCACCCAAACATTTAACGAATCGCTGATATTGCATGAGTTGATTATTTGGCTCCCCCCTCAACATGACTTATTGAATGGTAAGGGGTATTTCCCATAAAAGATAATTGCTCTGCGTGGTTATACACACATTTAGCATGTCCAAAATATAAAACTGTTTTCTAGCCTCCCGCTAAAAATAGAAGCCGTTTGTTTATATTAAATAAATACAACAAATAGTCTGACGTAGTGGTGCTTGTATAAATTAACACGGCGCAAAGTTCTTTAGAATCATGCATAATAATGTTATTAGTATAAATCCAAAACAGACGTTAAAACGTAAATACACGACTCGCCAACTTATCAGCATTTTTTCGTTTTCTTTTTGAACACAGTAACAAACATTTATGGGTGCTTCGAAAAAAGAAGTTATGCAGGTTACATCCAAAGTATAACAACGTTAATTGGCTGTGAATTCTTTAAGTGATCTTTTCAAGTGCTATAAGCTCGCTTTAAAAAGCTGGATACGATCCAGTTTGCAGTCTGTCGTTTTGATAAATATTTTGATTATCCTTGGGTCAGTGTTATTATGACCTTAACTGATATCTACACTCTCTGTATATCGTATCACCTTACATTTAGTGGCACTGCTAAAGAAAATATGAATGAATTAAGATGACACAATGATGGTTATGAGATGATAGAAATCGACGCACTTTTCTTTTAGTTTCAATCACATTGAAAGGAGAGGGTTTTACAAGATATTATTATACGAGAGACGAAGAAAATCCCGTGGTCGTCGAGACATCAGAAACACAATTTCAATTACTCGCAAAAATCGTCCCGACTAGAGCCTTTTTTAAAGTCATAAAGATCTCCGTTAAATCGATCCAGATACTTTCGTTAAAATTAAGCAGTGACTGATCAAAAGATATTCAAATGATATTTTGACATCCAAAAAGCCTTCAACGCTGTATTTGAATAATGCAATTAAATACCACTTATTATTATATTAAATGTAAGCAAAGCTAGGCATGAAACGCACAAGTGAACATGATTTAACTTTTTTTTTTCTCAAATGGCTGTGTTCATCAATTATCACACAACGGGGGGGGGGTTAACTTTTTCTTTAGAAAACATTGAATACTTTTCATACGTATAGATATAAGTACTAAAACAAAAGATGTTTAATTCAATTATCAAAATACTGTTAAAATCTTTTTTAAAGGTTCGAAAACCATTATAATATCGTTTGATGGATCATTATTCAATTCTAACGTAAGTTTTCGGATAGATTTAACGTGAATATTTACAATTTTAGCGTAAGCATCAAAACGTAACGTCGCTTTTGCGACTAGTTCAAAATGTGTTCCTGTTGTTTCCACAATTTCTGGTATCCCTTCATCTCTTGTATAATAGTATCTTGTAACACCTTCATCTGTCAATGTGATTGAAATTAAAGGAAGTATCCGTGGATCCCATCTTTCGGGATAAATGTTGTAAATCATGTCATGTATGGATACACCACATGATACCGAGAGTTGTTGAATATCAGTATTTGGCAAGATTATATTATTCCAGCTATGATCGAAAGTTTCATCGGAATCGGTACCTTTAAAACTAACTACCTTTAAATTTGTAAAGTGCAATGATAACACTTTCATAGCATATATGGAAAATCTGCAGTAATGAAACAATATAGTTTGGATGCCACTTGTAAAGACAAAGTTATCCTGGGTAAGATACCTGAACGTGAGCTTATTGAAAACAATAGTGTGTAGGTTTTTGTGCTGGTAACTGAAAATAACCTCCAGATAGTATTGAATATTTTCATCCTCCACACGTTCGAATCGGATTCGCTGTATATCCGGACCCAATCTTAACAAAAAATGCGTAGCAACAGCACGATCCTCTGTAAAATCATAATTTATCACCCCATCTGGGAAGTCTTTCGATTTTTGGATACCGACCGCGTCGGTCATATGGCCATGATTATGTATGGAAGCGTGCGTCTCTTGTGGACTGTTGTCGTTGATGAAATCAAACTTGCCCATAAAAGTTCCACGAAGCACAAAATAGTAATCCGAAAGTCTCAAAAGCATTGTGAAAAACTTCTTTGCCGTTTCTGGTTTTATTGTGAGCTCGTTTTGAATGCCTCCAATGCTTAGATTTTGAAGGCCTGTGAAATTAGTGTAAAATATGCATGCTTGCTGATCTGTTTGGAAGACAAAGGAACGGAAATCAAGTGTCTTTATACTCGGATACTCTCTAGTCAGGATTATTCCACCGTTGTCATGATCTGAACTGAAGCTTGTCTCTTCGAAACTCACCGTGAGTTCTTCCAGAAGAGGGACGAGTTGAAGCAGCATATCCAAATCATATACGTTTTTAAGCAAACATCCAGTGATTTCCAAAGATCTCAATGCGGTAAACATATTTAAATAACTGGGCAACATTTTCGTTGGCATTTTTGTACCAATCAAGTATAGAGAACTAACCGAATTCTTTAGATGCTGCGCACATTTTAAATAAATCGAGTAGCATAATGTCTCGCCTAGATAGTATGAATCCCAATCGTCTGGCAAGCAACGTAATTTCCAGGTGTTTGCCATTTTGAGTACATTATAAAAATATTCCCAGCCTTGCGCTTTCACATCGTTGATTGTACTAAATTTGACTTCTTTAACGTAGGGTGTATGCATCATTAAGCGATAGAGTTTGCTTTGGGTAATATCTGTGGTGTATCCTGCCTCTGCTTTCAAAGATCGAAAAGTAATGGACGTTATGTATTTCCCTGGACGAAACGGGGAGTCCGTAATGCCATAAAATTTGGAGGGTTTAGAGTCCAAATCGATGATGGGGGCAGTGTAAACGAGCGATAAATATATATTGTACCAATTCCTATTTACAGCCATCCGTTGGCTCTTCTTTACATGGTCTTCAGCATAAGACAGAATATTTTCCAAGATTTCATGAGGTAAAGATTTGAAAGTACCCATTTAGATGTTTTGTAATTAAAAGAAAAAGTGTTTGTTTGGTTTTTGAGGAGCCACTGATCACAGTCGTGCATAAATACATGCATATAGTTTTGCTAAGCCCGTTTACCAATTTGCATTATAAGGAGAATCAAATTTTGAGTTTACAGACAGATTACATCCACTCATCTGGAAGTGCGAGTTATTGAAACGCTGCCCCTATCATACTCTATTTTGATCAAGTTAGTTTATTGGTGATTTATTGATACTCTTCAAAATATGAAATCAAAACTTATAATAATAATCTGTAGCTGTAATAGATCCAAAGACTGATGTATGATAATAGGATGTTTATTTTAAACCGAGAATAAAAGATTTGTTTCTATTAGTTTCCCAAAGAACATTGGTACTCATAGAACAGCTGCTACAAGAAGGTGGGAATTCAGAACAGATCCCAAAAATCAGTGTGAACATGAGAGACGAAACATTAAACCAAGCTTGACTACCAAGCTGGACCCAAAGTGTTTTAAAAATGACTCGTTTTATCATCTTTGAAAAAAAAAAAAAGGACCACGTATTACCCTGAGAAAAAGCACTTTTCTTTAAATCCAAACCCCAAACTCCCAAACCATGAACGAATCCCATGAGGACTTTCGCCTTTTTTAGGGGCGGAGGAATTAAGTTCCACGCCACATTGTGCTTTGAGAAGGTGGGAGTGAAATCAGGGTACAGTACACACATCAGTATTATACTTGAGATTTCAGATACAACAGACAGTGGTATGGATTCGCACAATCGAGTCATTATTAAAGCGACATACAATGAGGGGTAAACGAACAAAAACGCCCACATCTGTTTTTTATACAAAATTATTTTTATGACAGCGGCACAACCCACTTTGACTGTAGATCCTATTTTTTAGTAAGAAGCAAATAAAACAGGAACGAATGTGTGATTGCTTTACGGAAGTTTAATGGTTGGAACCTTTTGTTAAAATGAAAAGGTGCCGAAGAAGTTTTTGCATACTCCGCTTATTATTTTAAAAGTCAAGTCTGGTGCTCGCTCATCTTCTCGAATTAATGTATTTAGTGATACCAGTCAAGCATTCAAATAATTATGGTTCCACAAGACTAGTTTATTTGACTCTCCTCCCCCCCCCCCAAAAAAAAAGAAAAACGGCTCTTTGAATGGTAAAGATGGTAGCTTTGTGTGGCGGTGTAACAAACATACACATATCGCTGTCACTTGATTCAGGGATACTAGCCAATGACATAACAGTTTCAATGTTTCTATGGTTACAGCACCGTATCCCAATACGTAATATTACCTCAGCTATCAAAGCCCAAATGAGATCTCCAATGCCCGTTTTTATTGCCGATGTATACCACCTTGCCGTTTTTTTAAAGTCGATAAAAAGAAACTGTTTTTTTTTTTATTCCAATAAATAACAAAAGAAATAGATCCACAACTAAATTTATTGTTCTTCCTCTTCGTATCTGACACCCATACTTTCTTTTGGTTTTAAACCCATTTTACGCATTCTGTCTGCTTCCACACGTTCTCTGTTGACTCTTACGAGTTCCTTGATTTGATCCTGGGATAATTGTAATGTAGGTTGACGGGATGCTACTGCTCTTGCTGCTTGACGATGTTGCATTCTATAGGTAAAATGATGAATACTTCTAGTTCGTCCCCCCCTTTTTTTTTTTTGAGATAGATGAGAGTTTTACCTTAATTTTTCTTCATCGTTTCTAAAATCAAAAGCTTCACCCGAGATCATGGGTTTTTCGCCCATTCTTAATGCTTCTTGACGTCTTTCCCATTTATGAAGACTATAAAACCTACAGGTACGAAAAATAATTGAGTCAAACCCTTCCACGCGTGTATTCATTATTTTTTTTTTTAGGGGAAGTACTTTTCATGAGGCATGGTAGCGGTATTGTAATCCTCCATGAAATCCGAAAACATTTCTTTTCGTTTAATATTACTAAGGATTTCTACATTGGCATTCTTGACTTCGATTAACCAAGCTTGGAATTCCTGTAAAAGAATTTGGTTTTCAGCATCTTTTCCTTTCAAGCTAACCCCTTTTTTTTTATTTTATTTTACGAACTTACTGCTTCCTTTGAAAAGATACTAAAATAGAGTTAGAAAAAAAAAAAAAAAAATTAAAAAAAAATTTATGCAAAAAATTCACACTATTCAAAAACTTTTACTCTGCATCATGAATAATTCCATATTTTCCCCATTGATCGCCTACGGCTGATAATTTACTTGATTTCTTGGACTTTTTCTATTCTCTCTTTGTTAGTTTACAGCAGAGATGGACAAATCATGTCGGTTACCTTGGATTTCTTGTGCTTTTTTTCCTTCTTATGCTTCTTATGCTCTCTTCGCTTTCTTCTGTCGTCTTCAGAACTAGAGGATGAGGAAGAGGATGGGGATCGTCGACGGCTTTTATGGCTTTGAGAAGAACTCCTTGAGCGACGTCGACTTTTCGTATGCGATCTTTCTCTACTTACCGATCGAGATGCATGACGTCTTTTACGTGTTGGCGAAGGTGATCTTTTAGAGGATCGACGAGGTGAAGGTGAACGTCTTCTTGAGGACCGATGAGGCGAAGGTGAGCGTCTTCTGGAAGAACGATGAGGTGAAGGTGAGCGTCTTCTGGAAGAACGATGAGGTGAAGGTGAACGTCTTGTTCGATGTGGAGAAGAAGAAGCCATAATGTACAGAATTAAAAAAAAAAAAAAAAAAAAAAAAAAGAAAGGTTCAACTTTATAGTGCTCCAAATGGAGTGACTGCTTTCATCCAAATTGGCGGTCATTTTGATTTGTTTCCGATTAAGAAAAAAAAAAAAAAGATTGTCAACTCTATCTTTACCTTTCTTTCTCTTTTTTTTCTTAATTCTCGTGGTACAACAATGTTGACAAAAAAACATGCGTTGGACGATGACTTTGAGTCACCTCGAAATGTAGTGACGGAAAGTAATGTGGACTATTTATCGTACAAGTTTGACGAAATGGACCTAGCGGCTTCTTGGCGTGTGTTAACCAAACAAAAGTTAAATATTGTCAATGGTATTCGACTCGAGAATGCTTCATGGAGAACTTGGGCTAAACAACGCAACAATTTAAAAACAGTCAGTCCAGATACATTAAATTGGTAAATATAAAACAAGCGAACCAAAAAAAAAAAAAAAAATATATGAACCTTCCCCCCAATCGATAGATCTTAATCAGACTCGATAAATGAATAGGCTTAAAGATAGTGACGTTACTTGGCTTTATGGACCGTTACATACTGTGATTAAAGAGATTGGAGATACCGACCGATACGCTAAACCTAAAGTATCTACAACAGAAGATACACTTGGATTGATGATGAACCAAGCACCTGCACCCCCACTCTCGCCGTCACCACCACCCACATCATCGAAAAAGGAGGAAAAGAGACCAATGGAGAATAGTAAGCAAAGTAGACCTTCCGCTTCACCCCTTCAAGGACATCAAAAGCCATTAAAATCAGCTCTCAAGAAAGTGACCATGTCCGATATCTTGAAACGATCCGCATCCGAACTACAAATCAATAAGGAAGATAGCAGTAATATCTCGATATCTGAGGCCAATCAACAACTCGGTGCATTTTCTCCTGCTGTCATTGCCAGTCATCGTCAGCCCAAATTGAGATTTAATCAGTATGTGGAACAATGTGTGGCATTGGGTACAGATGAGACGAGTAAAAAAAAGGGTTCTCGTTTACGCATGGTCGATTTAAATGATGCGACAACAGATACCAATGAAGAGGACGATACTTCCGATAGCTATGAACCAGGTGATGAATCAGATGCTGGTAGTATCATGATACATAGGAAACCCAACAAAGTGCGGTCTTCTATCAAGAAGATTGAACCCGCCTTGTTAAAGACAAATTCCCGTTCAGATCCAGATTTATCCTCGTCCGATGACGATGAGGATGAAATGATCATTCCCACCATCTCCAGTAGTCATAAAAAACATAGGTCCAACAATACGAATTATCAGCAGCATCATGGTGACTGGGATGCTGAAAGTGCCGAATCCGATGCGCTTTTAAATCACATTATCAGTGTGTCCAAAGGCAAACAACCTGTGAGAAACAGAGGCGATCAACAAGATATAATAGCAGGAGATGACACACCGATACAATGGGAAGAGCAGATTACAGAGCACCATGTACCGGGAAAGTCTGATTACGAATATGAATTTGATGACGATGATTGGGATACTAGTAGTGAACATGTAGAAGATGTGCCATTTACTGCCATATCGGAAGATCGATATGCATCACCTTCTCCGCCACCACCTGTTGCTGCTGTACCTCATATCTATCAAAAGGCTGCGGCTGTTGTGAATGAACCTGTGCCACATGTGAGACCTACCACAGAGAGAAGTTTGAGTAACACAAGTGCAACCGAAGAATTACAACAAGATAATCGAAACAATTCTCTCTTTAGTCATATCGCTCATTGGGCATCTTCTCATCTTTGGCCTCCTTCCGAAGAAAAATAGATAAAACAACCTCTTGATACATTACCCGATTTTTTTTTTCATATGTGAATACACATAGTTTACTCCTACAAAAAAATATACATATATATACAATCTCTTTACTGCATAAACATATAAACAACACATTTCCTTATTTGGCACATAAAAATAACAATTAATATTTTTTTAAAATCTCTCTTTCATTAATCTTTTTTTTTTTTTTTTTCATCTTTTTTCTCTTTGTGTGTGTGTGTGCCATGGCATTTTTCAGGAGCAAGAAAAAGAACTCACTTGAACCAAAACCATATGGCAAATGTAAAAAAAAAAAAAAAAAAATAGTTCACACTAAAAACAAAAAGCTCCCACTAACCGTTTTTTTTTTTTCTAGTATCCACACTCTCTTCAAGCCCACCTTTAAATAGTAAAAGTATCAAGGATAAACCTTCCAATGCCGAAATAGATCGATTGTTTGAACAAACTGCCGTAATTTATGCAATCATCAATTCATATAAACTTTACCATCTTTAACCTTCCCCATCTTTTTTTTTTTTGTATAGTCTCGCTTGAGTATAAGTACCAACGATGCTAGTGTACGAGACTTGACACCCGAAAAAAAATGGTTTATCCTCTGTAACGAAAGTGCATTGACATCTATGGGAACTGTGGTTGGAAATAAAAAGAACACGACCCATCGCATATCCATCACCACCAACAATAGCATGACAACTGCAAATACGACGCCCAATACAACGACAACAACAATCAATGATTCGCATATGATGGATTGTGATTATTTATTAACTCCTGCTTATTACATTAATTCTTTATTGAAAAGGGATGCCAAAGTCGACCTTCGATCTAAACTCGTATCTGATTTATCCGTACGGTTACGTACCATGCCTATTAAATGGGCTCAAGATTTTATTGAACAAAACGGCATTGATGCTCTCTTTCATGAACTAGCTTTTATCAATAAAGTCAACACCAGGTAAATTCCCCTTAACCTAAAAAAAAAAAAAAAAAAAAAAAAAAAAAAAAATTATTGTCTTTTAATACTTGTTTTAAATTAGAAATCAACGAGAATCCCAATTCGAATTAGAAATTATTAAATGTTTACGTCAAATTTTCAACAATTATGTAAAAAAAAAAAAAAAAAAAAAAAACATGTGTACCTGAAAAATAACCGTTTCACTAATAACTTCAACCCTTTTTGTAAAAAAAAAAAAAAATAGTACGGTATTCAACATGTGATGAACGAACCACAATATATTATCACCTTGACGCAATCTTTACTCTCACCTTCTCTCCCCACACAACGACTTGTATGTGATGCACTAACATTTATGTGCTACTTTGAACAACCCAAAGGTCACTCGATGGTCCTTCAAGGGATGGACGCTATCCAAGGGGCCAAAAGTGATTATCGACGATTTGATTCCTGGCTTAAAACTTTAGACGCCGTCCTCAGTGGACGAGGTAGGATGGGTTCCCTTGTTGGTGCCAGTAACGATGTACGCCAAATCGCCACCCACAGTAATCCCGATATTCCCATCACCGAGCATGCTTTAGCCAACCTCTTATTGATCCTAGCCCTTGTCGATCCCGAAACCATTCAAGACCGCGAAACGCGTATTCGACTACGCAATCAATTGTATGAAGGAGGATTAGCACAGATCTTTGAAAAGATGGGTTTATTTCATAACGAATTGATGAATTTAAAACTGGAAGAGTTTCGCGAATTACAAGACAATGATTCAATTGCACACATGGTGGTGGGGAATAGCACGGAACCTGTAGAGATGTTAGAAAAGATCTTGTCTTCCATTAATGGTACACGCGCCTACGATTATCTTTCCAATTTGTTACAACATTTGCTCTCTATTCAGTGTGATTCAGAGACTAAAAACAGGTACTATCAATTGGTCGAACATTTCATCTCGCAGATATCTTTAGATGGACAGGGCATCCTCAACAATTTCACAAATACGTATGGTCTCACCGTCCAAAATTTGATTTCCAAATTTGCTGACGAGGATGAACTGGAGTCTGCTCTACAAGAAGCGGATGAAGCCAGAGAAATGATGGAAGAAGCTCTACAGCGAGAAGCTGCATTACGTCTCCAAGTCGATCTAAAAGCAGGTATTTTCTTTTCTCTCTTTGTATACATTGTGTTTCTCTTATTGACATGGATGTGCATGTAGACGGTCTTGTAGGCCAATATCGCATTAAAAACGAATCGCTCGAACGTAGTTTACGTGTTGCTAATCAGACCAATGCGGTATTACAACAACGACTGGACGATATTGAACTAGATCATAAACGTACTCTCGAATCCATGGACAGTCAAATCAAACGACTTTTTGAAACTGTGAGTATTCTCGTCAAAACCAATCATACTGAACCTGTAAGTCTATACAAAGTACAAAAAAATAAGGGGGGGGGGAAGAAAAGTTTTTATTGATGTGTACATGTATTAGACCGAATCGTTTCAAACGATAAAATCCAAAATTAGTCAAAGTGTGAACCAAGCACATCATACCAGCACGCCATTATTTAGATCAAAAACAAATTCATCCATTACTGCATTAAAAAAAAATATACCCACTCTATCTTCCACACCCACCATCAAGAGAAAAGAATTACCTTCTTTGCCCATTCATACCAAAGGCTCTATTCCTCTCGGTAGCAACAAGATATCCGATTCACCTATTCATAGTATATTACCACTCATAACTACAGACGGAGCACCTCCACCACCACCACCTCCTCCTCCTCCTCCTCCACCACCTCCCATGAGTACAACTGGAGCTCCCCCTCCTCCTCCTCCTCCACCGCCACCTCCACCTCCTCCAGCAAGTTCAAACGGCGCACCACCGCCTCCACCTCCACCCCCACCTTTGAATACAAATGGAGCACCTCCACCGCCGCCACCTCCACCTCCAGCTATCAGCGCTACGGGAGCGCCTCCACCTCCACCTATGGGACTCTCTGTCCCACCGCCAGTTGTTGCATCTGTAACAAGTAGTGTGCAATGCAAACAAAAGCTAAAATTTGTGGAATGGGAAAAGATCAACCGACGTCAATTAAACAATACAGTATGGGAAGATTTGGGCGAAGAGAGTTCAGAGGAAGAAGACGACGGAGTATTTGACAAGCCATCGTTGGTAACCAAGCTTTCGCGTGCGGATGTATTCACCATGATCGAAAGTACGTTTGCACAGAAACCTGCGGTGGATTTGAGTAAACGTGCCAAACGTAAAATAGAAGTGATTGAGTTGTTGGATTCTCGTAAAGCGTATACGATGAGTATCTTTTTAACGAGTTTACCCAAGGAATTTGAGATTCGAGAATTTCCGACGTATTTAGAGACGATGGCTGAGTGTATCTTACAGGAACATGTGCTCGAGAATTTAATCAAGTTTGCTCCGGAGCCAGATGAGGTCAAGACGTTGAAAAAGTTTGAAGAGGAAAAACCGGAGAGTGTGAGTCAACTTTCGTTAGCGGATCAACTGGTGTTGCAAATGATGCATGTGCCGCAGTATAAACAAAGAGTCATGTGTTTGTTGTTTAAGATCACTTTTTGGGAAACCATTGATACGATTCAACTCAACTTGCAGCATATCTTGGATGCTTCGTCTCTTTTAAAAGGAGCCAAAATGTTTAAATTGGTCTTGAAACAAATCTTGGTCTTGGGGAATTATATGAATGGTAACACCAATCGGGGTGGCGCTTCCGGCTTTAAAATTGGCAGTATCAACAAGGTATGTATGTGTGTGTGTGTGTGTGTGTACATGTGTTACTCATCTAATTGTATGGATTAGTTGATTGATACCAAGAGCAAATCGACCACGTTAATGCATTTCTTGGTGGAAATGAATGAAACCAAATTTCCCAAGAATTTAAAGTTTATAGAAGAATTAAAGCATTGTCAAGAAGCATGCAAAGGTAAAAATAATAACATGACAACCAAAAGAGATTATTTGGATACAACTAACATGCCCAGCAAAAAATAAAAAGTCAACAAGCTGGAATTGATGAGTGATTTTGCCACGATTCGAAAAGATTTAAAGCAGTTTGATATTTTATCAGGCCATGATGTTTTCATTGAACACATGAAGTCATTTGGAAAGGAGGCCCAAGCAAAATTTGATGTGGTTGAACGTCTTTTGAAGGAAACCGAGTCCGTTTATGAACATGTGGTAGCATTGTATGGTGAGAATCAAAAGACGATGCAGCCCAGTGAATTCTTTCGCATCTTTTCCACCTTTACCACTACCTGGCAGGCAAGTTTATTATTATTATTTGAAATCGATTGCCATCATGTGAGCTAATATTATCATCCTATAGAAATGTTCTGTTGAAATCAAGGTTCTGAAACAGACAAAAGAACGTATTTCAGCACAGAAAAAGTATGAAGCGGAAAGAAGAATACAAGCACGTCAAGGAGGTGCTGCAAATAATAGTAATCAACTCAAAGGAAAAGGCATTGCCATGAACGATTGTAAGTTCTCCCAAAGTTGTATCTCTTTTTCTCTTTTTCTAACTCTTTGAACACACACTCACAGACACGACGGATGGCGAGGATTCTATCATTATGGATACTCTATTTGCAAATTTACTCATGACCAAGAAAGATTACAAGGCCAAAGTCAAACGTCAGCAACAAAAGCAGTTGTCATCTGCTATTCCTATTGAATTAAATGCAATGGAAATGTTGGAATCCATCTATGAGTGAATAGAGCGGCTATTTAAAAAAAAAATTATTATTATTTTTTTTACGATATACACACACACACTTGTAGGATAACTCTCTTTTTACATACTCTTTTTCTCTTTTTTTTAAAAAAAAAAACCTCCCTCTTTTATACATATACATATACACACACATTATACCAAGTTGGCAATGAAGTACGACATTCCAACCTATGCTCTCGTGTCCACCATAACTTTCACAGTAGCCTTCATTGTTTCGTTAAGGTCTTTTACCTGTTCGGATATATGGACAACTTGTTATGCTCCTTCCATCATGTCAACCAACAACTCAATATGTAATAAAAGTTATCTCATTGCATATATCACACATGTCGAATCTCGAAAAATAAGTTTACTGGTAAAACCATTCTTTTCATCAGCACACACACTCCATCTTACTCTTTTTTTTTTTTTTTTAAAAAAAAAAAGGCGCATGTGAATATGACTATTTGTGGATCTCTGTTAATCGGAAGAGGCATTATAAAGCTTGTGTTTGGAGAATTATGGCCCATGGAAAGCCAGGTAAAAAAAAAAGGGGGGGTCAAAGAGTGAAAGTGTGTATGTGTGTGTGTGTGTGGAAAAGAAAATTAATAATTCAATAGCACATGTATGATCGTATGTTGAACTTTTTACTATTCAAAGTGATATTTATTGGGGCTGTCATGGATCCTGTATGGAGACACATCCTAAGACTCTCCATGTGGATTGGCGTACTGGGATTTATGCGGATCTTTAGCTTGCTTAGCCGAGACCGACTTGATAATGTGAGTTCCTTTTTTTTTTTGGGGGGGGGGTCTACCCTATTGTATATTTTTCACACACACACACACACTTACACACAATTGTAAATTAGCTGACAACGGTGGCATTTGTTTCGTTGCAAAAGTATTATAAAATCACCGTCTTGTTGTCAACCATTTTATTTAGTAATATCATCTGGTATCTCGGATCCTTGTATTTCTTTCCAACCTCATTGGCTTTCCTTACCCTGGAGGTAACACAGGATGTGTGTGTGTCTATGTAAATAAATAGGTTAATCCTTCTTCTATATGATAGTTTTTGCCGGTGGTGTTTGATACGATACAGGTATTGATCAAGTATTCTACGCATTTAATGGATTTATGGCGAGAAAATGGATTTGAAAGCAAGCGATGGATTAACTACTATACAGAGCTCAGTGCGGATGTATTGATACTCGGATGCACACTTTTACAATACCTGCAGCTCATGGTAACAAAGACAACAGTTGTGACAGTGGGAAAGGAGGAGGAGGAGGAGGGGTTTTTTTTTTATTTATTTATTTACTTACAATGATGATTGTTATTCATAGTGGATGCATGGTATCTCTTTTGGACTGGTGGACATTGTTTTGTTTTTAAATGTACGCAGTGTGTTGAAGAATCTGCATAATAAGGTGATCATCTATCGTGAGCGATGGATCGCCATGTCGTATGTGAGAGATCGATACGTGGATGCATCTACGGAAGAACTCTCGAGGCATAATGATGATTGTGCTATTTGTCGAGAGCGAATGAAGACGGCCAAGAAGTTAGCCTGTGGCCACCTCTTTCATCTGTAAGTGGCATTTTTTTTTTTTATGTGTGCAACTATATAACATTCAACTTACGCTTCTTAATTAATAAATAGACATTGCTTACACTCTTGGATCCAACATCATGTGTCACGACCTACATGTCCAACCTGTAGGCGTTACTTGTCTCCATCGCCAAAGGAATTGTCCATTTGCAAATAATCAACACACACACACACACACACACACTCACACACACATATGCATTTCTCTCTCTCTCTCTCTCTCTCTCTCTCTCCTTATACCCTTTACGTTTTTTTTTTCTTTTTCTTTTTATTATCTAAAATAACGCATATCAGTATCTTTTTCTCCAATCTAATTTCCAGGAGCAGCCATCTATATACACATGTATTTTAGCATGATTTTTTTTTTTTTGACATGTATGACTTACGTTTTGACTGAGTTCAGCGAAACGAGAACCCACTCTTTCAGAGTGCTTCAAGAACTTGTCGGCACACTTGTTCACGCAACCCTCCTACACACACACAGATAACTACATGAGTGCCTATCTCTCTCTCTCTCTCTATTTTATAAATAACATACCTCCTTGCTGGTCAAAGACTTGCTGGTGAAATCATTGGCACAATCATCGAAACAACGTTGAACCAAGTTACTGTAAAGTCTCATGAAATCCTTCATCTGTTTTTTTATTGGTGGGAAGGGGAGGGGGGTAAGGCGGGGGGAAAAAAAAATATGTCAATTCCACGTTTTTTGTATAAAAAAACACGTTGTTACATGTTTTTTTTTTTCTGGGTTCATTACCTGCTTGTGCTCAATCATGGCACCAATTTGAGCTTGTTCAGCTTGGTTGAAACGAGAGAAATCCATATTGTTTATATATAAAAAAAAGTTGTCGATGAACAAGGGTTATAAAAAAAAAAAAAAAGCGGGTGTAGTAAAAAAAAAAAAGCATATTTTTTTTTTTCCCTTCAAAAAAGTGATTTACGTCACAAAGACGGTCACGATGCGCCCAAAACCCAAAACCGAAAAAAAAAAAAAGGTGTGCGATCTAGATTGGTGATTTTTTGCCAACCCGTGCTAAAGGATGAAATAAACGTGCGCACTGGCTTTGAATATAAATAGATAAGATTAAAAAGGAGAAGACTATTTTTGTACCTGTTAAAAAAGTGTTGCACCCTCATACAAGAAAAAAAAAAAGTGGGGGGGGTGCGATTTTGATGACTGAAGTAAAATATATATATATAAAAAAAAAGGCCTATATCTGTTTATTGTCGCGTTTAGAAAAAAAGAAAGAAAGAAAGAAAAAAAAGGGGTAAAAAGTGCATGTATTTTTTGTTGTTGTATGCAAATCATCTGCAGTAACTGTTTACGTGTTTCATAAAAGGCAACGTATCATTTTGCTTTGCACTAAAAAAAAAAAATTATTTGATAGCAATCAGGGCATTCCGAAAAAAGAAATTAGGCAATTTCTGGAGCAAAAATAGATTTTTGTTGGAATGAGGTCATGGATTGGATAGATATTTTTACCTTTTAAGCAGAAAAGTAAAAAAGAAACTCAACCCCCGCGGAAATGGGAGAGAAAAAAGAGTGCTTCCAAAGGGGCAAGTGAGAAAGGGGGGGGAGTGCCAAAATCAAGCCCCGCGGAAACCTGCTTAGTTCTAAAAGAATCCGCGGAAAAAAAAAAATTTAGTTTTTTATTTTTTATTTTGATTGTTTTACAGTTATATAAATAGAACCGATTTAAAATAAATTTAATTTTTTTTTTTCCTTCCTTCATCTCTTTTTTTTTTAAAACAACTACAAAAATAAAAAAATGTGTGGAATCTTTGGGTAAGAGAGCAAATCATAATGTGTGTCTATTAAGCGTATTAATTAAATATGATATAGTTACTGTAACTTTCTCTGTGAAAAGTCTCGTCGCGATGTCTGTGACACTCTCTTGAACGGTCTCTCTCGTTTGGAGTACAGAGGTTACGATTCTGCCGGTAAGTTATTTCTTTTTTTTTTTTAAAAAGGGGGGGAAACTGTATATTAAGTATATTCCTTAGGTTTCGCTGTGGATGGTGACAAGGAAGACATCATCATCATGAAGCAAGTGGGTAAGGTCGCTGCTTTAAGAAAGCTCGTTGATGAACAACCTGTCGATTTCGCAAAGCCCTTCATCAGCCAATGTGGTATGGCTCATACGCGTTGGGCCACTCATGGTCAACCTTCTCAAATCAACTCTCATCCCCAACGTTCCGATACCACCAATGAATTTGCTGTTGTCCACAACGGTATCATTACCAACTACAAGGAAATCAAGCTCCTTCTCGAAAAGAAGGGTTATGTCTTTGAATCAGACACCGATACTGAATGTGTTGCCAAGTTGACCAAGTATGTCTTTGATTCCCACAACAAGGACATGAACTTCCTTGAATTAGTCAAGGCCGTTGTCAAGGAGTTGGAAGGTTCTTATGCTTTCATCTTCAAGTCTACCTATTTCCCTAACGAAATCGTTGCTACCCGTCGTGGTTCTCCTCTCTTGATTGGTGTCAAGACTGCCAAGAAGCTTAAGGTTGACTTTGTTGATGTTGAGTTTGGTGGACACAAGGATGCCGTTGGAACAGACAGCTCATGTAAGTTTGTGTGTGTGTGTGTGTGTGTGTGTGTGTGTGTGTGTGTATGTGTGTGTGTACGGTTAGACTAAAATAACACTTTTCTTTTGTTTGTTAGTTGCCCCTGTCGAAGGTCAAGATATGTCTCGTCCTGCATTAAATCGTTCTCAATCCAGAGCTTTCTTGAGTGAAGATGGTATGCCTCAACCCATTGAATACTTCTTGGCCTCTGATGCTTCTGCCATTGTTGAACACACCAAGCGTGTCCTTTATTTGGAAGATGATGATATTGCTCACATTGCTGATGGTGAACTTCATATCCATCGTGTTCGTCGTTCCAAGGAAGATAACACTGCTGCTACCCGTTCCATCCAAACCTTGGAAATCGAGTTGGCCGAAATTATGAAGGGTTCTTTCGATCATTTCATGCAAAAGGAAATCTATGAACAACCCGAGTCTGTTGTCAACACCATGCGTGGTCGTGTTAACTTTGAAAACCATGAGGTTACTTTGGGTGGTCTTCGTGGTTTTACTCATATCATTCGTCGTGCTCGTCGTATTATCTTTATTGCCTGTGGTACCTCTTATCACTCTTGTTTAGCTACCCGTTCTATCTTTGAAGAGTTAAACCAAATTGGTACTCAAGCCGAACTTGCTTCTGATTTCTTGGATAGAAGCTCACCTATTTTCCGTGATGATGTTTGCGTCTTTGTTTCTCAATCAGGTGAGACTGCTGATACTATCTTGGCTATGCGTTATTGTTTAGAACGTGGTGCTCTCTGCGTGGGTGTTACCAACACAGTTGGTTCTTCCATCTCCCGTGAAACTCACTGTGGTGTTCATATCAATGCTGGTCCCGAAATCGGTGTTGCTTCCACCAAGGCCTATACCTCTCAATACATTGCCTTGCTCATGATGGCCCTTCAATTGGCCGAAGATACCACTTCCACTCAAAAGAGACGTGAAGAAATTATTGATAGTCTCTACCGCTTGCCTGGTCATATTAAGGAAGTACTTGCTATTGATAATAACCTTCAAAAGCTTGCCTTGGAGACCTTATCCGAAGAAAAGAGTTTGTTGATCTTGGGTCGTGGTTACCAAAATGCCACTTGTCTTGAAGGTGCTCTCAAGATTAAGGAAATCTCTTATATCCACAGTGAAGGTATTCTTGCTGGTGAACTCAAGCACGGTCCTTTGGCTTTGATTGATGAACATATGCCTGTGATTTTATTGATGACTCAAGACTCTCTTTACCCCAAGGTTCAATCTGCTCTTCAACAGGTTGCTGCTCGTAAGGGTACTCCCATCATTATCTGTAACACCGGTGATCAAAACTTGGTCAACCAATTCAAGACTATTGAAGTCCCCAAGACCAGTGATTGTTTGCAAGGTTTGGTCAACATTATTCCCCTTCAATTACTCTCCTACCATCTTGCCATTATCAAGGGTGTCGATGTTGATTTCCCTAGAAACCTTGCCAAGTCTGTCACTGTCGAGTAAATCTTTTATTTTATTTTTTTCATTCTTTATTGCACACACACACACACACACACATTTATATTTTTTCATCCCGCACAAACCAAAAAAAAACATATATACACACCCCACACACCCCACTACCACGTCTTTATTCCCTAATAAAGAAATTTTGACAAAAATAATAATCATGCCAAGTCACGACACCTGTATTTTTTTTTTGTGTGTGTATATAATAGTCTTGTGAGGGTGAATACCCCTTCTCTCTCTCTCTCTATTTTTTTTTTTTTTTTGTTGTTGTTGAAAATGAGTCATTTCCATGATGGCAAAGGATTGCCAGAACCCATCATTACCACGAGTTTATCCAAAAGCTCTTTATCGTCCACGACAAGCTCACTTTCACCTTCCGCCTCCGTCTTGTATAGTCGTCCTTCTCGAACAAACAGTTATCGTGGAAGTATGCCACAGGCACCACTTTCTTCTTCCAGCTCCAAAAACTCTAAACTAGAGCAAATTATTCATGTAAAGAAATCTATTCAGCATGTGGATTTAAACACAGCTAACCCTTATATTTTCATTATGCAGAACTTTTTCACAAAGACTGTACAAATCATTCTCCAATCTAGGATATCTGACGATCATCTCAAAGGTCATCCTCATACGAACACAAGACGCAAAGTCAATAAATGGGTAAAAAAAAAAAAAAATATACATGGATATTATTTTTTTTTAACACGCACAAAAAAGTTCAATATTGCAACTAGTGAGGATGATCAGCTTAAGGATGAATTAAAGTTTTGGAAATTGTTCATCAAGACGCATCAAGACGAGGAACCTCCTCCACTAGTGATTGATATTTATATCGAGACGTCGGAACCCGAATTATTGCAGGAAGGTGAAGATGGACGTGGATGGCATAAATTGAATTTGGGTGTCCAATGTATCCTGATTGAATCCTGGACACTTAAGCTAACGTAAAAGTAGTCCCCCCCCCCCCTTTACTCGTGTATATTTTGTATGGTGAGAATAATAACTAACACATACACTATCTAGACATCCATTGCCTGAAGTCGCTGTGGATTTACCCAATTTGTACAAGAAATCTATCGTCTTCTTTCGGTCTTTGCATTCATTGGTGAGATTATTGCCTGGTCATAAGTTGTATCAACGATTAAATGGTCAGCATGGCGAGATTGATTTACGTTATAGGTTATCTACACACGCGATAAATCGACCGGATGAAATACCACTTGGTAATTAGCCATAAATCGCATCATTTTCCCCCCTCCCCCCCTTTTTTTTTTTCTCACATTTTCTTATCTTAGACAGAAAACTCACAAGTATGGATACTGTGCAGTCCTATGAATTTAAGCATGTCGTGACACCGTTGGGGTAAAACATACACTTACACACACAAAAAAAAAAAGAGAGACACATTTATTATGTATAGTATGACTGGGATAATTGATATTGACATAGTATAGTACCTTAAAACTCTCTTTGAATTATCGAAATCATTGTCAATTTGATATCAGAGAAATTGAGCCTGATAAATCCATGATGGAAGTCGAAGAGAATTTCTTTACACCTACCATGACAAAATATCGACAAGAAAGAGAGGTATGTCTGTTAAAGGAGAAAAAGAGAGAGAGAATAAAAGAAGTGTACAGACACATGACTCACTTTCTTTCTAAAGTCTACAGTCAAGGCGCCTACTACACTCTATCCATCCGTGTCTTCTTCTTCTTCACGACGTACGATGCAACCTTCTTTTCGACCCAGCCGCAGTTATTACCCTACCAGCTCTACATCCACTGTGATCACCTCATTAGAACGACGGATTTCTGCTCCCATTGTACAACCGTTTAAATCACCTTCCTTATCATCTTCACCCCAAAAAGAGCTCATGTGTAACTAAATTTTTTTATTATACGTTTGCATTCTATCATCGATTAACTCCATCTTATAGATCCTTCCCGTTCACAGACGACCACAAGACCGACAGCAACGACAACGACGGTAGGGATGGCAACGGCGGAAAGTGGATCATTTGGACGCAAAGTGGAATTTTCTTCTAGTTTTGAGAAATTTAAAAGTGTAAGCAGTAGTAACAGTAGCAGTCATCCTCGACCCGCATCATTTTTAGCTGCAGCTGATATGGTAAGAAGAGGATCACGCACCAGTGATCAAAGCTCAATTAACCTGGTCAGTTTTTTTTTTTTTTTTTTTTTATTATTATTATCATGCACATTCTGTTTTTTGTATTCACACTCAGTGTTAGGAGTCGGAGGAGGAGGAAGATTTGGAGGATTTTATGAAGTTTATTGGGGATCCACAAGAATTAAAGTTATTTCAACACCATTCTGTCTATTCCGAAGTGGCACCGCAGCAACAAGAGCAATCAAGAGTACATAATAAAAAAGAGACAGAGAGGAAGAGCGTATTATGCAATATGTACACTAAAATACATGTTTTTTTTTTATTTTAGTTATCCCATTTTAGGAATATGCAAGAAACTCACACCATTTTATCGGATTCGATGTCATTTAGTATGCAGGCAAAGGATAATCAAAGTAGTATGGAATCCTCTTCTTATAACAAGGGATTAAATCTACCTGTTCGACCTTCACCTCTGCATAACACTGAATTGATCTCACCTCCTGCCACCAGCAGTAATGTCAAGGAAGTCTTATCGGCGGATGAGATTGTTTCGCAATCGCCCTTAAAGAATCGACAGGCCCCACCTCCGCCTCCGCCACCGACTGCGCCCGTACGACGTATCAGTACGAGTCATGAGGACGATGATTCGTTGGTCTTTAAGATGAGTGAGTTAAGTGGAGCTTATGAAGATGAAACTGAACATCGATCCAGTATGCGAAGGATCCATAGTAGTGGGAATATACCCAGTACTACTAAAATGATGCAAGTTCAAACTACAGGTCACACCAGTGATGATGGTACACATCATCGACATCAACTTACTAACAGACTGTTCTACAATGACCTTTGAATTCTCTCTCTCTTATTTTTTCCACTTAAAATAAAAAAAAAAATTCTTTAAAAATATGACAAGGGATTCTTTAATTTGGTTACAAGAAAAATATATTTCCGGGAGAGGGGAAAATGTATATTCTTTTTTTTTTTTTTTATAATTACACTTTCTTTTCTTTTTTCTTCCCTTTTTCTCTTATTGCTTCTTTTTTTAATTTATTCATAAAAAATGTGCGTCATGCTATTGTTTTTGTTTGCTTTTTTATGTACAGTTCATTTAGCGTCATCCAGTGAAAACATGTGCTTGGATGCACCTGCAGAGTTTTTGGGAAAACCTATTCGGTTTCAATGGAATTCATGTGAGACCCAACGTGTACGCCAACGCAAAAGATCATATCTCCGATCGGCTCCTATGGAGATCGCATTTCAATGCCTTCATACCGAACCTTCCATCTGCAATAAAGCAGAACGTGCCTTTCAAAAGGCTGGGAAAACCATTGCCTCTACCTTTTTGTTTAAGGAACCCGTACGTGTCAATGCTACGATGATGTCCTTTTGTCAGGTCACGGGCGAGTGTGGTAAAAATATGATGACCTTGGGTGGTTCTTCACCTGCTCGAGCCATTCCTTTATTAAACAGTGATGGGATGACTCGATTACATCCACAGGCTTTGGTGAAGCAATTCGGTCTGACAGATCATCCTGCCTTTGCCCCGTTTGATATCATTGGTATCTTTAATGCAGATGCACCCTTTTGGTTCGAGGTAAATGACATACATACAAAAAAAAAACAGTTGAGAGGGGAAGGGGCTGGATGGTTGACAAAAAGAGATAAAATAGGAAGATAATGTGCCTATTGGTAGAAACCAAGCAGATTTTTCATTTGTGATACTTGTAAGTTGAGTGTTTTTAGTTTATATGTTCATTTTTAATAGAAAGTAAACAAACATGTGTATAAAAAAAGTGAAAAAAAAAATTAGCATGAATTGATGCATGGGCTTGGATTCTATTCTGGCTGGAATGAATATATTGGACCTCACATGATCACACCGGACCCTTCACCCTTTCTTGCGAACCAATTGATGCTTTCGATCAATCCTGGTACGACGGCCATTCATCCTAGTCAATTCCTGGAGAGTGCGATGGATCGATTGATGACGGACGAGAAAGGACGGTTCGTTTCGGAACACACCAGAGAACTGAATCGGATGGAAGCAGAGAGTCTAGAAGCGTTGGTGACGGATCCACGATTTAAGACAGTGCAGAGCGTGAGTGAATTTGCAACCGAACCTGGTACATTGGGAATCCAACTTTCGAAAGAAGAATGGGTAGTGTTAGAAACGGGTTTGAGCCCCTTTCAACCGGGATCGTCTATCTCGCATGTTGCTTACTCGGAGTATACACATACGCCAGATTTTTTGATGCGTTTTATGCAAGATCGGGGGTTGACTTTGCAAGAGGCGGTACAACGAGGAGAAGGAAAAGGTCCTATTGGTCCACTCTTGCTAAGGATCTTTGAAGAAATGGGTTACGCCACTGTAAATCAACCGGATACTGTGCCTCCCTTGATGTTGTTTCGATCGGGTATTCAAAAAAATCAACGTCTCGACAAGGGGACTTCTTCTTCGATGGCCATTCATAATTCACCCACTCTTTTGTATTTATTCTTTTATCTTTTGATTGTTCTTATTTATTAAAAAAAAAAAAAAATTGGATGCTGTGCATTCATACCTCCTCCCCTCCTTGTTGTTTTCTTATATTCTACTATCCTCCCCAAATAACAGCTTATAAGTTTAATTTATACATTTAAAGTGAGTTTTGAAAAAAAAAAAATTACATCATGCTTCTTCTGAGACGACCTTTATTCAAAATAATCTTTTTTAGGATTTCAACCTCGTTTTATTCTTACAGCCAACTCTTTTCATTGTAATCAATACCATGTTGTCATGACATGTAGTATCAATTTTCATCGGGTAATCTTCTTTGGATCATGGCTAGTTCGTGTACATATAACGTCTGTTTTCATTGTCTGGGTAAAAAAAAAATATTACAGTAGTACACGATCTCTAAAAAACGACAGTGTCACCACCAAATTGCATAAATTATAGGAAAAGAGGGAGCGGAGTGGGAATTTGCAAAACCCTCTTCTTATTGACACCCTTTTTCATTTCGACAAACAAATTTAACAAATAAGCTTTAATAATTTTTTATGCGTTCATTCCTGTTTTGTTTTTGCTTTTCAAAAGAAACAGACTAAAGTAAAGGATCTACAGCCAAAGTGGCTTGTAACGAAGTAATTAGTAAAACAGCTGCGGGAGTTTCTTTTTTGCTCATAATACCCTTTACTTTCACCTCTCAAAATGATCAAATTGCGCGGGTTTATTTTGAGATTATGAGTACAGTTTATAGGAAAGTGCTTTTTTCTGGGAGTAATACGTGGTTTTTTTTTTTGTCGAGGGAAAATGAGCCGTTATTAAAATATGTTCCACCCAGCTTGGTTGTCAAGCTTGGTTTATATTCTTTTGTCTTTTATGTTCATACGGATTTTTGGGACCCGTTCTGTGTTCCTTCCTTCTCGTGTTTATCCTGTGAGTACCAATATTCTTAGGGAAACTAAGAGAAACTTTTTTTCGGTTTAAAATAAAAATCCTGTTCTCCTTGTAATGCAAAATGGCAAACGTGCTTAGTAAAAACATGTGAATGCATCTATGTACGACTGTGATTACTTAATCTCAAAAAACAACAAACACTTTATCACATAGTATACTCGCCAAATGGCTAAAAAAGTTATTTTAATCTCTTCTTTCATCGCAAAACACCTAAATGAATACTTTCGAATCTTTGCCTCATGAAATCTGGGACATCATTATGTTCTATGTTGGAGACCATGCAAAGAAGAGTCAAGTGATGGCTGTAAATAAGAAATGGTACAATTTATACTTATCACTCGCCTACACTGCTCCCGTCATCGACTTGAACTCATGTCCCTCCAAATTTAATGGTTTTTTTAATTCACCGTTCAATCCAGGGCAGTACACAACGTCCATTACTTTGCAACATTTTGGAGGAGATACGGAGTACTACGCAGATATTACTGAAAGCAAACTTTATCGATTAATGATGCAGACGCCCCACGTAAAAGAAGTCGAATTCGATCAGATCAAACGTTTTGATACGAGGTACTGGGATTATTTTTATAAGGCACTCAAAGCGGCAAACACATGGAAATTACACAAATTGCCAAACAATTGGTATTTGTCTCATATATATAAACAAGCTATATTGGTACATGCCACTTATTGGAAATGTGTGAAGCATTTAAAGCATTCAATTAGCTCCGTACGTCTGATTAAAACTAAAAAGCCAAAAATGATGAATTTCAGATTTTTAAATCAATTTACTGCGTTGAGATCATTGAACATCACTAAAGGTTTGCTTAAACGCGTATACGACTTGGATATTCTGCTTCAACAAGTCTCTCAGCTGGAGGAGATCGAGGTGGATTTTTCAGACACGAGCTTCGTTCCAGATTTTTCTCGAAATGGTGGAATGATCCTAGGTGGAGAGTATCCGAACATAAAGACAATAATATTTCATTCGTTTGTTTTTCAAACCGATCATCAAGCGTGCATATTTTATACCAATTTCACAGGACTTCAAAAACTACACATTACAGGCATTCAAAACGAACTCATTTTAAGACCAGAAACCGAAATGAAGTTCTTCACAATGCTATCGTCACTTTTGGATTACAATTTTGGCCTCCGTGGAAGCTTTATTGGCAAGTCTGATTTTGTTAGCAGAAACTGTATGCAAGTAAATCACGCTTTGTTGTCTGGTCGTCGTCGTGGAGACAATCCAATTCCCATCTGTGTTGAAAAATCAATACTCTTCCCTGATGGGGCGATACGACATACAATTTGGAATGATCATATTGCTGCGAGGCGTATTCTTTTAGGCTTAGGACCAAATATACAGCAACTTGAACTTTCTGACATAAAAGATGAGCATATACAAGACTCTCTGGAGGTTCTTTTCAGTAACCAGCACAAAAAATTACGCTATATTGTATTCCAAAGGCTCAATTTTACCATGCTAACCAACGCAAATTTGGTTTTTACAGGGTGCATAGATAGTGTACAGTTTGAAGTTTGCACACTTTCCGAACAGGCACTTCAATTTTTATTAGCCTGCTTTACAAATTTAAGAAAAGTTCATTTTAAAGCCTGCGTGTTTTCTGATTCTTTCAAGCATACGTCGATCTGTGTAACCATGCCAAAGACTGATATCCAACAACTCTGTATAACGTATCAAAGACCTCCGAATAATGAATTAGGATATCGTCATAAGGAAAGATGGAATCGTGCTAAACCGCGTGTGCCATTTCCTTTGGTTTCAATTACGTTGATTAACGAAGGTACTACGAAATATTATCATACGAAATATGAAGTAGTACCAGTGGTTATGGAAACAACAGAAAAAGAATTTCTTCAACTCAGAGAAAATGCAACGCGATTTGTACCTTGCCCGTACGTTATAGCTATTCAGGCCAAATCGATTCGAGAACTTACAATTATGAACCATAAAACTCATCCATCAACAGACATTCACATGAATTTATAGCTTATAAAAAGTCTTCATTATACTAATTATAATAAATTTATTTTTATAATTCTTCTAAATGTTTCCCAAAGAAAAAAAAAATATTGCATGCTGATTGATGATCGGAATAAGGCCATATGTTGGCTTCATGTTTAGTTGTGTACATGTTTCATATAATGCGTGGTGGTCCATCAAATTATTAAAAATCGTTTCCATATCTTTTGGTCGGCTACTGCTTAATTTCAGTCAAAGCTGGTGGATCAATTTGACGGAGACATTTATAATTTCAAATTAGGCGCTGGTCGGGAGCAAATGAAATTGTGTTTCTGCTGTTTTCACAACTACAAGTCTGTCTTCGTCTCTAGTGTAGTAGTAACTTATATACTATCTTTATCTGGCAATGTGAACTAAATCAAAGGAACAGTGTGAGGATTTTCTACCATCTTATAATCACCATTAAATGTCATCTTACATCATTCAAATTATTAATAAAAGTGCACAAAATGGAAGATGGTACGATAGTTAGACAGTGTGGATGTCAGTTAATGGCATAATAATATTTAAGCAAAAAAAAGCAAACTATTTATCAAAACGACAGCCTGCAAACTGGATCCTGTCCAATTTTATAAAGCGAGCTGATAGCCCTTGGAAAAATTGCTTAGAGAATTCACAGTCACTTAACGTTGTTACAAATACTTTGGATGTAACCTGTATCGCCTTCTTTTTTCGAAGTGCCCATAAACGTTTGTTACTATGTTAAAAAAGAAAAAGAAAAAATGCGAGTCATTTATTTACGTTTTAATGTCTGTTTTGGATTTATACTGATAAAATGATTGTGCATGAGTCTAAAGAACTTTGCGCCGTGTTCATTCATACGAGCACAACTACGCCAGATTATTTGTTGTATTTATCTAATATAAACAAATGGCTTCTATTTTCTAAAAAGTGGGGGAGGAGCTGGAAACCATTTTTATATTTTGAACATGCTAAATGTGTATATTATAACATCACCAGTGCCGATATGGTAGTTATAGGGTCTATTACGCCGCATATTTAATGTGTGCATAGCTACGCAGAGCTACTATTTTTAGTGATAAATACCTCTTACCATTCAATAAGCCGTTTGGGAAGGAGACAAAGAAACAACTTACGTAGTACAAGCAATTTGTTGAACGTCTGGGTAGTACCACCTATATATAAATTTGAGAAAATGAGCGGGCACAGGACTTGACTTTTAAACTTATAAGTGGAATATGCAAAAAGGTCTTTGATACCTTTTCATTTTAACAAAAGGTTCCAACCATTACGCTTCCGTAAAGCAATCACTCATTCATTCGTGTTTAATTTTGCTTATTACAAGAAATATGCTAAAGTAAAGGATCTACAGTCAAAGTGGTTTGTGCCGCAGTCATAGAAATAATTTAGTATAAACAACAGCTGTGAGCGTTTTCTTTGTTCACCTCTCATTGTATGCCTCTTTAATGATAATTCAATTGTGCGGGTACGTAGTACTGCCTGTTATATATGAAATCTCAAGTATGATACTGATTTGTGTACTGTACACTGACTCCAATCCCACCTTCTCAGACCACTGTGATGTATTCTTACATATTACACATTGTGGTGTGGAACTTACTTCCCGCGGGATTCGTTCATTGTTTGGTATTTGATGTTTTGACTTTGAATGTATGAAACGGGTTTATATTGAATTCCCAAGTACAGTTGATGTGAAGGTTTAAAGGGAAGTACATTTTCTTGGGGGTAATGCGTGGTTCTTTTTTTTTCAAGGGTGATAAAATGAGCCACTCTTAAAACACGTTCCACCCAGCTTGGTGGTCAAGCTTGGTTTGTTTTTTTGTCTTCCATGTTTACATTAGGTTTTGGGACCTGATCTGTGTTGCCACCTTCCCGTTTTGTCCTGTGAATAACAATATTCTTTGGGAAACTCCAAGAAATATACCTTTTATTTTTGGTTTATAATAAGCATCCTATTTTTTAAAAGACGTCAGTCTTGTGGTCTAGGATAGTTGTAATTTGTCCTTAAAAGTTTTAATTCAAATTTTTGAAGAGCATCGATAAAGCACAAATAAACCAAGTTGTTCAAAATAGAGTATGAAGGGGGTAGTGTTTCAATAGCCCGCACTAACAAATGAGTGGACATCTATTTGTTAACACAAAAACTGATTCTCCTTGTAATGCACAATGGCAAATGCGCTTAGTAAAAACATGTGCATACATTTATTTACGACTGTGAATAATTAACCTCAAAAAAACAACAAACAATTTATCATATAATCTGCTCGTCAAATGGCAACAAAGTTATTTTGATCTTTTCTTTTATTGCAAATCATCTAAATGGGTACTTTCGAATCTTTACCTCATGAAATCCGAGACATAATCATTCTCTATGCTGGAGACCATGTAAAGGAAAGCCAACTGATGGCTGTAAATAAGAACTGGTACAATATATATTTAGCACTCGCCTACACTGCCCCCGCCATCGATTTGAGCTCTAAACCCTCCAAATTTTATGGTATTGCGGATTCTCCGTTTCATCCAGGGCATTACACAACGTCCATTACTTTTCGATCTTTTAGCGCAGAGCCAGGATACACCCAAAGCAAGCTTTATCGCTTAATGATGCATACGCCCCACGTTAAGGAAGTCAAGTTCCACCAGATTGGAAACGTTGAAGCGCAAGACTGGGAATACTTTTATAAAGTGCTCAAAACTGCAAACGCCTGGAAACTGCATTGCTTACCAGACGATTGGAAATTAAAACCTTTGAATGATATAGCCGACATGACATTGATTTATTCTACCTACTTGAAATGTGCGCAACATTTGAAGCACACAATTAATTCTCTCCGCTTGATGAAAGAAATGATGCCAACGAATATGGATCTCAGTTTTTTAAATGTATTAACCGCGTTGCGATCCTTAAATATCACTAAGGGTTTCCTCAAAAGCGTATATGACTTGGATCCTTTGCTTCAACAAGTCCCCATGCTGGAGGAGCTTAAGGTGGATTTCAAAAAGACAAGTTTCATTTCAGATCATGACAACGGTGGAATAATCCTGAATAGAGAGTATCCGAGTATAAAGACACTTAATTTCCATTCCTTTGTCTTTCAAACAGACCAGCAAGCACGCATATTTTACACTAATTTCACAAGCCTTCAAAAATTACGCTTCATAGGCATTCAAAACGAGCTCACAATAAAACCAGAAATAGCAGAGAAGTTTTTCACGATGCTTTCGTCACTTTTGGATTATGATTTTTACATTCATGGAACTTTTATTGGCAAGTTTGATTTCATCAATGCCAACTGTCTGCAAGAAACGCACGTTTGCATACAAAATTATGAAAATATGACCGATGCGGTCCGTGTCAAAAAATCAAAAGACTTCCCCGATGGAATGATAGATTATTATTTTTCAGATAATCGTGACGTTGCGATGCGTACGTTATTAGACTTAGGTCCGAATATACAGCAAATCCAACTTATTGATGTGGCGACCATATATATTGAATACTATCTGGATATTATTCTTAGTAATCAGCACAAAGATCTACACTCTATTGTATTCCATAGTCACATAACTCAACCATTTGTCAGGACAGATTATGTCTTTAAAAGTTCCATCCAAAATATATCGTTCCGTCATCGTAGACTTTCCAACAATGCTCTTAGAGATTTATCAGCTCTCTTTACAAATTTGAAGGTGGTTCATTTCAAAGCTTGTCAATTTGATCAATCTTCCAATGATAATACGATCAATATAATCATGCCAGATACTGCTATCGACCAGCTCTGGGTATCTTGTGGTGTAATCTTCCATAAATTGTTTCAGGATGAGTATCCCAAAAGATGGGATCCAGATATGCTTCCTTTGGTTTCAATCACGTTGACAGAAGAGGGTGTGAAAAGATTCTATTACACAATATTAGATAAAGGGATACCAGTGGTTTTGGAAACGACAAGAACACACTTTCATCTACTCGCCAAAGCAACGCCGAATTATAAAGCCATGACTAAAATTATAAAAGTCTACGTTAAATCGGTCCGAGAGCTTTCATTGAAATTAAATAATGATCGATCAAAAGATATTCTAATGATGTTCTAACTTTCGAAAAAAAATTTCAAGCGTATAATAATAATCCAACCAGACAACATTTGTGATACTCATAATATATATATGTAGTTTATTAAATGTTTCCCAAAGAAAAAAATAAACAAAATCAATTGTGTGCTAATTGATAAACACAGACATACGAAAGAAAAAAGCTTGAAACATGTTCAGTGGCATGGTTTGGGAGTTTGGGGTTTGGATTTAAAGAAAAGTGCTTCTTCTCGGGGTAATGCGTGATTCTCTCTTTTTTTTTTTTTTTTTTTTTTTTTTTTTTGAAGGGTGATAAAATGAGTCGTTATTAAATCACGTTGGGTCCAGCTTGGTCGTCAAGCTTGATTAAACGTTTCGTCTCTCATGTTTACACTGGTGTTTAGGACTTGTTCTAGGGATCCACCTTCTTGTGGTAGTTGTTCTGTGAGTACCAATGTTCTTTGGAAACTAACAGAAACACAACATCTTTTATTTTTCGGTTAAAAAACACATCCTATATTATACATCACTCTTATTAGGTCTATTGCAGCTACAGATTATTCTTATAAGTTTTGATTTCATATTTTAAAGAGTATCGATAAATCACAAATAAACTAACTTGATCAAAATAGAGTATGATGGGGACAGCATTTCAATAACCCGCACTTCCATATGAGTGGATGTAATCTGTCTGTAAACTCAAAATTTAATTCTCTTTATAATGCAAATTTTATTGGTAAACGGGCTTAGCAAACTACTTGCATGTTCTTATGCACGACTGTGATCAGTCGCACCTCAAAAACAAACAAAAACTTTATTATATAAGCTACTCGTCAAATCGTTGTAAAGTTATTTTAATTTTTTCTGTTAAACAAAACATCTAAATGGATACTTTCAAATCTTTACCTCATGAAATCTTGGAAATTATTTTGTCTTATGCTGGAGACCATGTAAAGAATAGCCAACTAATGGCTGTAAATAGGAATTGGTATAATATATATTTATCACTCGTCTACACTGCCCCCGTCATCGATTTGGATTCTGAACCCTCCGAATTTTATGGTATTACGGATTCCCCGTTTCGTCCAGGGCAGTACACAACGTCCATTACTTTTCGATCTTTTAGCCCAGAGCCAGAATGCACCCAAAGCAGGCTTTATCGCTTAATGATGCATACACCCCACGTTAAGGAAGTCAAATTCCACAAGATTAAAAACGTTAAAGCGCAAGGGTGGGAGTATTTTTATACAGTGCTCAAAACTGCAAACGCCTGGAAATTACATTGCTTACCAGACGATTGGAAATTAAAAGCTGTAAATGATAAAGCCGATAGGACATTGATTTATTCGACTTACTTGGAATGTGCGCAACATTTGAAGCATTCAATTAATTCTCTCCGTTTGATGAAAAAAATGATGCCAACGAATATGGATCTCAGTTTTTTAAATGTATTAACCGCGTTGCGATCCTTAAATATTACTAAGGGTTACCTTAAGAGCGTATACGACTTGGATCTTCTGCTTCAACACGTCCCCATGCTGGAGGAGCTCGAGGTGGATTTCAAAAAGACAAGCTTCATTTCAGATCATAACAACGGTGGAATAATCCTGACTAGAGAGTATCCGAGTATAAAGACACTTAATTTCCGTTCCTTTGTCTTTCAAACAGACCAGCAAGCATGCATATTTTATGCAAATTTCACAGGCCTTAAAAAACTATACATTGCAGGCGTTCAAAACGAACTCACACTAAAACCAGAAACAGCAAAGAAGTTTTTCACAATGCTTTTGTCACTTTTGGATTACGATTTTAAGCTTCGTGGAGCTTTTATTGACAAGTTTGATTTCATCAATGCCAACTATCTGCAAGAAACACACGCTTCCGTATATAATCATAAAAAGAAGACCGATGCGGTCGATATCCAAAAATCAAAAGACTTCCCAGATGGGATGATAAATTATTATTTTACAGATGATCGTGCTGTTGCTACGCATGTTCTGTTAAGATTGGGTCCCTATATACAGCGAATCCAGTTCAATAATGTGGATAATAAAAATATTCAACACTATCTGGAGGTTATTTTCAGTAACAAGCACAAAAACCTGCACACTATTGTTTTCAATAGTCTCGCTTTCCTGCAGCTTTCCAAGGCTAACTTTTTCTTCACAAGTGGCATCCAAACTATATTGTTTGATAATTGTAAACTTTCCGAATATGCTTTGAAAGAGTTATCATTGCACTTTACAAATTTAAAGGTAGTTAATTTTAAAGATTCCGCGTCTGATGAATCTTTCGATAATAGGCGGATTAATATAATCCTGCCAAACACTGATATTCAACAACTCTCGGTAACATGTAGTAATCCCCTTTTAAACCTCATTTACACCATTTATCCCGGAAGTTGGGATCCACGGATGCTTCCTTTCGTTTCAGTCACATTGACAGATGAAGGTGTTACAAGATACTATTATACAAGAGATGAAAGGGTACCAGAGATTGTGGAAACAACAAAAAAGCATTTTAAACTGGTTGAAAAAGGGACATTAGAAGGTTATGTTGATCTCACTACAATTGTAATTATCCACGTTAAATCGATCCGAGAACTTACATTGAAATTAAATAATAATCTATCACGCGATATTATAATGGTTTTCAAACCTTTAAAAAAGCTTTAAACAGTATTTTAGTAATAAAATTAAACATCATTTGTTATACTCATAATATGTACATATAAAAACTATTTAATGTTTTCCAAAGAAAAAGTTAACCCCCCCCCCCGTTGTGTGATAATTGATGGACACAGGCATTCGAGAAATAAAAACTTAAAAACAAGTTCACTTGTGCGTTTCACATCTAGTTGTTCACACATTTAATATAGTTCATGGTGTTTAATTAAGGCTATTTGGATGTTAGAATATCATTTCAATATCGTTTGATCGGTTGCTGTTTAATTTTAACGAAAGCTTCTGGATCGACCTAACGGAGACATTTATAATTTTAAAAAAGTCTTTTCTCGGGACCATTTTTGCGAGCAATTGAAATTGTGTTTCTGATGTTTCCACAGCCACGGGTTTGTCTTCGCCTCTAGTATAATAGTATCTTGTGATGCCTTCATCTGTCAATTTGATGGAAACCAGAGGAAAAGTGTGTGGGTTTTCCATCATATCATTGTAAAGACTGCGCCATCTTAATTCATTCAAATTATTTACAAAAGTGACACAAAAGGGAAGGTTATACGATATACAGAGAGTATGAATATCCGTCGATGGCATGGTAATATTTATCCAAGAATACCCAAAACGGCAGCTTTTAAAGTGGACTGTGTCCAACTGTGTAAAGCCAGCAGATAACACTTGGAGAGATTCTTCAGAGAATTTGCAATCATGAAACGTTAAACTTTGGATGTAGCTTGTATACAATAAATCTGCTTCGGTAAGCCAATACAAATCGAGTCCTTGGCATACAAGAGCATTAATGGTTATGTATTGGGTACTAAAAAGACGCTCCAAAAGATGTTTTGTATAACCACTTTCTAAAAAAACAAGCTGAATTTGCTGCACATGCGGGCCCAAGCGTGACAGAATATGTCTTGCAGTAGAATAATCATATTTTACCATTGCCTCGGGAATCCGTTCTGTTTTGCTGATAATGATGGCATCTCTATCTACACCACTCTTACCATGGACAAACGCATGCATGTCTTGTCGACAGTTTTCATTAATAAAATCCGACATGTCAATGGCATTTTCTTTGAAGCGTATGTGATAAGCTGAAAGTGATGCGAGCATTATAAAAAAATTCTCAGTTGTTTCCGGTTTTAGACTGAGTTCATTTTGGGCACATGTAATTTGTAGTTTTCGAAGTCCAGTAAAGTTGTTATGGAATATACATACTTGATTATCTGTCTGAAACACGTAGTCATGAAAAGTAAGTATTTTCATATTGGGATACACTTCATTCAATATTGGTCTGTCGCTGGGATGATCATAATTGAATCTTGTGATTGAAAAATCGACATTGAGCTCTTCCAGTTGAGGAGTGTATTGAAGTATGATATCCAAATCGTTTACATTTTTCAAAAAACCTCGATTGATATGCAAAGATGATAATGCGACAAGTTCATGTAAAAAGCTGACACCAATATTCGTTGGCATATATTTTTCAATTAAGCGCATTGAGGCAAGCGAACTTTTTAGATGCTGGGCACATTTTAGATAAATGGAATACACTACAGGAAGATCAATTTGTGAATCTACACGACACGAGTCCCAATCATTTTGCAAATAGCGTAATTTCCAAACATCTGCCGTTTTTAGCACTTTATAGAAATACGCCCAGTCTTTCTCCTTGACGTCCTCAATATAATTGAATTTGACTTCTTCAACATGGGGAGTATACATCATTAGGCGATAAAGATTGCTTTGGGTAACATCGGTGGTGTCCTCTGCTTCAAAATATGGAAAAGTGATGGAAGTAGTCCACTGCCCTGGACGAAATGGAGAGTTCATAATGCTATAGTATTTAGAGCGATCACAGCCCAAACGGATACATGGTGCCTTGAAAACGACAGACAAATGCATAGTATACCAATGCCTATTAACAGACATCATCCGACGCTTTTTAACATGTTCTCCAGCATATAAAAAAATGATATCCCATATTTCACGGGGTAAATACGCGAAAGCGACCATAAATGTTTGTCATTTAAAAAGAAGAAGATTCAAAAAAGGGCTAATGTAACTTTATAATGAGTTGACGATGAATTTGTTTACGTTTTAATGTTTGCTTTGGATTTCTACCGATAACCTGATCGTGCATACAAGAACCACTACGTCACTAGTTTATTTATATATATATATCTGATTAAAGTAATGGCTTCCATTTTCTAAGATTTGGGAGCTGAAAACTATTTTAATATTCCAGACACGTGGGTCAGTTTGTTTTCAAAGACACACAGATACTCAAAATATAATGTTTGATGGTTGCGGATTTTACAGTCATGATTTTCAACCGTAATCAGCTTGCTTTACAATTATAAAGAAAATTCATTTTGAATGCTGTGGCTTTAACGGATATTTATACAATGACAGGTTCAATATAATTATGTCAGACTGGTGTTCACCAGCTCTGTATATCGTGCTACAGACCGATAATTGATAATCTCGACGATTATGTGCTCAAAAAATGGGAATATCCAGTGCTTATAAGAGATACGCCCACTTTAATTTCAATTTCAATCGCTCTAGCAGATGAGGGTGTTACAAAACATGAATGGATATCGTTGGTAGTAGAAACAACAGCGCAAAAAAATTTGTTACTTGAGAAAAGAAGCCACCTCGGAGATTGCAAATTATACCAAAAGTATGAATATCTATACTATATCGATCCGAAAAATTTCTTTTAAATTGCATGAAGATAATTCATCAAAATATATTCAAATGATTCTCTAACATCCAAAAAAATTTTCAGCATTGTATTTTAATTATTTATTTAACCAAAAATCATGCATCAATTTAATGTGTGCATAACTAGAAGACATGAAACTCACAAGTGAAAATTTTTCGAGACTCTTTCTTTTGGATCAAGTGTTCATCAATTACCATACAATAGTTTTTTTTTATTCCTTTGAGAAACATCTTTCAATATATATGAGTACAATGAATATTGTTTTTGTTGCATAATTAAATACCTATAAAATCTTTTTGGATTTCAGAAAACCAAATGAATATCTTTTGATTGATCCTCATACAATTTCAATACAAGCTCCCGAATCGATTTAACATGGATATCTATAATGTTAGTAAAATTTGGATTCTCTAAGGCCTCTTCTGTGAGCAGAAGAAATTGTTGTTCTGTCGTTTCCACAGCTACTAATATCCCTTCATTTTCTATGTGATAGTATTTCTTAGCACCCTCATCTGCTAAAGTGAGTGAGACCAAAGTGGATTCGGGTAAAATTTTCAAAGGTCTCATATATATGTCAAAAGGATTGTATATAGAAAAAATTGACGATGCCGGAGACGATATGCGGAGTTGGTGAACATTAGTCTTTGGCATGATTATATCGATCTGACGACGATGGTTATATCCATCAAGTGCACAATCGCTAAAATGAATATTCCCTAGGTTGGAAAAACAGGCCAGTAACACCTGAAGATTTGGTTTCGAAAATCTGCAGTTATTGAACGATATGCTTTGGATGTAACTTGTAAACACCAAATCTGCTTTGATAGGGGTCATAATTCTAAGCTCATCGAAAACAATAGAGCGTAGATTTCCGTGCTGATTACTGGAAAGGGCCTCCAGAAAGTCTTGAATACATGCATCGTTTATTTGGGCAAGTTCCAGTTGCTGTATATTCGATCCCAAGCTTAACCAAATACGCCTTGTAGCAACACGATCATTCGAAAACGTATGTTGTATCGTTCCGTCAGGGAAGAGCTTTGATTTTTTGACACAGACGGGGCTTTTGTTGGAACTATAACTATGACCGGACAACAAAGCATGATTTAATTGCAGACAGTTTTTGCTAACAAAATCAGACTTGCCAATAAAGTTTCCACGAAGGCCAAAATTGTAATCCAAAAGTAATGAAAGCATTGTAAAAAATTTCTTTGCTGTTTCTGGTTTTAGTGTGAGCTCGTTTTGAATACCTTCAATGTGTAGTTTTTTGAGGCCTGTAAAATTGGTGTAGAATATGCATGCTTGCTGATCTGTTTGAAAGACAAAGGAATGAAAGTCAAGTGTCTTTATACTCGGATACTCTCTAGTCAGGATTATTCCACCGTTATCATGATCTGAAACGAATCTTGTGTCTACAAAATCAACCTCGAGCTCTTCCAACTGAGGGACGTGCTGAAGCAGAAGATCCAAGTCGTATACGCTTTTAAGGAAACCCTTAGTGATATCTAAGGATCGCAATGCAGTGAATACATTTAAAAAATTGAGATCCATATTCGTTGACATCATTTCTTTCATCAAACGGAGAGAATTAATTGAATGCTTTAGATGTTGCGCACATTCCAAATAAATCGAATAAATCAATGCCATATCAGCCTTATCCTCTAAAGATTCTAATATCCAATTGTCTGGTAAGTGACGTAATTTCCAGGTGTTTGCCGCTTTGAGCACTTTATAAAAATAGTCCCAACTTTTCTTTTTAACGTTTTCAATCACACTAAATTTGACTTCTTCAACATGTGGTGTACACATCATTAAACGATAAAGTTTGCCTCGGTTGACCTTCTTAGTATACCTCTTATCCTCTTTGAAGAAGCGAAACGTAATGGAAGTTGTCAACTGCCCTGGGAAAAACGGAGAATACACAATGCCATAAAATTTGGAGCGTTTAGCGTTCAAATGTATTACCGGGGAAATGTAGGCGAGTGATAAATACATATTGCACCAATTCTTATTTACAGCCATCCATTGACCCTTCTTTGCATGGTTTCCAACATAGAAAAAAATGATGTCCCAGATTTCACGAGGTAAAGATTCAAAAGTGCTCATAGATATTTTGATAATAAAAGAAAAAGGTATAATAACTTTGTAGTGATTCGACAAGTACATTATACAGTATTGTGTTTGTTTGTTTGTTTGTTTTTTGGGCCGACGGACCACAATCGTGCATACACTTTTGACTGTTCTTACCAAGCCCGTTTTAGTATCTTTAAACAGACTACATCGACTCATCTAAAAGTGCGGGTTGTTGAAACGCTGCCTCACAATACTACTGTTTCATTAAGCGTAAAACCAATACATGATGTAAAATAGAGTGTTTATTTAAAGTAAATGATGTGTTTCTCTTAGTTTCCCAAAAAAAAAAAAAAAAAAAAAAAAATGTCATTTACAGGACAACCATCACAATACGTTGGAAACACAAAAAGGGTTTCAAGAATCAGTATGAACATGAAAGTAACACACAAATAATAGTGGGGTGGGTTTGTCTCTCGAAAAATATAAACCAAGCTTAACTGCCGAGGCAGTCAAGCTAAGATCCGAAATGTTTTAATAATGGCCCCTCCTATCACACCCTATAAAACAAACCATGCATTACTTAGGAAAAATCACGAGTACAGTTGATGTGAGGGTTCAAAGGGAAGGTCCAGTCCCCCATCCCCACCCCCAAATTCCCAAACAAGGAACAGACCCCGCGCGGCCTTCCACTTTTTTAGGGATGAAGTAAGCTCCACGCCACATTGGGTAAAAGTAAGGGTACATCACAGTGGTTTAGGAAGATGGGGTCTGACATCAGTGTCCAGTACACACACATACTTAAGTTTCCAAAAATATAACAGGAAGTGGGACAGACCCGCACAATCTGATCATTTTGAGAGAAGTATACAATGAGAGGTGGAAATAAAGGGAAAAGAGCAAAAAAAAACACTCGCACTGTTGCTTATACAGAAACTTTTTTTTTTGACCGCGGTAAAGACCTCTTTGGCAGTAGATCCTTTGCTTCAGTCTTTTTCATATAAGATGAAAAATTAAACAGGAAATAATGAGTGATTGCAGCGTAGTGATTAAAAACCTTTTGTTAAATTGAAAAGGTCCCCAAGATGTTTTTGCATATTCCGTTCATTTTTTTAAAAGTCAAGTCCTGTGCCCGCCCAAATTTTCAAACTTATGTAAATGGTGATACCACCCAAACGTTTAACAAATTACTGGTACTACGTGAATTGTTTCTTTGACTCCTTCCCAAACAGCTCGTTGAATGGTAAGTGGTATTTACCATTAAAGATAGTAGCTCTGCTTGGCTATGCACAAACTGAACATGCGGCGTAATAGACCCTATAATTATCATTGGCACTAGTAATATAGTCTACAGATTAAATTACACATTTAGCATGTCTCTTATGGCTACAATGCGGGATGTAAATCAAAACATACCTGTATTACTGTCGATTTTTCGGCCGATGCTTTAAAGGTTTCTTGACCCTCCGGGCTTGGTCCTTTGTTTCATCTTTCAAAAAAAACGGCCAAACAAAGTATTGGTTCTTTATTCAGATGATATTAACTTTTTTGTTCATTAGTTATAAAAGACAAACTGAACACTTATACAAAACATTAAAATGGTTTTCAGTTCGTCTAATTCTTAGAAAACGTAAACTGTTTGATCAAATCACAAAAAAAGTAGTCAGTGGCTTAGTGGTTATTACATGCATGAGCTCAGCACAAAGTTATTTGGGTCCATGCACGATCATGTCATTGGTAAAAATCCAAAACAAACATCGGAACGAATAGTTATAAATCAGCACAAGTCTTTTTTTTTTCTTTAAAAAAAAAATATGGGCGTTTTCGAGTACTTACCTCGTGAAATTTGGAAAATCATTTTTTTATATACTGAAGATTTAATTGAAAACGGTCCAGTGATGTCTGTAAATAAGCATTGGTACAATATGTATAAGTCCGTCACCTTTGAAGCACTTACCATCGATCTAAGCTGTGCTCAATCTGAATATTATGATATTCTAAACTCTCCATTTCGTCCAGGGCAGTGGATTACCTCTTTTACGTTTCAATCTTTTAGCGCAGAGGCGGATTACACCACTAATATTGCTGAAACCAGACTTTATCGCTTGATGATGCATACGCCCCATGTTAAAGTAGTCAAATTCGATCACATTGAATATGTCACGGCTAAAGACTGGGTCTATTTCTATAAGGTACTAAAGGCGGCAAACGTTTGGAAAATATGCTGTTTGCCAGATGATTGGAATTTGTATGGTGTAAATAAGCAAGTTAACCTGAAAACGGTGTATTCCATTTATATAAAATGTGCACAGCATCTGAAGCACTCACTTCGCTCAGTACGTTTGATTGAACAGTCAATGCCAACGAATATCGGTCCCAGTTTTGTGCATGAGCTTGTCACATTGACATCTTTAAATATCACTGAAGGTTATTTAAAAACTATGTCTGATTTAGATATGCTGCTTCAATACACTCCTCAGCTAGAAGAACTCAGTGTAGATTTTACGGGCACAAGGTTCAATACAGACCAAGAAGACGACAAAACAATTTTGAATGGGGTCTATCCCAGCATAAAGATCCTTACCTTCCATGACTATGTTTTCCAGACCGACAATCAAGTATGCGTATTCAATAACAATTTTACAGGACTTAGAAGACTGCACATTACGTGCTTTCAAAATAAACTTAGTATAAACCCGGTAATTACTGATAATTTCTTTATGGTGCTCGCATCGCTTTCAAGTTATCACATACACTTCAGTGGAAATGCCATCGGCATATCAGACTATATAATCAAAAATTGTCGACAAAAATTGCACGTGTCTGTTAATAACAAGAATTATGTAGATGAAGATGCCATCACTATCAGCAAAACACAGCGTGTCTCCAGGACAATGATAAACTATGAATTCCATCACGAATATTCTAATGCAAGACATATTCTGTCAAACCTGGGTCCGAATGTCCAGCAATTTGAACTTGGTAACTCAGGAGAAGAAGTTACCCAAGAAATTTTGGGTACTGTTTTTAGCTCCCACCAGGAAAATATACACGCTCTGGTATTCCAAAGACTCAAATTCAAAAAGTTCGACAGGACTGATTCATTGTATACAAGTAACATCCAAAGTATAACGTTTAATAATTGTCAGTTTTCTGGACAATCTCTCGAAATGTTATCAGCTCAGTTTACAAAGTTGAGCAAGGTCCGTTTTAAAGGATATCGCTTGGTTAGACGTCCCAAATACTTTTGGGCAGATATTAATATGCCATCGACTGATTTCCACACTCTCTATATATCGTATGCCTTTCCACCTCATGTCTACTTTGAAACGATGGGTCAATTTGCACGGTATAATGGTGATTATGTTGTGCCAAAAACATTATGCGCATCTTCTTTGGTTTCAATTACATATGCAAAGAAAGGTACGACAAAATATTATTATACAAGATATAAAGCAAAACAAGTGCTTGTGGAAACAGCAGAACCACAATTTTATCTACTCCTAGAAATGAACCCGGATGTAGTCTTTATTAAAATTACCGTTAAATCCATCCGGAGGCTCTTGCTTAAATCAGCAGTAGCCCATTAAAGAAGATCTAGATGATTTTCTAACATCCATAGTCTTCGATTGTTTCCAAATATTTCAATAAAATACGCCCTTTGTATTCATTTTTATTAAAGACTGATTATACTCAAAATTCTGAGTTAACTTCATAACTTTTCTTGTCTGTAGTTATTAAAACTTTAATCAGGATATACCTTTTTAAGCACAATATAATTGGCTGGGGTGTGTGTTACTGCCCGCATATCTGCACAGTGCGTCAAGATGCAATAACACGCCACATTACGCTGGAAAAGCAGATTTTCAACTTTTATTCTCCGGCGTCTCTAGTGACTACTTTTCCACCTCATTGATCTAAAATAAAAAGGGGGGGGGACCATTTAGGTGTCAAAACTCCACACAATTTAGGTACCTAAATTTGCATTCCCCCTAATTTTAAAAGCTTTTAATCGAGCTTTTAATGTTTTAAAAACTTTCGGAATAGTGACATGTTTTGTTTTTAGGCACCAAAACTACCCCGGCTCACTATCAATAAACTCTATATTGTTCTCTTACTATTCTAAAGTATTGTTCTATCACTATTTTAAATTAAATAAAAATGGGAAGAACTTTAAAAATAAATGGTAAAAGAAGATCAACTAAACCAGTCGAAGCAATTAGCGATGGCCATTTAGTTTTTGCTAGTAGAGCCAATGTCACCAAATTTTTGTCTTCGCCTAAGTCGTTGTTCGGTTTGAAAGAGTCAAGAACCGGTTCGTCCGAGCCAGGTTTTTCACAAGAAGCTCAGGATCGTTATAACTCATGTAAGCGTGTTAAGATCGCCTCATCAGAAGTAACTGCCCAAGCGACCCCTGACGAACTTGAAGTAAATTTTGGAAACCCCTCAGATGATCATTTTGAGGAGGGGCAAGAAGATTATGGTGTCTGGATCGATGACGAATGCGAGGTGAATCTGGACCCTAGTTGGAATATCGCCAATCTGTTGCCCGAAATTGAGCAAACAGCTGTTGAGATCGAGGCTGATCAAACGGTTATCGAGACCAACAAAAATGATAAAGCCCCATTTAGCAACTACAAAACCAAAAAGATCAGAACTCACCTCCGGTGGAAAAACATCATGCCTCTTTTTGTCCAAGCATACCTTGCCTTCTTGGATAGCAACGGCTCGATCCCTAGTATGAAGGATTGTGGTTTGGGTGACTCAATTGATTGTTTTTGCGCTGCTAATATGCAAAAAACTGCGTTGGTTGACTTGTTTTTCTGCACGGGTAAAGTCAATGCTTGTACATAAGTGTTTATTGAGTACTAAACAAATTTAACATCCAGAGGTCCAGAAAAACCAACCATTTGTTTATTGCGGTAACTGCAAATCCTTGCCAGTTGCCCTAGTTGAAGCTGGCATGTTTCCTGTTTCACCCACGAAGCCAAATGGGGCAGTCCATTTTAGTCTTTGTGATTTCTTCGTAAAGCTCAGAATCAATTTTGCTGGCTCTGCAGAGAAGATCGCTAACTTCTATAGTGAGCTTCTTCAACAAGGCGTTGCTGTTGATAAGGTACACGATATATTAATTTGTTAAAAATAATGAAATCTCTAATAATCATTTATAGCAATGTTTATCAGCGGAAAAATGCGCCAGCGCTATTCTTTTGTACAGCAAGATGATAGAGCTAGCTGAACAGGAAGTATCCAGGGGAACAGTTTCCACATCATGTCCTGCTTGTCCTGAGGTATTTAAAAAACTGAAACCAAAAGACTTTTTCCAAATTGACATACTTTTTTTTTATTTACCAGATTGATTCAAAAGAGATTACCGACAAGCAGTACGTGATGTTGGATGGAAACTTCCGCCTTAAAGGAACAAAGTCTCTTGCGCAGAATGCCGAGTTGGAGACAATTGCAGGTCTCGAGGGATACGGAGAGCTGTGGTTGAGTGAGGATCAAGTGAAAGAGTTTGAGAAAACCGATGACCAGGTAAACTTTAAGCGTCATATTTGTTATATCAAAATGCCTGCTTTTAGTGCACCGCTGCTGATGCTCTAAGGTATACAAAACCCCTTTTCTTACAGTTGTTTTTGGGCGCGTGCAACTACACCACTCAAATAATTTTAAAATTTGATCTGAAATCAGGCGGAGGGTCTCTTCTTAAGGACAGTTACTTTTATTAGGGACAACCAGGGTACGCGCAGTCATAATTTCGGATTATGATACATTAATAAATACCAAGAGGTCAATATAACTTATCTTATTGAACTAGATACAAATTTATTACAGCCAACATGTATGTGTGTGTTATAGTTAAATTTTTTGCTTCTCGTTGGACTTCACCTTAATATTTCTGCGTAATATTAAGATCAAACGAGCTCAAAGGTAAAAGAGTGATGATAAAATTGTCAAAACAAGAATAAATCGTTCAATATACGTTTATTTGTAATTATTACATTGTTTTTGATTGTATATTCTTGTTTCCAGGTCTAAAGGATAGCCAAATCACAGGTCTTACGCTGTGACTGCGTGCACTTTGGCTATTGATTTGTGACGGTTCCTAATTTGCTCTTCTTGGTCTTTTATTTTGTTTGTCGTCGGGATAGTTCCCCAAATGTCCTGCTCAATTTTTCTTATAAAACGATGGTGATGAGATCTTCCTAGAAGGCTTTTCCCTTCATTATCTTTTTTTTCTTTCTCTTTATTTTTACCTTATTTTTCACTTCAAGTCAAGGCGTTTATTCTTTTTTTATTCTGAAAGCCCAACCAGTAGTGGTAATGCGTGAATAATTCATATTATGTTTCTTTAGTTACTTATGTTCTTTTAGTTGGTTTCATTTTTTTATAATACATTTTCTTGATAAGTCTGCTCTAAAAAATCGTTTCATTGGAGTCCCAACTTATCACTATCCTTAAGAAAGGCGTTTGAAATTTCCGGGTTTGATCTAAAAAATTAACGAGCCACAAAAAAAAAAAACTTCCTAAATTTGCACAAAAAATATATTTGTATCCTTTCCCTTGTTAACCAGGTCTCCTTCCAATTATTATTATTATTATTGAAGGTAAGTCATACTTGTTAATAGTACTGATCAACAGTGTTACATTTACTAGCTGTTTAACATTTAAATAGCCTTGTTTTCCTATGATAAGTGTGATCCTCCTCAAGAGTTTGGTGATTCCAAAAAGCCCACTAAACACAATCGTGCCCTTCATCAAAAGTACGCGAAGGTTTCGTCAAAAAGTGGTAATTGTATAGTGATTTTAGAAATATCCAAGTTTGAGAACTAAAGTGTTTAAAACTTGTAGGAGTTAAAAAGTCTGTAATGAGAAGTGATGATGGTCAATTCCATTGTATCTGTGACTATTTTACAAATGTACCTGTTTCAATCCAACGTCATGTTAGACAATGTGTTAATTATGGTATGACCATGTTTGATGGATTGTGTTACTTTGAAACTAACTTCATTACAGACAGTCAACCACCATCGACTTTAAGTCAGGAACACGACAATAGCCAAACCCGTCCAGTCGATGTTTCGGTAGAGGAAATTCAGACCGAAGCAAACTTGAATTCTAATCTGATCGATGGTATGAATGTCGCCGACTTGTTGGTAGGACTCGACTCGATCCCTGCCTATGATGGGGATAATGATGAAGGTAGCGAAAAGTCGGGTAGTCCTCTTTGTGAAACGGGTAGGTAAAATATAAATCCAACTTATCATTGAAGTATTTATAATCTTTTTTCATTGATATAGAGTACAATACAAGTCTCAGTTCCCATGAAGTGGTCATTCACCGCTTGTCAGGTGCTCTTATCTGTCTTAGTTGTTCCTTTGCCGTTGAGCCATCCAATCTAAATGGTCACTTAACGAAAACCCATAATGTCCAAAAAGATTGGTGGAAAATCTACTTGGGGGAGGGTACGTTTTATGACTTGGAAGATTACTTGCATGAGCTTGGGGCAAGAACCTTCCGTGACATGGGCTTGTACTATGCTCCCAATAACAAGCCTGTGCCCATCATTGGTTGTTTACCTCATACGAATGGTTTCGTTTGCGGTATCTGTCCGGATAACGAAAATACCATGACAGCGTACTACAGTGGAACTGAAAGTACAATGATCAAGCATTTTAGCCTTTTCCATCGCGGATCAGCTACCGACAATTATAAGGCGAGCTGGGTACAGTCCGTCTTTAGTATGCAAGCAAAAAAAGTATACATTGGTTTTGAATAGCTGTACCAAGGCCCCACTGTAGTATCGACAATGACTGAGAGAACCGGGTGGAGTTGTATGATTGGGTCCACGTCAAAGGCAACAATGACGAAGTCATTTATGACAAGATAATTGACTGGACTCGTTCGTATTTTGCCAATATACAAACCATTTTGGCTGACTCTACCCAAGACCACTACTATTATCGGACAAGGGTGATGGAATCAACAGCGTAAGCAATTTCATTTAAGTGTACAAAAATATTCTTACTTAACAGATTATGAATTATAGCATGGACATTCAGACTAAAGGTCTGAGCTGCCTCAGTGACGAATCCTGTAAAAAGTATGCAGACACTTGGGCCAGGCTTGTAGTCATGATAATCCGGGCTGTTGATGGTCGAAACGAGACATTCTCGGACTTTGGTAGGGTTTGCCTTATAAGAGAAATGGAGGATTCTGCTCGAAATTTTTTGAATTGTGTCAAGCTCGAGGTGGTGGGTAACTCGGGTACGATCTGGCGTAAGATTCAGGAGTTTTTTCTTTTTTTGGTCCGTCTTCCAAACCCACCAGGTCATGAACGACACAAGTCGATGATCACGTTGTTCATGGCCTTTAGTCAAATAAGTCATGACGGACAATGGAAGCAACCAAATGCTGCAAGTGCCGCCCCTGCAAGACTTCGGTACTGCATGCGAAGCATTGTCTTAAAAGAAATCATCGACCAAGAATCGCAATAAACCTTTTTTTTTTATCTTTTAAAACTCCCTTGATTACTATGTTAGACGAACTGAACCTTTTTGATGCTATTGAAGCATCAGCAGTATATACAAATCTCTATAAGACATTCTATATTTGGGATCGTATTTTATTCATTTCAAAGATAATGAATAACTGATCAACAACAGCTATTATCACAGTGTTAAAAACGCAAATTCGTGATATAACCAATATGCCGGAATAGCATCGTTTTTGTTTAAAAAGAACAATACCGACAAGTTTATTTGACTCACCGTCCAAAGCCAATTATATCAGCTCCTGAAAAACAAATGGTGGGTTTATGTTGCTTGAGTACGTAATTAATGCAGCAATGTATGTCATGTGTTTCCCAAAAGATGCGACATTGTTGAATATTTATGAAATGTTCCAAAGATTTTTGATATCAGTTATCATTAAAGATAAAATCTGAACATTGCTCAATTCATCAGAGCTTGATATACTCACAGAACAATAAGTAGAACGTGCAATAATAAAAAAAAACCAAGATAAAGTTTCTCACAAAAAATACAAACAAAAAAACTTTGGTTGAATTATTTTATACCTGATGGATATTGTGTATTTTATAGAGCATACATTTACACTCCATTTTTTTATCTGTAAAAGTAGTTTTTATTGCTTCAAGATTAGCATTAAAGCATAAAAAGAATATGTTATATGTAATAGTATCCTATGATTATTTTTCAGGTTGCACAATAAAGCATATCTGCTTGAGCTAAATAAAATGTACAAATAATGCCTAATACGATTGGACATAGAAAGTAATTTTTAAAGCGAAAACGTCGTTATGATGCATCAAAAATGTCGTGTGACATTATTTCTTCTGTCGTTTCATCATACATGAAAAAAAAAGAGGTGCGATGGGAGTTGTGTACCACTCTCAGCCTTTCAAACAGTTGCATTGACAACTAATCCGACTTAGTGTGACCATGTGTCAGTAAATTTTCTATTGGTATATTGGGCACGTCTTTGTTGCCCTGTATATAAAGTAAAAAAACCGGGTACAAATTCCATCATCTATCATAATGTCTTCTACAAAAAAAAGGACCAAGATTTGCCATTGCAACAAGTGTGGCGGTTGCTCAGTTCCAATCAATACTGCTACACGACATGCCGAAAAAAAAATGTACGAGGAGTCATGCCAAAAGGCGGCAGCTTCCAAAAGAAGTTTGGATGAACTAGAAGAAAGTGTGTAACCCTCATCAGATATTTACCTACAACAAACTGTAATCTATACTAACAGAAATTTTAATAGATGACGCCGTAGTAGACACCAGCTTAGAATTTTCACGTTTGAACGTATCTGTTATTGAAGCAGAGTTTGCACATGTTAATATCAGTTCGACTCAAGTTGATAACCATTTTCAGGATGAATGCTCTTCAGGTATGCATACAAAAAAATGATTTATAACATGATGCTGAGTAATGTTTCAAGATGATGAGCGCGATTATGAAGAAGGCTTTATCTTTGATCAATCCTATAGCATTGATGCAAATGATGATAATGAAAATCAGGTTATTGTCGAAAGCAGCAGTGAGATATATTGGACCGATGAAGTTCTCAAAATGCTAGATGATTTGGATGATCAAGGTGAAAAATTTATCATAAAAAAAGGTAGGCTTGAATTTCGGAATAAATATTTGCAACTTTATTGAAACAATCGTAGTCCAACAAAATAATCATCCCAGAATACCACAAGATCCCACTTACTTGTTTATTTGTTGTTTTGTACTTATATTCCAAATGGACTTCTTGACTATCATCGCTACACACAAATTACTTGATCTGTTCCGTATGCTATTCAGCAATTTTGAGTTTCCAAAATCGTTACCCACGATCAAGCTTCAAACTGGATTTATCGATCTTACCAAAGATATGACTGTCTACGCAACTTGTCCTAAATGCTATTCAGTTTATCTTTATGCTACAAGCAACGGGTTAACACAGCCTGGGCCTCCACAAATATGTACATTTATCAATATCCTCAAAAAAGTACCTTGTCAAACCCCATTATTTCAAAACGGTTCCGATACTCCAATCAAAAAGTTTGTATACCATTGTCTTATAAGTTCGATCCAAAAGTTGTATCTGAGAGAAGGATTCGAGGAGAAGTGTGAAGAATGGCGTAGTTTTGAAGAGGCTGTAAACCCAACTGATATGATGTACCATTGCTCCCAGGGAAAAATGTGGAGAAGCATTCTTTCTCCCAGTGGCGA